AATTGTAGAAGGGGCCTTGTACATACATGTCTGGGATGTCACATCGACGGTTGGGGGTGGTGTATAATCTAAAAATTTTATTATGATTTTTTTCTTTAAGTGGGAATCTATTCGATAGTATATTGAAAGAAACTGTTTGACAGTTGAAAAGATTCACAGTAATATTTGCTGTAGCACAAAAGTTTTCTTATTGATAATAACCAGTTCCTTAATATCAAATTACAACATTACTGGAGAATCTGCCTGGCTCCATGATGCGGGTACAAAATTGTGTTGTTGAAAAGTACCTGTACAACCATAAATAACTTAGAAGAGAGATTTATAAACATGATTTGTTGCGCAAAATTTATTTAATAAATTGAGCCCTTTTCAAATACACTCGGTAAACTAGATATTTGCAAAAAAATATCCTTAGGCACTTAAGGCACGTGTGTTTTGAAAATAAAAGCTCTTATTATGTCGTTTTTCAAAAAATATTTCCAAAGAATCTGTTTTGAATAAATTCAAGTCGTAAATCCTTGCAAGCACTAATTCAGTTGAAATAGCAGTTCATGGGGTGCGAAAACTCGTCGCCTTTACAAGGGCAGATGCAAGGCTTCTTCAATTCAAACCATTTCCTGTCGAAGTTTTGCAGAGTTGATTTTGGAATGTGAAATCTTACGGAACCCTACAAATTGTGTTCATGTTTATACAAGGAGATGATCACTTACTTTAAAATGAATGAGTTTGTGGTCAAGCGGTATGAATTATTAATTTACGCTTTGAAGAATGCTTCAATGTTACGCTTGAGGAAGAAATCACGATATCTCTTACCTGTTGTTTACAGCAAAAGTCAAGACAAATTCATCATGTTCTTATCGCTCGATGAAGCGCTGGTACGTAATCAAACAGCCCTTTCGATGATATCATCCTCAAATGCGATAAACACAAATTGTCCAGGTATTTTTACGGAATGTTATCTTGATTTCCATTTTCGCGTTGCTTGTTTGCAGTCGATTGTTCATTCTAATTGCGAGAAAAATTTCCTCACTGCGCACTTTTCGTCGCGTGCACGAGACTCCAGGACTGTTGCTTGGCAACCAGTTACAATGGAGTACTACTTAGGCAAAATTGTCTAGAAAATTGATTCCACACAATAGCTAGTTGAATTTCGATACTCGGTACGATAATATCTAATTGACATTAAAAATGTAATAATTATTCTAGCCAATGTCTGAGATGTCTACACTGGGTGGATTGACGCTAATGTAAAACTGGCCTCCGACGCATGGGGGGCCATGGTTCCCACCAACTTTTTTGCAAATCGATAGATGTTTTTTTCAAAATTTTCAAAATTTGGAGTATTTACTTTTCCCTTGAACGCCTCGTTTACACTGTACTTAAATTGATGTGCCTCGATATTCTTAAAAATTTTCAATTTCAGATTGAAGATGTTTTCAAATTGTTTTCATATTTTCCTTTTAAAAAGTACAATGGCAGTGATATTGGACTTAATTTCAGTTTATGTCTCAAGAATTTGAAAATGCAAGCTAAAGCAACTCTTTTAAGATGAAACTTGGATTAGCTCTCTGTACATAAACATTTATTTCATTTAATACTGCCCTGGCTCGTTCTACGTTCTATCTTTATCGGGTCAGCGAAATCTGTTTCAAATAGTCATTGCAAAAGGCTTTGAGGGAAGCATTCTGTGTGCCCATTCTCTGCAGTTCGAGAATATTTGTACGAAATAGTGTTTCTTTAGCGATATTGGCTCAGGCACCAATTTAATAGAACGCCATACAAAACTGTCACGGTTCACCCTTCCGTTTACACTAGCACTGTGGAACCGAGACGATTTTGCTCTACTATCCGGAACAGTTTTTGACCCTGCTTTGAAAGCGAACGAATTTTGTACCGTCACGGTTCCGTTTTTGAACGGGACAGTGTAAACACCTATCCGAGACGATATTGTCACGGATTCACAAAGAGGTCTTTTGTATGGCTGTTTCAGGTTATCGAGGCTTTGATTGTGGCATAGCTACGTTGTCAAATTCTGAAGAAAAGGACATTCTGAAGACAAGACGACAGTGGCGGCTCTTGCTAATGGGCATCTGGGGCAATGCCCTCTCAAAAAGATTCAAAGGAAATCTATGATATTCATATTTAATTTTGAAGATAGTCTTACTGTGGTTAATTATATAAGTTTGTATCTCTTCTACAAAAAGCTCCTTGCTATCCCGTCTCGTCCTTAGCCTCGCTTCTGGCCCGCTAGTGCCTTGAGGGATGATGTCATTTTACGGGCAAAGTTTTTTGTGCCCCTAGCCGACATGCGTACAAGCTAATTTTCGACCTCGGGCATTGCGAAACGCGGCCTGTGATTGGCTTATTTGGAGGAATTCGGGGCAAGAAAAATTTTGCCCATAAAATGACATCATCGCTAAACAACAACCACATCTATATATGCTTTTTCTTCTGCGCTCCATGACGATCAACATCGAACCATGAAAACAGTGAAAAATTTGCCAACTCGACCTTTCTATCGATTATCGCAATATTGATGTTCTGCCCTCCCAACTGTGAAAGTTACGAGCCGCCACTGCAAGATTTTGTCGGCCTTCCGCTCCATTTTAGCTCTCAATAAAATTTAGATTGTTGACTTCGGCGGCAAAATAAAAGCCTCGGTTGACTAAATACAGCTTCCTTTAAACAATGTTCTACCATTAAATTAAGGTCGTACCGGTACAGTGAAAACGGAACAATTTGGAACCGCGACAGTGTAAACACTTGCGAACCGTAGCGGTACAAAATTGTCCCGGGACAGTGTAAAAGGGGGGCAAAGCTTACAAAACTCTTCAAGAAGAAGAACAGCTTGCTTACAAAACTCTTCTATTGTTCTGATGCGGCTCATTGCGGAAAAGTTGGATAAATCCAAATTGGCCGCATCGTGACGCATTCCCTAAAAAACGCGATGCGCACGCAATTCGTCAAAAAATGCGAACCTTATTTGGGCAGCGGCAAAAAACGCGCCTAGTGTGAATTGAGCTTGAGGAATGAAAATGGGGACAAATTCCCCCGGTGAAAACACAGCTTCGCTTTCTAACTAACAGGTTGATATATTTTGCTCTTGTATTTATGTAACTTTTAAATAAATATAATGAAGTTGTGAAAAGAAATATGAAAAGTTTAAAAAGGCTTCAGCCCTTTTAGAAGATCAACAATTTCAGCTGTAGGGTGACGTAGCAATGGATATAATTTCCATTACTACGTCAGAGATGATTAACGGGGGGATGAAGGTAGCCTCCCTTTTAAATTCAGTATAACGTTTATCTTATCAAACTTTTTATATTCTACTGAATTAATTTTAATATTGTCTCAGTGTCAGTGGACAGAATATCATATCTTCATTTATCATAACTATGTCATGTATCGCCGAAAATCATAAGAGTGTTGAAAACCATGCTGTAAAGTCATATAGCGATCCATGCTGTAAAGTCCGAGTTGATAACAACCTTAGCTCGGAGTTCAAGGTAAAAACTGCAGTCAGACAGGGATGTATTCTGTCTCCAATTCTGTTCTCAATCGTCATTTATTATGTTGAACAAGGCATTGAAGGTGCGGGAATACAAACTGAAAATGGAACATTATTAATCGATCTGGAGTTTGCGGATGACATCGTTCTCTTCAACAAAAAGGAAGAAAGTTTGCAGAAGTTAACATAAAGCCTAGAGGAACAGACCAAAAAAGTTGGTTTATGGATGAACTCGAAGAAATGCAATACTATAGTGACTCTTGGTCAACCGCAAATGAAAATAAGAATTTTAGACGACATCTGTGAAGTTAAAAAGTTTATATACCTTGGAAGTTGCATTTCGAGTGATGGTTCCATCTCTGAAGAGATAGGTAGGGAAAACAAACGCAGCATTTGGAAAGCTCCAAAATATATTAAAGAACAATAATCTGACCATAGTCATGATCTGACAAGTAAAACGAGATTCAGTATGTCCCATACCTTAGTGTTATCAGTTCTTCTGTATGGGAGCGAGACATGGAGTCTCAAAGCAGCTGATATAAAGCGATTGAATGCATTCCATATGAAATATATTACACGCATGTTAAAAAATTTCATATCTGGACAGAATTTCAAATGAAGAACTTAAGAAAAGCTCTGGAGAAGATTGCGTCATGTTGGTGAAGCTTAAAGCAAGAAGAGAATCTTATAGGGGTATATCTCGAGGATGCACGAGAAGCGATACACTAAGAAACCTACACAATGTGCAACGCAAGGGGAAAGGAAAAGAGGAAGGCCGGGGCAAACCTGGAAAAGAACTATTGAAAAACAACTCGGAGTTGCAAATGTCACACGGAATGAAGGATGGGAAATGGCGAATGATCGAGAAGAGTTCCGGAAGCTGATGGCTCAAGGCACTATTGGTGTGGGAGGATCTAAGGTCTAAGGCCTAAGGATATCATGTACAGTATAATCCGGTTATAACGTACTTTAAGGGACCAGTGTATTAAGTATGTTATATCCGAAGTACGTTGTAACGAGGGTAAGTAAAAATTGACTAAAACCAAGCACATCTTTTGCCGGGACCAAGCACACCAGTAGTTTATATCCGAAAGTACGTAATAACCAAGTATATTATAACGGGATTCTACTGTACATCATGTCTTACCACAAACGTGCAAATATATAAAGAATCAGACAACTTTACGAAACTTTTGTTTGTAAGATACTGGTGTTTTCTTATCTCTCGTCAAAATGTAACAATCAGAAGGTATTTCCAGAAGCAGTTAAGGGCAAGTAGTTCGAAAGTTAATTTCCACATTTACACATGCCCCTCAGTCATTAATACCTTGTAATATATTAGCATGTAATGGTTTGGCAGTCTCTCGCATTATAGTCATCAATCGCTTTTTTTTGCTAAGATATATTGAAAATGAACAATTGATGTTAAGTTGTTACGTTGACATTTCCAATCACAGGTTGTGTAAGAAAACGAAGCAATGAGAGCAAAAAATTAACAAAATCCACACAAATAGATAAAGAACAACATCACATCGAAATACATAGAAGACTTTGAGGTCAATGAATGTCTGGTGAATAGTGTGGAGTCAAAACAATTCCTTAATTTATTACAACATTCAATGTTGGCATCGATGTATCTGTGTGTCCACAGATGGGTACAAAGTACATATATTTTCAGGGTGAAGTGTATTTACTTGGCGTGGAACCTTTTGCTACTGTCCTTTGCGTGTTCCATAAGTAGCTGCGAAGGCGTAAATTGTGCCTCTCCTACAGTTTTTGCGAATTCCTCCATTTTTGCGACGAGTTTGCCAGCACCGAAAGAGTCAACGAATCTGAATGGGCCTCCGTGGAATGGCGGGAAACCAAGACCGAACACAGCACCGATATCACCGTCGACCTGTAGCAAAACAGTCATAATAATGATCATGTGTTACCATTGAGACCGATACAGTGTTTATATCATCATTGCTTTGCGCTGGTTTTCAAATAACTGACAATTTTAAAAGGTTTTTTCATAAAATCATAAGGATGAAAGGGCGCCGTGCCACTTTAGCCTACCGAAGTAACCAATGAGAAGCCTTTCAGCGACCAGTTACACATACTTTTTTACTGGGGGAGGGGGGGGAAGGGGTAACTACGCCTAGTTTTGGATGGGGACGTGTAATTTTGGCTAAAAATTTGAGCCCACAATTCAGCAAATGTCTTAAAAAATGTGGCCGATAATTCCGCAAACATAACGAAACTACACCCATAATTTCGCAAGGCAATAAATATTTTTCAAGATGCAACAAAATAATCAAACAAATTTTAGAATATTTTCCCATGTGTATAAAAATATATGAAGCAGGTATCCCATCATCATCATCATCAAAATCATCATCAAGATTTCATTTAACGTCACCAGCCAACAGTCAACTCACTCAGAGAAGTGTTTTGCATAAGCCAAGGAGGCAACTGAATTTATTTGTTCAGCTTTATTAGCTGGTAAACTATTCCATATTGGCACAACAGAATGAAAGAACAAAGGCTTGACAATGTCAACGCGAGCGGATTTCAATGCAATTTTCTTAGAGTGAGTGTTTCGTAAAGAAATATTTCGTAGAAGTATTTCTTTCAAAGTAGACGAATTATTTGAAGGCCACTTAATTGGTAAAAATTTTGGAGACATATTTTAATTTGAGTTCTAATGTATTAAGTTAAAATGCTTCAGCATAGCATCGACGCCGGGTCCATTCTGAAGACTTGGGTCATTGCTGCTAAATCGTGGTTCATAAATGACACCTCCTCCATAGACAGCTTCAAACAACTTTATCTTTGAAACTTGAAGTCTTTGTTTCTATATTACAGCAACATCCTCCTTACATAAATTTGGCTCCTCTGGTATTTAGGAGTCACTAAGACATTAAAATCAATAAAAAAGATTTAAATTCTTACGGGACTTTTAAGAATTCCATCTTCTAGGCACATGACTGCCTCGTTTACGAATCTAGAAACCAGCCTCAATTGTAAATCGCCGACGTCATGACTAAAAAGAGAAAATTGATGTGTCAAGATGAATGGAATTGTAGATGGATATTGGAAAACGTTTGTGTGTCCCCAAAGAAGCTTTACATGGTCCATTCATTAACACGATCTCGAACACTTAAAAATAATAGACTTTTTGGCCTGGTAAATTCTGAATAATCTTAATAGATTGATTCTTTACATCGCAATTCATTGGTTTCAAAATCTGTAAGTTCATGTAAAATTGCAATCTCTGTATTTGAAGAAGAAAGGAGGAAGGGGGGGAGGAATGGGAAGGGGATAGGGAGAGAAAGGGAAAGATAGAAGTGGGAGAGGAAAGAGAAAAAAGAAAGGAGAGGAAGGAATGAAAAAGAGCAGAGGGTATTGATAGGGGAAGTGGGATGGGGACAGGAGAGTACTCGATAAAACCTGTGCCAGAAAGTTGGTATACAGATGGGTCTACACTATAAATCACCATAATGATTACAAACAGCAAAAATCTGCTTTTCGTTTAAACAAATCTCTAAAGGATCTTTGTGATTTGAAACTCCTGAAAAATTTAAAATTATCTGTAGTAGAATCACATTACACGTCAGCGCATGCTTTTCTATTTTATGTAGCATGTAGAAGTTTTCAATGTGGTGTTGGTTTCTCTGCAATAATTAATTTTTTATAAAACAATATTTTAAATTCCACCCTATCCTGTGCCACTTCTCCAAACACAAAAAGTTCTAGACGCCGCACCCTCCCCGCCACCAGAGTAGAATAAACCGATATTGAAACGTGCTGAAAGAATTCCTAATTAAATTGAACTGTAGATTCAACAAATATAAAACAATTTCAATTATTTCAAATGCTTATTTAGAAAGAGGAAATTTCGCCCAATTGCAATGGGTAGTCTAAAAGTGTCCGTGGCTTACCAAAAATAGATATTGATCCTGTATCTTACAAAATCTTGTATCTTCTGATCTTGTAAGCTCAAACAGTAATAATTATATTCTCAATTGCATTGCTGTAAGTGGGCGATAATGAAAGGGAACATACCTTCCGGATTTTGGTACTGAATACTGTTTCAAAATTTCTAAAGCTTCAGGGTTAATCTGCAAAAGAACGATAATGCGGTGAACAGAAGCATTATAAAGAAAGATAAGGAATTTTACAATAAACTGAGCTTGGCAGGCTCACAATGGTAAAAGATACGTTTCTGTGTCTCCTTGGTGCAGCTGGCTTACAAGGTCAAGTTGTATGAGAAACAAGGCAGATACCAGATGCAAAAGCTTTGTTTCGGTGTCTCTTTGGTTCAGTTGGCACAGATGCGGGGGGAACAAGGCAGATACAAGATATGAAAGCTTTGTTCAGGTGTCTCCTTGGTTCAGCTGGCTTGAACGGTTAAGATGTATGGGAAACGAGGCAGATAACAGATATGAAAGCTATGTTTCGGTTTCTCTTTGCTTCAGTTGGCACAGATGTATGGGGAACAAAGCAGATACCAGATATGAAAGCCTTGCGAAACTCTGAGGCTACTTAAATATTTCTTCTCATTCTTTTTGCTCCACCTCTCTTTTGCTTACTTTTCACTTCATTTTAACTATCACCCGAGGTTAAGTTCGCAAGTCTTCGCATTTACTTGGATCCGCTCCCTCTTCACGTTTATTCGTAAACAATTGTTTCTGATGCTGCTTTGCTAAAACGGCCCAATATGACCCTCTGCTGTTAGGGGTTTTCAAAATGATTTGTTCCCGTTATTCACACTATACATTTGTGAGGCAGTTTGATCCACTTTCAGTTGGCTCCTTTTTCTAAGTTCGCATTCAAATAAACAAGCGTCGCTTTGAGAATAAAAATTCAGAACGTTTATTTATTCTTAGTGATGCGGTCTGTCAATATTTCTATAAATGTTTGATAAAAATCAACAAGTTTTGAATGTAAAGAGACTTTTAAGGAGAGACTTTTCTTTGGCGTAATGACGTCATTCCGCTTTTCAGTCTGATAATTGTTACCTTAAAATCATCAAAATCGACACAAATAATTCTATAGTTACAAACCTCTCTTTTTCCTTTCTTGTCCGCGTACATATAGAAGCCTTTGCCAGATTTACGTCCTGTAATTTAGAAATAACAAGGTTTGAAAAATATAACGGATCACGAATGCTTTTCTGCTCTTAAAATCCTTGCAACCTTCCTGAAAAGTGTTTGGACAAGCCTTTTTCCAATGGAAGATATTGCGGAGATTATGTGCGAAATAAAACTCAAATTTCAAATCTTGCAAGAAACAGGTGAAAGAATAAGTTAAATAAATAAGGGTGAAACTTGAAACTGAGAAATAAGGGCGCCACTGAGAAATAAAAAAGAGGAAAAGCAGTGAAACGGAGTTGAAAACAGCGATGTATTTTATGTAGACTGATCAAAAACATTTATTTACAGAAAGTTGTTGGCTTGTTCTTGCTTGCTACATGATATAAATAAAGAGCTAGGGTTAATCTGTACACATGATAGCCGAAAGGTTTTTTATATACATCATAAGGTTTAATCAAAACAGGAGAAAAAAGTGTCGGAATCATGAAGATAAAACATTCTTTGCAGTTTTGACAAAAATTTGAACAAATTACTCAGAAATGCCTATTCGCTTCATACCAGTGTGACAGGCCGCCACAAATAATTGGATATGAGGTATGGCTTGAAGCGGTTTGCCATTTGTTACGGGTCTTAGTTGTGCTTTGGTGTTTACACCACAATTGGATAAACGTTTGTTTCAACATTTCAAGAGGAATCATTTCAAAAGACAGTAAATTGGTTTAAAAATTTCCTGTCAAAGAACATATTAGCACATGGTTTGGGCACCCTATGTTGTCAATAACTGACAGGTTGTTTAAAACCAATCAAAGATCGGTTTACCTAAGAATCCTTTTTCAACCATTGATTTCAATACTCCAACATCACCACCACCGCATCTGGAAGAGGAAAGAATACGTTAGTAAGAATAACGGCTAAAAAGATCTTATATCAGTGCAGATAATGACCAGAAATGTTCAGAACATTGTAAGGTACAATATTTTCAGTGGAAAAACGTCAAAGGCAAACTTTTAATCAGCAGAATCAAGGTTCTCTAATTCAGCCTCAGTAATTAGCTTTTGAATATTAACTCTCAGAATTGTCCGAGTTTTTGGCCTAAACTTTCGCAGTGAGGTGTCTATGTAAGCGCTAGACATGTCTTTTTCTTGCAATTTGTTTGTCACCTCTTCAACTGCGTCTATGATGTTCTTTTCAACGACGTCGACTTTCCTATTCTTCGGACAAGGCTTTTCAGGTTGGTCTAACTGAGTCAAAGGTATAGATTAAACAATATTTTTCTATACTCAGAAGCTGTTTGGGCACTTGTCGTTTATGGAATATTATTCAATAGAGCTTTTCGTTCTTCGCGGACTTGGCCTCAAACAAGTTTGTTTTTCATCATTCCACATCTTTCTAGCTGGATGTTTGCAAGGATTACATGAACCGACTTGTCAGAGAAATTTAACGATAATCAAAATCTGACGTATAGAACAGGGTGATTCTACGTCTCTCTCTGTCCTGCCATCCTATTTCATACAGTAGCATGCACGGCTCTGACAATACGGCATCAGGCACTACATGACGCAAAGAATACACAACCTTCTATCATCATTATTATCATCAACTATATACTCGTATTCTGTGAGAAATTAAAATCGATCTGAATTTAAAACACGGCAAACAGGTTAACAGTAATTTTGCCTCAAACAATGTAAGGGCAAACTGTTAGACCTTGGCTAATTTCTAGAACTACTGAATTATATGGCCAAATCTAATATGATCTGGCTAGGAAAATAAGTGTTTTTCAGCTTTTGATATATGTAAATGTCAGCTATAAATGAAACATGTATAGGGTGGATATTTACTATACCTTGGGCCTAAAGCTTTAAAAAGATCTTCAGCAACATGACATGCTACATCAACACCAACCTTAGAGAAAATAGATAATTGATTTTAGCTACAGAATCAGCAATTCAAGCTACAAAATTGACTGGAAAATCTACGGTAATTTACAAGTTTGCTGTGTGTCCGCCATTTTTGCCAATTCATAATGGCGGCGAAAATATGCGCTTTGATGTTTTGAGATATGAAATAGAGCAACGGCTCTAACTCAGATTTTCAGTTTAGAAAAGTCTTGTAATACCCACCAAAATGTGCATAGCTCTGTTTATAAGACATCGAGCATTTTATACTATACAGACAAACACTTGACTTTAAGATGTCTTTAGGATCATGTCTTCCAATGAACAGAAGTCTTTTGTTTACCGCCTGGCAGTATCTGCAGTGAATACAGAAGTAATACTAACCTCATCGACAAGAGTAGCAACACCAACTGGGAAACCATACGCTTTTGAGTATTTGTCGATTTGTTGCGGTGAGATACCTTCCTGCGGAGGAGAATAAAGAATACCATGTGTCAAAAATGTTCTAAAACAATATTAGGAGATGGATGACTTTTCTGCTGTTATAAAACTTATCATTAAATATTTGCATATGGTGAAACAGTCATGATACTGCCTTAAAATAAAAGGTACATGTAAATAGCGATTAACTGGTGTTGGAGCTCAGTAGCCAAATCGCAGAAACAAAATATATTGTTGTTCCGATATCAATCCTCAGAAAACTTTTACTATAAGAGACACATTTGCCAGCTCAAGGGAACCTGAGGGCTACATGCTACAAGGTTTGGCTATTTCTTTATGAAATGGAGAATGACTCTGAATACGCATAACTCATAGACTGAGAAAAAACAAATTAGACTACATAGATAGACAACAAAATAGACTACAAACCTGCATTAATCTTATAACTTCTGCTAAAGTTGGTTCTAAAATTCGAGTAGTGTAGAATCCAGGACCATCCTGTTGAAGGTAAGAAAAATTTTAGATTAGAGGCAAGAAAAGTGAAAGATTACATCGCTTTTAAACAAAGGTCTTTAGTTTTGTCAAGGAGGTAACTAAAATCTTGGACATAGCTTTTGAGAGAAACCCCGAATAACATGCCGAGCAACATGTATACATCCACACTTACCCCCCCCCCCCATCCTGATTCAAAGTTGGTGTAAATCTACTAAGGCTTACCTTGACGACAATTACTGTTTTTCCTTGTTGGAGGCCAACTTGAACTGCAGAGGCTGAATAATATAAAATTGAAATAATGAAGAAACAAAAACTCAAATGTAAGTATATTCCAAAATGTTATAAAAATGATCAAAATTTAAGACAATTTAAGGCAATCGACAGACAGGGATTGTGAGTTCACTCACCAGCTTAAGCCACTTTTTTCTGCAGCCTGCCTGCAGACTTTTCTGTCGATTGCCTTCAAGGCTTTGAAACACCATTGTAAAAATGGTTCTCTCAATTCTAACACCCCCACTTTTTAGAGATTCCATTACAAGAAATTGTTTACAGAAAATATACACGGCTGTTGATATTCAAGAGACGTGGATAACAAGAAACATAAAAGCACACACGGCTTTAAAGCCCTTGCCTGATTGTAAATATAAGCATACGGCTATCATAAAAAACTGTAGGAAATTGTGAGCGCTCCTTCCTATCTCTCTCTCTCTCTCTCTCTCTCTCTCTCTCTCTCTCTCTCTCTCTCTCTCTTTCTCTCTTTCTTTTGTATATAGTTGTTGTTGTTGTTGATTGAATTCAGTTGAAAAGAAGATTTCTTGCTTACGAACGACGACGACGTGAACGACGTGAATTATATCTCAAAAAGAACTCGCGATAGATGCGAACGACAGTCACGATGAAGGAAGATAGATGCGAACGATTCACGTAAAGAACAATATTCAAAATAATACTAAATCAAGACCTTGATGGACCAAGGTGACTTCGTTAAAATTCTTACGTTATTTTCTTCTCTCTGGACGTTAATTCTTCTCTCTGATTAATAATTCGTGGTTGTTTATGTCATTATATTCGCTGATGTTTATACTTTATCTTGCATATAAATTCGAATAAGAAATTATACAGTCCTCTGACTTTGATATAGAATTTGATCTTCAAGACGAATGAACCTATATGGTAATTCTAACCTGCCAAGTAAATAGATCTTAACTATTTACATCTTAGTAGTGATTCCTGGCAGGTAATTCTCTAAAAAAACACACGAGTCTACGACAGGAAAACCCTGTAAGCGGGGAGACTCTTAGATATTTCTGGCCTAAAGAACGAACTAAATTTAAAAACACTATAGAACAACCCTAGGACCTAGAGAATTTCATATTGGAAAGATTAAAACTTAAGCAGTAAACAAGATTATAACTTAAGCAACAAAATAGATATCTCGTTGTCTAATAATCTTGTTCCAGTTCGGTATTACTGATGAAGGGTTAAGCTCGAAACGTCTTATAATTATATATATATAATAACATTATATATATCATTCAATAATCATAACTTGCATCAATAAATAAGATCTTTGTAGATAGAAATTCAATTATATTTTGATAACTTGTAGCTTTATCCTAATATTTCTGAATCTTGTATCATAAACGTTTATATAAATTGATAATAACTAACTACATTTTATCTTTATTATTGCTATATCATATCATTAATCATTATCATAAGAGAAAAAAGATATTAAGTCCCGTATGCTGATGCAAAATATTAGCTTTACATTGATAGTGGGACTATCTAAATTGATCCTAGAAGGCCGCGCCAATGGTGCCAAAAACCGAGGAAGAACAAAACGTCGCTGGATAGATGACATCTAGATTATCATCTTGGGAGTCAATAAATGCCATTGTCATGGGCAGAAAATGATGGCAAAATTTGTGTTATAATCTATCGTATTCTATACAAAACGGATAAAACGAAATACAATAATAATAGTATAATACATTTAACTTATTTTAAATTCCTATTCTACGTTATCTCGTTGTCTTCTCGTCGCCATTGTGTTTTGTTCCAGCTATTACTAGTTCCTGCCTCATTTTGTTTTGTACCTGCCTATTACCATTACAAATTCCTGCCTCATCACTGATTCTAATACAAGGCTTTCACAGAGAAGCAGCTTAGAACAATCCTGTTCTTCACATGAAAAAAGAGTGAACAATCCCGTCTATAAGATATCAAGCTCTCTGCAACAGGCCAGTGGACAGAAATCTCAATTATCATTTATCATATATTACTGCCGAAGATCTTCAAAAGCTGGTACATTAATAACGGAAATAAATATGTTACCTGCAGTGTCCTTTGATGTTTGATCTGTGGTGATAATTTCTAACAAGGGCATTTTATCGACTGGTGAGAAGTAATGCATTCCAATAACCTACAAGATACAACCAAGGGTTGAAACGAATCAAAGAAAGCTCTGTTGTGTAATGCTTTTTTGACATTTTGTGTAGTAAGATGAAGGAGGTAATGAACTAAACATGCGACTGTATAAGTAAAGCGGCCTTTGCAAGACAACAAGCACTAGCTGATGATGACGTCAATTAGGGTAACGAATTCCAAAACAGCGTCCCTTAAGGCTGATTTCCACTAGGCGAATTCTTTCGCGCGAATCAAATTTTTGCCAATGTGAGCATGCGTGGTGTCATGTTCTCAGATTTCGCAGCGAAAAAAATCGATCACGGTCCTACACTATCGCTACGAGAATTTATTCGGTTCGCGCGAAAGAATTCGCCTAGTGGAAATCGGCCTTTACATCTCTGAAAATCTAACTCGAGCCCTTACTTCCATTGCAAAATAAATTTAGTTTTCTTAAAAACAAAATTGAAAAAAAACCAAATAAACAAAATTAAAACAATCTCTGCCAAGAATTTTCTAACAAAGAAATTTATGCACTAATGAAAATAAAAGAAAATAAAAATTTACTTCAGTCAAACTTAAATCATTAAAATTTAGAAGAAAAAAATACGAAAGAAGAAAATTTCTGGAAGAAGACTGACATCTCAGTAATAAATATTCTTAAAAATTGCTTAACTTATGAAATACTTAACAATGTGAAAATCTCACTTTTTCTGGGCGTTTGCTAGCCTTGGCAATCTATGGAAAAAGATGAAAAGAATTGCAGATCAGAAACACAATATTTGAATTGATATGAATAAAAATATCAAGCTATTAATACTTATTTACATGCTCTACTTTGATTATTGCATGGATTAAAGTTTGAGACGTGATGCTAAAATTTCAGTGGGTAAGGGGGGAAAATTTCATAAAGAACCTGGAGAAGAGCAATTAGAGGGGTGTGACAAAAAAGTATAGTTATATCAAAAGAAAGGACCCAGGCACTGCTAGATAAAAAGGCTTCATAGTCAAAATTCGAGAAAAATTTTTATTCTTCGTGAGGAAAATTTCCTTTAACTCTGAAAATCCTCTCTAAAAAACTAAGAAAATAAAAGCGGTGGTTCTTGAATTCTTTGCTGTTAATGTCTTCCTCGCGGACTTCTACAAGCTATAATCATGCTCTGGTCAGAGTGTCTTTAAATCCGACTATTTGTTGTAAAGTGAGACAACTATGAAATGGAAGTGTTGAGGCGCAGAAGTTGTGTAAGATGAATTTAACGGCAGGTAAGATGAATTCATATCTGCGGTGTACAATTTTTATCTGTAGGAGAGTGCTTACACAGGGTACCGCCGGGCCATCAAATTTTACTGGAATTGTTCACCCCTGTGGCCAGAGTTCCCTTGGAGCGGGAGACCACAGGTCATATGTGGGAGACCACAGAAAGAGCTGCTGGCCTCCCACCGTTGGAGATTATCTTTTTACTGGAATTTTCCGCACCTGCATATACAAAATATTTGGAATTTTGCCTTAAAAAACTATACTTTAAGTAAAGAGTACGCCTTAAAACATTTTATGACTAAAAGTAGAATTTTTCTAGAACCGTTTCGTTAGGTAAAGCTTCGTGTATACTAGATTCTTATAAACAAGTTTGAAATTGGAACAGAATCTACCTGTGAGATAGGTAATGCTGAAGTGTTTGATGCGAATATGCAGTGGTCGGGTATAACGCTTTCGATTTCCTTTAAAACTCTGTGCTTTATATTCAGATCCTCAAAGACCGCTTCAATAACCATATCTACGTTCTGAAAATTTGCATAATCCAATTGTCCCTCCAATTTGGCCAGCATTCTGTCGCGCTCGTAACTTGTCATGGCTCTTTTCTTTACGCGTTTATTTAGACTAAAAACGAGAAAAGAGGCACATTAGAGGATAGGAATTGTTGATGCTTCCGTGGCAATCATTCTAACTTCTAGCCAAATACATATGATTGCTTGATCTATATACCAACCTATACAAGTCAATGGCACATACAAATCAAATTCCAGGTATTCTACTGAAGAATAAATATGGAAAAAGGGATTTCAGTCAGCCCGTTGATCGTTATAAATAGTGTAGAAAGGATTAATTTTTCAACCATCAAACCTTTTATTTTTAGTGGTAAATAAAAGTATTTTTAATAAATAAAAGTTTAAGCAAAGACTCTCCTAAAAAAAGGCGAAAAAAAACAAGAAAGGCCAAATAAAAAAGAATCATGAATATAAAACATCTAAAAAGACAGACAGCGTCAGAGAGAAAAGTAAAATTATAGGCCATCCTGCATTTAGGTGCTAAAAAGAAGAAACCTGCTTGACTCACTTGTTAAATATTTGATCTTGTCCTCTGGCCAACCCTTTAAGGGCGTTGTCTTTCAAAATCACGTGATGGCCGCCCTTCTGCAAACTAACTTCTGCGATGCCAGCTCCCATCAAACCAGCACCAAGAACGGCTATGTTCTTAGCATCTTTTTGTGGTTTTCCAAAATGATTCTTCTTGCATTCAGTCTATAAGGAAATTGAAAAATTATATCCATAAAGAACCTAGCCAATTATAATATGATTTCTCGGAAAATGGCCAGTTGTAGAAATATAATACGAACACACACATAATCAAGTTGAAATAAAACGTCTAAATTGCTTAGTATTTTGGGTTTTTGATTGCTTTCCGTAACATAGACCATCACTTGCTGAAACGATCGAGTCCTGGGAAAAGGGTGGTGCCCAGTCCTTTTTCCCGTCAGCCCCTGCGTTGACAGGTTTTTTGATAAATCGCTACGGCACATTACATCGCAATTAGTTGCTTAGAGAAGTTGCTTAGGGAATGAAAATTTATAAATCTCACAAGTTAGATTTCTTCGTGCACCGTATAAAACGGATAAGATATACTTGAAACCTGCGCGACAGGTCTCCACAGTCTCACTCAAACGAAAAGTAGCTTTACGATCAATTTCGTTATGCGGACCACAACGCAAATCATTTTGAGAGAGCTTATACACAGAGAGAGGAAAACATTATCAGAAAGAAGCATCTTGAGACATTTTGAATTGTTTTAAAGCAACATCACTAAGATTAACACACAAGCCATTTAATATAGAGCGATGTAATTTCTTACCTGTCCAAAGAAAATTCCCATGAGAGCCTTCGCCTCGGACGAAGCTACAAGCTCTCCAAAGCCAGCAGCCTCAGCTTCATAACCAGGTTTTAAGCCCTTTTCGCAGCCAGTTTTTGTGACGTCAATAATTTTGAGTGGTGCTGGGTAGAGCCCACCAGTTTTTTTCATCACAGTCTCTTTTGCCTTTTTGAAGACAAAGTCTCTGACCATAGTTACATTTGATGTCAAATTGTGGGTCAAACCTGAAATTACACAGGTGTTACTTAGTCAACGAATGGTATGACAGGTGTCAATCAATAAATGGAAGCTGCGTAATCAACATCAAGGAAGACAAATGCAGTTGTAATTGACAGCTGTCAATCAATATCAAGTAAATGTCAGACAGAAAACTCAGAGAAAATTGACAGGTATCAATCAATATGGAAGGGTCCGAAACAACAATTTACCTAAACAGAAATGAAAATCTTTGCTACCTTTGTTTTTCAGTGAATATTTTAATTGGACGATAGTAACTGAATAACAATTGTTAATTAGCTGTTAATTAGCAGAGATTAGGAAAGCTAAAATGAACTTGTTTGCATAGATCGATAATTGTAAAGACCAGTAGGTTTACAGGTTTAACAATAAACATCCAAGCTATCTCCTCATTTAGTAATGATTTCGAGTTTCTGCCACCAGGTTCTATGTTATCTCAAAAATCAAACCTATCTTATCTAATTAAGAGTTGTACTACAGAACAAGTTGCTTTGAAGGCAATTGACCAAACCTTTCATGTCCATCCATGACTTCGTTCTGTCGACTTTAATCGCTCCACTTGCTAAGCCTCTAAAGAAAAAAAACATTTCATAGGATACCAAGTCAATAGCAATAATAGCACTCTGGATTCTGTGTTTAGGAACGAGTGTTTTCTTAGAAATTAAGGATCCTTGTAGTTTATCGAGCCGTAGCGCAATTGAAAAAGGGATTCTTCTAATGTTCAGGGAGAGGGGCAGTAAGGAAGGAAATTATTGGGAAACGTCGAACTCTTGGCAAAGTTAATACCAAACGGTTGGTACAATTCCTCAGTGACTAACAAGTTTGACCATATACAAACACTCTATTAAAAGGAATTTTATTTGCTTCTTTTCTATTTTCAAAATTGAAAATTACAATATAATTTGGCTTCCGTATATTTTTGGGCAGTTGCATCTATTAAAAAGCGAGAAAACGAGAGTGATTGAACGCCAAATCAACGGCTACGGAAATTCGCTAACCATAGTAAGATAGCCATATAATACTTACTTTGCTGTTGATACGGCCGCTTTTTCCAGATAGTCTAATGAATTCTGCTCCGATGATCCAACTCCAACGCCTGTTACAACAAAAACACGTGGTATTATATTACATATCCTTTAAAAAAATCGAAAGGCGAACAATAACTTTACAGAGGACTTTACAGGACAGCAAAAAGTATCAAAACCTGGAAACTTGGTTCGCAGTGATCTAAACAAGGGGTAAAACAGTGCTTGAAAAAAGATTTTTCTTCCTGGCATCAAAAGAATAAATTTAAGATTTCCCGCGAAGCTTTGACAAAGTTTCCAGCCACTGAAAGTGATATTTTAAGTTGCTTGATTTGTTTAAACATTCGTCCGAAAAAAAACTGTTATACTGAAAAAGAACCAATTGTTGGTCCTCGATTTTTTATCACAGCTATTCGAACAGCAATCATTTTGATTATACTGTATTAGATGATCAAGGAGAACGTGAATAAAGTACAATGCTCATAGTTTGTTTCCAAGGTAAATGTTTATCTGAAAATCTCTAATAACGTTAATCAAAATTCATATCAGTACTAGCAAACTATATACTATCGAAGTATTGATGTATCCTACATCTTGCTATGGGTCTCATGTTTGCTGCCCATTTTATCATCAAAACTAATTGTTCATACAACATGTAAGAATACTTTTCATTTTTCAATTGTTGGAATTAATGTCTTCAAAAAATTAAGGCCAGTAGGAAAGTGTGTATTATAATGGACACATGCACACAGGCATATCAACCTTCAACATAACTGACGTAACAAGATTGGCTGTCTTTTCGTGTTTTCGATAAAGGTGGCTAATGCTTTATAATGGCTAATGTAAAAAGTGAAATGAAATTTGTTTTGGCTTGCTAGAATTAACCTAGTCGCTGAAATTTATCCCCGAATTGTCGGAAATTTGGTAAAACAGACGCTAATAATCCCAAATGATTGTATTTTGAAAGCTAATCCTCGTTTTTTATAAGTGGCGCAGAACAAAAATTGTACAGTATGTATGCATATCACAATAAAACACTGTTCCGTAGAAAGAGAGTAACATGAATTCCATGTCTCTATTAAAATCAAGCAATGAAGATTTCACGTTAAAAATTTCCTGGCAAACAGCAACAATTTCCTGCAATAAATTTGTGCTAAAAATTTCCTGGCAGCGGTGTTGCCGGGCATTTTCCAGCCCTGGGCTAAAATGTCCTGGAAACTTTAAGTCATTTTCAGAAATTTCAAGTTTCTTAAGTCGAATAAGCAGTACGTTTAAGTATTTCAAAGGAAAACTGTTCTCTGTTGTGATCGATTTTATTATCACTGGAGAAAAATTTATGCTTGGTTGACATCGAGGAAGAACAAGCAGATTCTGGCAATCAGAAACAACGATGAGATGATTGATAATTTGAAGCAATATTTTCATCTCACAGAAAATTCTTCTCTCATTAGATAGAAGGACCGTGGGTGTAAAGATTTTTAACAATTTTTTGCAGCTATGGACCTAATACCAATAAATCCTCTTGGACCTAATACAATGGACCTAACACAATGGACCTAATACCATGGATCTAATACTGTGGTCCTAATACTTGCGGAATAGAACTAAAGCTATTGTATCATTGTTTCTGCTAAAGACAATTCTAAAGATAATGCTCAAGACAGTGCTCAAGACAGTTCTAAATACATTTGCTCCTGCAGTTCAATTGCATACGTACCGATTTGTTTCACAAGCTGGTCAACCAGTCCCATCCTTTTTGCCTTGCTTGCCTTTATGTTTTTGCCAGTAAGCATCATATCAAGTGAATCAGGTAAGCCAACCTAGAATACAGAATCTTCGTAAAAAACGGTGTCATTGTTTTCAAACTTCGTACAACATAAGTTAGGCCCTTCCTACAACATGTGTCTGAAAAAGATCCTTATTAACACTAGACAGGTACCATTTACCAAAGGTTCTTGGCTCAACTCGCTGCTATTAATTACATTTCTGAAGAATTGCTAAGAATTAAATTACTGAAAAAGGAGACAGCCTGTGCAAACATTGGAAAATGCAAGAAAAAGCCCCACTTCACAACTACACATACAACTTCAACAGACCCAAAATTAGATCGTTGATTTACTCATTAGATTTTTCGACTCTTTGACATACACACTACAAAATTGAAGATTGCATAATTAAGCTTCAACTATGGAATCTGTCACCCAAAGACTTTTTCTCTTAGGAATCTAAAGCTTGAATGACGAGCGAAAGTCATCAAAAAGAATTTACCAATTTCGGGAGCCTCTGAGTTCCTCCAGCGCCTGGTAACAAACCAAGAAGTACTTCTGGTTGTCCAAGATTTGTCTTTGGGCTGTCCAATGCAATTCTGTAGTGACAGGCCAATGCGAGCTGTAGGGAAAACGTTACTATTGAGCCTATGTGGAGTTGCACTTAAAACGGTTTTTTGTACGTGGATAGGGTGCAATATTTGGTGAAAATCTCACACAATATTTTTTGCATATGTTTCTGTAGCTGTCTCAAGAGAGGTCTTTAGTTTTTCATTTTCATTTTCTTTTTTTCATTTGCTTAAAGTAGGTTCAAGAAAAAGCTGAAATACAGCTAACTGATGCCTTCTAAAACAAAAACAAACAAAATATTGTTATCATTTTAGAAAGTTGATAATAAATAATAACTTGACTTCATCAATTAGCTACAAAAACACAGACAATGCCGTAGTGCCGTAGAGCTTTGCCGTACTGCTGTCAAAGGCTGATGATGAAGCCTTGAATGGGTTTTCTATTATTCCTTCATTGATAATTCTATAAAACATACCTCACATCCACCACCTAAACAAGAGCCACTGATAGCCGCTATAACTGGCTTCTTGCTGTCCTGAAAGTGAGAAAGGAACTTAATTCCTTTCAAACTTAACGGTTTTTTACAAAGAAAGATACTTAAGGGCTACAGATCCTGGCAAAAAAGTTGGCAATATTAATGCTGACACAATACGATGAACAATTGGGCTTCTGGTACTGCAAAATGTAAAAATTGCACGGAAAAGCAGAAGCATGTCATACTTAAGTATTTTTATTCCCAAAGTATGAATGTCGGATGATGTCCAAATTTTCTGCTTACCTTTGGACATTATCCGACGCTTAAACATTGACGATTGTCGGAAGCAAAGTATTTTGTTATAGTCTGACATATTGCCGTTTTCGGTGCTATTTTCAAACAATAAGATGTGTGCGTTAGAATCAAGAAAATATATTAGTTTAGTAATATTCAAAACAAAATACAAAGCAACAACTAATGCATTTAAAAATGTCCTGATTACCTCGACCGCTTGGAAAACTTGCTGACCATTTTTTGAAATTTCCGTTGCCTAGAAAATATCAACAGCTGAAATAACGAGCAAATATATTGAAAGTAAAACCTCTGAAAAAAGCCTAGATAAAAATTTATTCCAAAGGAGTGAGAACATCCTTTAAGGATTCTTGTTTAAGTGTTTACTTACTTATGAATTTAGCTAGAGAAAATCTCTCTTATCTAAGGAAACTGTGACAGAAATTTTAATAGGACGTAGGAAATGCTCAGTTTATAAAGTGTATCAAGGATGATTCTTTGCATATAACCATAAATCTAAGAGAAATGTGCAGCAATAGGAAAATGATCAAAACCAGAAACTAGATAGACATCTAAATTCCTGCTTACCTTTTCAATTGTGTCTGCAGCATTCAGCATGCTAAAAACAATTAAATAAATGTGTTTTGACATTATAAAAATTTATCATATATACATGAAATATTATACAGGTTCAAAGATAAAAAAAACACAAAAGGCTAACTAGAACTAAAAAGAAAAACAAAGTTCTAATCGGTTATTGAGGTAACAAACGATGGCTTGGGAATTCAAATATATTTAACAAGTAAAGCAAATGATAGAAGAGCAGATGATTTATCTTATTTTTCAGCGAATAAGTCGACTTTAAATTTTTGGTTGAAAATACCCGACTTTTTGCAATATCTCGCTTTTAAGTGGACCCGCAAAACTTGCTATCATTAACTGTGAATGGTCTTGGGTCACGTCGTCGTGATTGAGTATACTTCGATACAAAGTAAAATACTTCTATTTTGCGTATACTTGCACAAAAAGCTGTCACTCACAAAATCCTTTAGTCCCTCCAGGTGAATATTTACAAAGACCAAAGAGTTTTATTCACCAAGTCTTTTCGACAAGCGCTGAAACTGCTAAGTTGTCTAATCGGCCTAATTTTTTGACGTCACCCTAATTGAGTATACGGTTATGCGCCTGCACAGTGGTCAAAATAGAGGTGTACGCAGTAAGAATAGTGTTTCAGCCGAAACGTTGTAATTGTCCCGTGAACCATTAAAAAAATTGCGTATATTTGCATAATTTGAAAAAAACGGAAAATGTGAAAATCCAGAAGAAACAAAGCAATAAACTACAATTTTTGAGTTTTTATAATCAATTAAAAACTTGAAACTTGGACGTAATGCTTGGCAATATACTAAAACAAGTTAAAGATTAAGCTTAAAAAGCTTCGTTAAAATTATGCTGATAAAATGTTAGCACAGTCTATGAATTTAAACAAGCTACGAAAAAACAGTCAGGTTCACACAGCTCGACAAGCTGTATGCTCCATACCACCTGAGTGTCACAAAGTGCCATTACATTCCTACCGATGACCGTACGTAGTGAAACTTTTAATCCTAGTTAAGCTTGTCTGATATTTTCTCCTGTTGGAGGTTTTGGAGTTGCCATGAATGCGAAATTGTGAGATAATATTTGTCTAAATTTCCTAGTTTTAGGAAAGTTTTTTGTTGGCTTTCTGCATTTTAGCTAAGAAAACAATTAGTCGAATATTTGAACTTTCAATCAAGTAGACTGAAAAACGTTTATAATTTATTCGCCTTTAACGCAAGCCCAATCCATTTTCTGTGTGTCGTCGATATTGCAATTCAAGTTAGTGCAACTAACATGACACCAATTGCGACACGATTCACATTCAACCCAGTCCTCTTCGTCATCATCTCAATGGCCATATTCGCTGCACGATTCCTTGTTCAGGTTATGTTTCTCACTGCCTGTTTCTTGCCTTTTCTTTTTTCTTTATCTTTTGCCTTTTAAACATATATCCTCCATCTCCTTCTTCCTTTTATTTTTCTCTGTTTTCTTTCTGTTCGCTTCCTTGACCAACTCGTTTCTTCTTTTCTCGGCATCTTGTGCTTCGAGGACTTTAATGCAATTGTCTTCTACGTCATACGATTCCTCCAATCTCTTTTCAAGCAATTTCAATCTTGTACCAACGACTCGATGGCGATCATTTTTGCCCTCCTTGATTGGTGTCGAGGTGTATGGTCCGTTTACTGACGTATCAAAGGTCTGCGTGGTTGATGGCGTGCTATCAATATTGTTTTTGCTCTTGAATGTTCTTGCTGGTGCAAAGGCTGAATCTTCGATGGCGCTACAATTATGGAACATTTGAAAGCTGCTTTGATAACATCTGGCCGTGCAGATCGGCCGAAAGTTCGTACAGAAACATGGGGAAATGTGCCTTTCTAGACTACTAGACCAGGATCGGCTGTAGCAAATTGCTTTCTTCCATTCATTTCTTGATACGTTGAAATACCTGCGATCAGCTGGCTGTAGTATGTGCGATGTATGCAGTGGTAAATGCCACTCTCTTTGCAAAATAGACTGGTTTGATAACTTATATGGGAGATGTGCCCATCTATCAACAGTAGAACTGGTCGTGTTGGTGGAATTTGTTCAACAAAGTGGCTGGCTATGCAGCCATAGAAATTTTGGGCTTCTATCCAGCCGTTGTCAGAAAAACCGAGGAAATAATTCTTAGGGAAGCCTAAGCATTAGAGAGGATTTGCCGGGAAAATTTCTAGCTAGTGGTATTACAAATCCACTGGCAGAAATACACTTCAATGAGGTAACTGAGGTTTTTGTAGAGCCTGTAGGATAGAAGGCCCTTTTCATTATTTTTGCAACACGGACTCTTCTGTCTGAAGTGGACTGGAGAGGAAAACTGGATTCATCACAATTAAAAATTATTTGGTCTGGAGATCAAATGAAACTGTTAAACCAGGCGCAAGCGTTTTCTTTTGAACACACAGTGGCCCTCGAAAGATCTACTGCTTTGATTCGAAGCATGTTGAGGCCCGGGTGTCTTTGTAAAAAGCCGTACCACCATGTTTTACCTGATCTAATTACTTTAAAAACTTTATTTTTCTCACGGCTGCATCCAGAACTTGCTTCACAGCACCACAAATCTCTTCATGTGTCTTTCTAAAACCACGTCGTCCACATTCTTTTACCCAGTCGGCAATAGCATTCTCTTCAACATCCGTCAAAACCATATGCTTTCCGTGTTCGGGCATCAAATTACGATTATTTCATATTCTTCTTAATGTTTTAAAGGTATTTCTTTATCTTTGCTTGCCTTTAAAATGGATGATCCGTTTCCAATTTCGTTTAATGCCTCTCATTGCATTTTCACTGTACTTTAGGCACTTTTTTACAATTTTTTTCGGGTTTCTCCCTGGCATAATTCCTACAATTTTAGAAACATCTTAGCTTGGTAAACAAGCAGGAGGATCCACAATTATACCTTTAAATCATTAAACACATCCGTCTTACTGAGACAAAACTGAGAAATATGTGTGTTTCAATTTCTTATACACGGGCTCCGACACAGGTTGAAAAGTGGGGTGGGGGGGTGCGAGGGAAATATAACACCCATTACAAAAGGTTTTGCAGAAAAAAGCGGGGCCCCTTTCGTCGGAACCCCTATTATGGCTTCGCCTTATGATTGCATATTTTAACTTCTATATTTTATTTCTCTAAAAAATTTCCAAAGTTCTACTGAAAGTGGGACGTGGGAGCCCCATCCCCTTTCTTTTCCCTGCTCTTTCCCACCTTTTCCCCTCCCTCCTTCCCTTTTTCTCTTCTTCACTTTTTCTTGCCACTGCTCCTATTCTGCTTTTAAAGATAAATGGAAGCCTCTCACTTAATATCACTACGAAAAGCCAATATCATATATTTGCATAATGCATGCAAAACATGAGATACAAATCTTAGGGTCCCCAATCAAGGCCAATGGTGAAAAGAATATGAGAATTGGCGATTTATATAAAGTACTTCATTCTCAACTGAAAGAGTGTGCTGAAAGTCAACCTTTCTGCAGCGGAGAAAGTTTTGTACATTAAAAAAAATGCTATTAAGTAAAACAATACGGAAAATGTTAAACAAAAATGGCGTATACATACTTTGTAAGCCGAGGTGAGTATTTTTTACTGAAAATATTTTGCTCTTCATTTGTACCATTCGGAAAATAATTTGTTCATGTTGAGAAAATGCCGTAAGAAGACGATTTCGCGCTCTTTTGGTCGCAGCTTCGTCCCAATTTCCTTAATATTTCGCGATTATTTATACTACATAAAGGCTAAATTTCAGGGTATACTCGATCAAGGCGACGTGACCCTATATCCAATTAAAGAGATTTATAAATAAATTCAATTTTTGCTGCCCCAAGTTAAAAATCATTCTTTTCTTTTGAGGTATAACTGGCAAAAATCATGATACTCAAGAGAGAAGAAATTTTGATTTTAAAACCACAGATAACACAACCCAATCAAAGTTGTTTGAACAGAAATCTTTTTCTCAAACAGAAATCTTTTTCTCAAACAGAAATCTTAATACCATTCTGTTCTATACACCAAAAGAGTGTTAAACTCTGCCTTCATAGCCTGTGCTCCAGTCCACAAATGCTGCCACATTGATAAATAAAAATATCCTGTCCACACTTTGCGCCAGGATCTGGTGGTAATTTATGCAGCCCCATCAAAATTATGCAATTAGCTGAAATTGTCAACGGTTCCAACCTTGTAAAACTTTAAGCTCTTCATGCACCATTTTATCTATGTCCTGTTTAGTTTCAGTGAATATTTTTTCGCAGATTACTCATGCAAAATTTCAATGGTTTCATTGCATAAATTATTTTCATAAACTAGACCAAGCCCTCTGTCTGGACAGAATACCTATCAATATTGCACAGTCCATAAATGTGACAGCATTTGTGGACTTGGGTGCAGGCTATCCTTTCATGGCATAGAGCACTTTATGACAGACCAGTAAACAGTAATTTTATCAAAAAACCATCCAAGGCATATATACTTGGAGGAATAGTTGATTTCACAAAGGGGAGCATAGTCAAATGAGAACAAAACTCTATCAATATCACCATGTTTTGAAAATGTTGGAAGAGAAACTTTTTCCAAAAATATTACTTGTGAGAAAAGCATGTACCTTATATCAGCACCAGCAATGAAGCATCCTGGCTTTGAGGAAATAAGTACAATGCTCCCAACATCTTTGTTTCCAGAAACTTCTTGGAAGACCTGAAAAAGTTATGATGAATAGAAAGCTTTACTTTTCGAATTCTTTATCAGTAAATCATCAACTATGAGCATATGGGTTGCCAAATATTTCATGCCACACACAGTAAATGAACCAGGCCATAGAGTTACAATGTCCTCAGATGACCTCTTTTGGCTAAAACTCATACCCTATATAGGGTGATGGGCCACTTATGCAGGGCAAGGGATAAGATAAGTCTGTGATGCTGTTTTAGGCATTACATCATTGCTAAAAAACTAGTACATTTGCATAGCATTGTGAAGAGCAAACCTAAACAGACAATAATACAGGATTTCAGTGATCAGTTAGTTTGATTTAACAGACTCAAATGGCAGATAAAAATTATTTGGACTTACATCAACAAATTCTCGTGTCAAGGCCTCAGACAATACATTGACCTGTGAAAAATTTGAAAAGTAACTTCAAAGATTTAACAGAAATACAAAAGGAATAGAAACTGTAAGCTTGGTCATACATCACATGATGTGACATAATCCTCTGGTGTTAAAAACATGGATGGTTAGATGGAAAACTGGGTTTTAAGGTTAATAATTTATTTCATTTGATTGTCAATTTATCATCTTGTTTTTGTGACTGGCTTCTATATCAATAATCTTACTCTAAATATCTTTATTTTTCTAATTTCCTTTCATAGCTGGGTTTCATCAACAAGGCCTCAAAAATTGTAAACCAAGTTCACGATTGATTTTAAGCTTTGAACTTGACTTCTGGTATTGATGATTTTGCAATCAAAATGATCCTCATTAAAGGCTAATGGTTCGTTACTTTTCCAGTTGAAGACAAAGTTTTACAAGTCTTGACTCTGGGAACAATGGTTTGCATGTTAATTTGTTTTGGTTTCTGATAGAAAGATGACAATTGATTGCTCAATTTAGCTGTTAAAAGAGTTTCTACCATGAACAACAAAATATATAACATACAAAAGGAAAAGCACGCCACTTTAAAGAAACTATCACTCCCAGATGAGAATGCACAGCATGAAAGCATCAAATGATGTCATAAGGTAACTTGGCTATTGAAAAGCACAAATTTTGTGAGAAATCCTAAAAGAGCTGAGGTTATTGGGGTTACACAGATTAGAGCCTGACAGGGTGCTAACTAAATCTTAAGCCTCTCTTGACTTCTCCCCTTGGCCAGTCCTGACTATGAATTAACCTCAGAGTATCAGACTGTGGCACCAGAGAAACAGGACACTGAAAATATAAGAAATATATAATATACCTTTGAATTGGGTGTATCAAATCTGATGACTGCAACATTGTCTTGAATATCGTAATTTACAAGTTTTCTTCCTAAAAAGAAAGAAACTTCACTGTTAATACTTGATGATCATTAAATTTTAAGACATCATCAGTATAATTATTATGAAAAGATATGTTATGAAGAATATCACTCAGAATATTTGTTCATTGAATAAAAAACAATAACCTATTGAAACATAACATAATTGGTATAAGATATGCAAAAAAGGTTAGGTAAACATTTTTGATTGATACACATCTAATTTTATTCTATTTTCGATGCATATCAACAAGTTGATACTCATGTTATATTTTCATACGACACCCTTATCTGTTGATTTTTCTGACTCTTGTTTCAACTTGAATTTGGAACCAATTACATATGGTAAATGACAAGGAAAAGGGAAACTGTAACATACTAAATAACTTTTGGTTGGTTAGCAAATACTGATCGGTCAAAAGCAAGAAACCAAACAAACTAGGCGTTCTTCCTCTTATATGAATAAAGAAAAAGGCCACGATAACAGTCTGCTCGACAAACTCCAAAGAGTTCTTGCAGCGAAAAATTTATGAAAATGTAGCAAATAAGAAACACCACAATGCAACTAGAATGATCAACAATAAATACACATAAATTAGTGAAGGCTACACCTAAATTGTTCTTCCTCTTGCCTTACTCTGAGCTTGGACATGTTTTGATAATATGTGGCACCTGCTTCTCGGAGGGTTAGAGGCATGGTCTATGAGACAGCCGCTGTTTCTACATTATTTTAGTGCTGCACACAATGCTTGAAAAACATAACCTATGCCGACAATATGTACCTTCATCAATTTTTTTAGAAGAATCATGTAGTCATGTTATGATCAGAGTTGAAAAAGGTTATTGACCTTCCTCCAACCTCCAGCTAGGTATTGTTCTGTACTTGACAAATCCATTCAATAAGGGGTCTTTATGTCCCATTGTTCTGTTTTGGCACAGCATAAGGGCTCTTACCCAGTGGCGAAGCTGGCCTTAAGTCAATGGTCATGCTTTGTATGGGAGAAAAAGGGGATGGGGGTCTGGGGGCATAGCCCCCAGGAAAATTACACACAACCACACCCTATAGATGCTCGGAAAAGGGGGGTAACGCCCTTTTTAGTATATTGAATCAAATAGCTCTTGTTTAGATCGCAATCAATGATGTCAAGGACTTCAAAATCTAAATGTTTTTTCCACCCCATTCTCCAATGTTGTGTTTTGGAAATATCTTTGGGACAATGTTTTGAAAAATTGTGCATTTGAAAACCCCCAACAAACACTACTGATCATACTGGAAACACATTGCAGATGAGAGAATATTATATCTACAAATATTTTTCAAAATCTAAACTTTTGATAAATCAGCTTATTTAAATCAGCAAGGGCTAAGAAATATCCATTCTCTTACTATTGATTATTGACACTTTTGATGATGTTTCTGAATTAAGATGAATTAGGCAAGATAAGCCCTCAGTGATAGGTAGGCCCTCCCTTGTTTATGATACAGGGAATTGTGGGATGCTTGTTTCTTGGTTCAGAATTTTATACTTAGCTTCAATTTTATAAGCTTAATTTTTACATATCTAAAACAAATGTATCAAGGATAGTACTGTTTAGCATATACAAAAAGTTTTGACCCCTGTATTTAAGGTGTAACATGCCATAAACATCAACAAGTTAAGTCCAAGCCCAACATCAAGGGCTTTCCTATAACTTTGGTCTTCCATGTTTAAGAAACTCCATAGTTTTCCTGGCAACCGAAAGCCATGGGGAAATCAAACTGCACTGAGAAGGTTGGCTGTGTGGAAGCTACATATATAGTGTGATTAAAAATCATTTCTAAATTCTATCCATCAGCGAATTATAGTCAAATATCCAATAACAGGCAAGTTCCAGAGTGCAATTTCATTATCATCATCAAGTCATGGTGTAATATTGAATAACAGGCAAATTACAGGGATACAATACATTTGCATTGCATAGGGTACAATGCAAATTACATACATGTATTAACAAAAGTTATAGAGTAATATTGAATAAACAAGCAAATTTAAGGGCACAATTTCATTTATCAACAAAAGTTATGGTGTAATATTGAATAAACAAGGAAATATAAGAGTACAATTTCATTTATCAAAAAAAGAGTTGGTGTAATATTGAATGCAGGCAAATTTCAGGGTACCATTTCATTTATCAGCAACAAGTTATGGTGTAATATTAAATAACAGGCAAATTGCAAGATGCAATTTGAATTTTATTTTATACACAACAAGTTATGTTGTAATATTGACTAAACAAGAAATTTTTAAGAGCACAATTCTTTCTATCAACAACAGGTCTTGGTGAAATATTGAATAAACAGGCAAGTTTTCAAAGTACAAGTTCGTCCCTCTCAGCAACAAGTAAGGTTGTAATATTGAATAAACCAGATAGAATGGACAGGCAATTTCCATCCATCATGTAAAATTCCATCCATCAGCAACAGGTTATTGTGTGATTTTGACAAAACAGGAAATTTTCAAGAGTACACAGGCAGCCATGAGCAAGAGGTTTTGGTGAAATACTGAATACACAGGCAAGTTTCAGGGTACAAGTTCGTCCATCAGCAACAAGTTATGGTATGATCAGCAACGTAGTGGTAGGATTCTGCATCGATAAGGGTCGGCCTTTGGTTTTCAATTACAATTTTGGTTTACAATTACCTTGCTCAGCCACACGCAAGTGATCCCTGTAGCAGTTAATAGACAATATATCTCTCGGAAATAGCTTCGATTGAATTTCCCCACTCCCTTGCAGCAATGTTTCTCAGCTCACAAGTAGACCTTAGATACTTCATGTATGGGAGATTTAGGTCGGTCATGCTGAAAAAAATGAGCATGACTTGGGGTCCAAAACGGGCCAAGATAGCATGCGCAAGATAGAATTCAGCCAATCAAATCAGTGCTAGGTTTATGATTATAATGACGAGGTCATGCTATTCCAAATGAGCATGACTTACCGCAGGGATACCAACTGAAAAGTCATTGAAACTCAGCCGACTCACAGGAGCGGTTGGGCTCTCTGAGGAAAGAAACCCTATGGCAGGTCATGCTCTCCAGAATGAGCATGACTAACCACAAGAGACCAAGGTAGGGAAGGGCAGTGAAATAATAACAATCAACTGGACGAATGGAGTTTTGAGGGTACTTTTTCAATAAAGAAAAGTTTTAATCATTATAATAAATGTCTTTAGCTCTGAAAATTTTTAGTCATGCTCAGCATGACCAGCATGACCGCTAGCTTCGCCACTGCTCTTACCAAGCTTTTCAAGAGTATAATTTTACTGACACACAACAATAGTTCCTCTTTGATCAAAAAAGACATTGAAGCTTGATCATTAAGCTTTAAATTTGAAGTATAACCCAAAGATTATCATGCAATGGACATGATCTTTTATGATTCAAGGTATTTTGAGAGAATTATTTTCTACAGTTTAAATAGTAGGGATAAAATATAAAATCCTCATTATTGGTCTAAACCTCCAACCAAACCAGGTTTGTATTCTTGTAAGGTTTTTATGGCTCTTGTCCTTATCCTCTGGTTCTCTGGTTATGGTAGCTAATTACCTCCCCCCCTCCCATACATCCCTCCTCTTGTGGTGCTGCTGTGGCATTTGGGTCATTACATCATGTTTAATACTCAGAGGAGTACCAAATGAAAAATGCTTTAATTTACTATGATTCAGATTTTTGGCTTTTTCAAAGTATGCATTACAAGAGGCTCATTAAATTTAACATTTTAGCTTCAAATGTGTACCTGTTGCTTGTGTTGCTAGGAACCTTTGGGTTACCTGAGAAGATAAACCTAGAAAGGAAAGCAAAAAATATGCCTTACAAGTTAATCAACAAAAAATCTCATTTGGATAATAAAACAGAACATTTTAGGGTCATCAAAAAACTACATGTGATTACATTCTAAAGCTGTCCTTCCAAACTTTATATTTGTTACTCTAAAATGCATGCTCTGCCAACCATGAGAGGTTCTGTGGCACAACAAATTTAAGAATTTTTTTAAGTCCAACCAGGGGCGGATCCTGAGCGAATTTGAAGGAGGGACAGTTGGTAGTGGGGGCAATGAAAAACTTTCAAAAACTGGTCACGAGAGTAGGCTGTATACAACAGTTTCAGATCCATTTTCAGAATAAAAAACATAACTTTGAGTTAATCCTTGAAGCAAATTAATCAATCGGTCCAAGAACCTTTTTCATCTGATTTTCATTCTTCAAAAAGGGCGCACAATTTCCAAAAAAGGGGCGCCAGACTTGCTTCAACTCGTTGAGGGAGGGGCACTGCCCCTAGTTGCCCCCCCCCTTAAATCCGCCACTGAGTCCAACCAATTGTGATCACACACACACACACACTCAGACAAAATAACAAAAATAATAAAATGTTGGTAATAAATAAGGATTGAGTAACAAGTTTATTACAATAACATGCTGCAAGCAAATTTCATCTCAATAATAGTCTCGTCCTAGTCAAAAACGATCAATCAAACCTTCATCTGCCAGCGCTTTCTTAAACGCACGAGCTTTTCATTACTAAAAGAACCTACAATTACTCAATTCGCCTTGAGTTGCATCAAACAACACCAACAAGAACAACGGAACAATTTGAAAGTCCTTTGACCACGTGAAATGGGTGGGAGTCCGGCAAGGTAGAATTAAGGCAAAGTAACTTAAAACTACATACCGCAAAGAGGTTTAACATGGCCAATTAACCTGGATGCAATTGACCTGGCCTGTGATGATAACATGGTTGCTTTTCGGCCAGCCACTTACACTTTTAAAGACGCAAATTCGTGGCAGCAGGCGAACTCAAAACTGTCCAAAGGAAAAAGGCCGAAGTCCAAGCATGCCTCAGTTTCGATGACAAACAGCCTCCTTTTGCTGGTGCCAATGTTTTGAAACACTTCGGTTTGATTTGAGAGCTCTTTTGCTTTAAAATGAGATGCGACAGCTGATTTCCACCTTGCCGAGCCTAATCTGTATCATAATTTGACAGTACATTAGCAATCAGTTTTAAATGTTATATTATATCAATGACGTCAAATTTTATGTTGCCTAGCAGCAACAAGCCGCAAATTTTGAAATGATGTTAGTCACGTGGGAAGATCTTGAAAAGTTGCATTTATCAATATCGAACGAAATTTAATCCAATTTTGGCTTTCATGTTTTGTAAACTTTTTAAGACCATTTGAACTGGACAACACATTTTTATTTTTTATCTTACGTTTCAATTCACGAGTATATGATATTAGGTCCATGGGTAAAAACAATATCCTTCAACAGGCCTAGTAATATTTCAAAAAGATTAATTTCCATCCTTCAACTATTTCATTTTTAGCATTTCAAATCTAGCATCCAAATTAGAAGAATTGTATTTGGATTTAATGGAAAGAAAGGACAAAGGGCGTGGCCTAGAATTTGGAATTTTGTACCCACCATCTCCCATCCACCAGGCCCAGGGACTTGCACCGCCACTACTTCAATCGCTTTTGAACAAAAAGTTTGCTTTTAATGGACAAAGACTAAAGCAGAAAGAACAACTGGATTTCACGTATCACTGTCTTTAAAGATAATTTTGCCATGCAACATAAATCTTCAATGAAACGTAACAGAATAGAATAATTCCTTTAAAATCTACAATATCGTTAAGGTAAACTGAATTTCGATATTTCAGTAATATGTTTAGTGAAATGTGATACAAGTACGTGTAAGCAACTTTGGAATTATTATTTTAAGTGATATGGGCATAACAATTGCTAGTCGTCCGGCGACGTTTAGGGAGGAGGCCATTAGGCATTACCTCCCCATTTATTATCATAACATTAAGAAATCTCTATTTCTATTACTTTTACTTGTCTTCCTTAATTGAAGGTTACGAAACGGGGGTAATAATCATTAATTTATAATGCATATAATAGTCAGGCAATATCAATTAAGAATTTTTGTATAACAATGTCTAGGCTTCTAAACCAATTGCAATTTTATAAAGTGACTTTAAAGCAAATAAAATATTATTTCAGGATTATCTACGACATTGCATTTACTGGTTACTATTTCTAAAAGCATTGCGTCAAATAATACATAATATCAAAAACACATAAAATTACTATGAAAGATTTTGATAAAATAAACCTCTACGGTGCGTCACTTTCCATCTACATACTTCGTTATCCAATATTAAATCTTTCAATTCAAGATCCTGTCCAACATGTAAAAATAAAGTAAACTGAAAAATTCTTGTCATAAATATTCTTTGGAAAATTTAGTAGATATAAAAATCAAATGAATGCTTTCGAATATTGCTTTAAAAAACTAAAATTTATTTGCTAGCCAGTATGACAATGTATACGAAAAGATTTCTCATTTGTGATTGTCGAGCATCTTTGCCTGCCGGATTAAGCAACTTACTTTTCTAAATAACTGAAAATTTCATGGTTTAACTACATTCTAAAATATGTACACTTCCGGTTCATTCGTGTATTATATCTCAACCTCATAACGCAATAAAGTTTGAAAGTCATTTCAAGTTAAGTCATAATTTGCGTGATTTTAGTCTTCTATTTATTCGTCAAAAATTTCCCATTGTCATGCTGCAATTCTTTCGACCACAATGAACCCCATGAATGCATAATTATATTTCTTTTACCAGAACTTGTTCAAAGACTGTCAAGATCCAACTGCAACCAATTTAATATCATACAATGGTTGCAATGTCTTATTTATCCTCATTTAGAAGTCGTTTGCAACACTCATCCTAGGAGGGTATTCGGTCTCATAGCGGGCGCGTTTTTCGGGCGAATATACTGGTGAAGTGTTCATCGAGGGATAACTGGTTTCAAAACTCTTTGATTCGATCATTTCTGGCATTTGGTAACTCATTCTTGTCGTCCTCGCTCGTCGTTGAGCCCAGTCGTACGCCATTTGCTTCGGACAGTACGGACTGGTACAACAATCGGGTCGGCCGGCTGAAGATTGTTCGACGCTTGACGAAAACAGCATCGCAATGTTTCGCACTCTTCCGAAACTATCGCCTTCACTGAAAGGTACCCGAAAAGATAGTAGATCCTGCGAAATCCTCAAAACAGCCTGCAGAATATTGTCGTTGCTTTCCTCAAGAGTCATTTTCAAGGTCTTCTGTGTATGGAACGGAAATATATACTGAAGCATCTCCACGTGGTTTGGCTTCGCTGGATACCCAGTATAAGCGATGAGGTTTGCCTCTGATGACGTCACAGATGAAGGGCTGCGGGATTCGTCGTAATGTACTGTGGGCGAAGATGCGCGGGAGTCTTTTGAAGGTTGCTTCCTTTTCTTCAACGGAGTAAATGCGTTAGAATCGTTCAGTTCGACTTTGACGTCACAACCTATGAGAGAGATTAAATATATTACTTCTTCTTTCATTCTCTATACATATTTCATTCTCATTCTCTAATTTTTAAACATTAAATTATTGCTCTAAATCCTACCACCAACATTCGGTCAGTTTTTCAAGGAAAGTTTTACGGTGATAAAAAGCTAAATAAGAACTCCGGCTCTTTAGCAGCTGAAGTTTTAAAGTATGGCATGAAAAATACTAGAAATTGAATTTTACAAAAGGTGAATATTGAAATAGAGACGCATGAAAGCATCATATTAAGACGTTTATTATGGCCACATCCTAGAAGAGTGAGAAAAGGCCATTTTTGTCGGCAAAGACATTACTGAACCCTTAATACTAATACACGGTTGCCAGGCAATACAAAGTGACTTTGAACTGCAACAAACCATCCTTTGGTTCTGAAAAGCTGCAAAATGGCCCTCGTTTGACAATAAAAGGATGCACCCTAACCACGTTTCATAATTTGGAAGAAAGCAGGAATCCTAAAACACATTGCTTTGAATGCGTATGAAGTTTATAATTGCATAGAAAGTTGAGGTGGCAAATTCTAGAATTGCTCATTTTCAGCCAAATGTATGGAATTGTACCAATTATCTAGAGCATCTGCAAAACAAAAGACCTTGCGGGGACCCAGGTGTGAAAAATATAATAGTTTCCATGAAGCAGAAATTTCTCCTCTCTGATCTTACTGATCTAAATTAACACTTTTTAATGACTGAACACCCAACCACCTGTATAGCCAGGGCTGCTTAAAGTGGCGCATCATAGCCTGACATCATTGGGAATCTGCTGGTCAATTTTCTCCTTTAAGGGTTCATACATTCAGCAGCGGTTTTAGGGACTGCGGAGCCCGGGGCCAAAAACATCTGCGGGGCCCTTGTTCTTTACAATTTCTATATTTTATCATAGGTGTGGGGCCCCTTTTGGCTACCATAAGCGCGGGTGCTGGGGCCATGGCCCCCTTGAACTCCCCTTAAAACCGCCACTGCATACATTTTTAGTGTCTCTTCGTAAATTGTGGGCTCAATGGACTATAAGATAGTAGGAGAAATTTAATGAAATAAGAGAAATCGAATCGATAAGGGGTTGCTAAGAGGAGTTTTTTTAAGTGTATATGCTTAATCTACCTTAAGATGTTGTCTTTTGACCGCTTTCAGTGCATTTTGAACTTCACCGTATTGACAATTAAATTTATTAAAAGCCGCAAAGCTAGCCACATTTTATCGAGTTTCATGAGAAGATAGAAGGGAAAAGGAATAATAGGGAAAGAAATTTTCTGCTATTCATTGCAAGTCTATGAATTTGTTTTTTCGCCTCTGAAAATTATGAAAAACCAAACAACCGAATGAAAGAAAAACCGAAGCATAAATTGCTGGCGAACAGCCACGAAAAGTAGATCGATATTGAGGCGGAATTATAGGGCCTTGGAGCACAAATCTACCGCACTTCTTGAAGATTTATACACGGACAATTGTATCCACTTGATGAATCGATAATTTAAATCTTCAAAGAAGTAAATCTTTCGTTTTGCCAATTCAGTTTCTATGTTCTTCCTTCACTGTTTCTATTCATAACTCACAATAGAACTCCCTCTCTCATGCAAAGATAAAACATGTAGGTGGCGAGAATTTTAGGGAGCCGTTGGCAGTTGAATAGCTGTATTTCTCATCAAAATATTCTTTGAATATTCTACAACAAAAATATCGCTGCCTACGCCTTTTCCAGTTCGCTCAATGCCGTCTTTATTAAAATCTTTCTGAATTTAATTAACGAAAAACTATGTTAATTACTTGAAATTCCAAAATGATGAACAAACATATCTAAACAAATTTTTAAAACACAGAACGCATTTTCTTGCACATTTCTGTGAAATATTTGCAGGTCTGATCGAACAATGCTGTAGCAAGTTGTTTCCAATACGGGAACCTGCTATCAAATTATGAGCTTTTTACGAAGATTGGCATTTAACCAATGGTATAGCGAAGTTAACTTTTTAGAATTCCTCCACCTGCCCTTCTTGGCGAAATTTTTATTACTTGATTTCCTGTTCAAATTTCAATCAAGTTTTCCTTTAATCAAGATATTTTTCTTATCTGAGGTATTAGCTTAGCATGATTATAGAATTTATCCAATAACTGTCACATTCTATGATAGTTCTTTAGTATTTTTTTATAATTATTGAGATCTACTTCTTTCTTCTCGCTCAGTGGTAAACAATGCAGTGCGTAGAGTTATTTTTACAAATTCCCAAAAATGGTTGGCTGAAAAGCATGAAAATTTAACTAGTGCTTAATAAAACGTAGCCGATAAACATATGATAGTTAAAAACGGCCATTTTAGTCGTTGATCTTACACCTTAGAGATAAACTTATTTGCAAGTTGAAAAGGACTAGCCAAAAGGTTATCTACATGAAAACATGAAAACACGTAAAAGAGGAAATGGAAACGGATTTCCAAGCAAATACTGTACCAATTGGAAGATAATTTTCTAAATAAAAATGATATCAAACTGCTATGCATTTTAGAATTTATTTAGTTCTAAAACGACTCATTCTGACAAAAGTTACGTTCTCAGACGGCACTGTAGGAATGTCGAAGCGAAACAGTCTATTGAACTGAACTTCCCCGAACAGAACTTTCAAAAATGGAATTTAAGATTTTCAACTCTCTATGATTGCAGCTTAAGGCCGTATCAAAAGCGCTGTCAGTTTTCAAAAAGAGTATATTGAGTTCTTCAAACTATAAAAAGATGAAATCAATATGCTACAATTTTTTCTTGTTTTTCTTTTCAGAAATTTTGACATATGATTGTTGCTTTTAGCGATCTAATTTTTTGAGAAACAGCCTAGGAGGAAACATGCTCCAGCATGTATCTAGCATTGAATTATTTACCGAGTAAATAAATTATAAGCTGTGATTTACCAAGAATAGATATTGAAGATGCAGAATTCTAGTAAAGATTTCTAGCGACGAAATCATTATATTATACTTAAGACATTAGATAAAAGCAAGGATCCATTAGTGACCAGGCCATATTGGGCGAAATCACATAATCTAAAAGGGTCATACTCTCTCAAGATTGAGCGAATAAATCCTGATTTTTCAAGTATTCAAAGCAAAAGTAAGTATATCTGAAACTCAGAACACATCAAGACTGTTGACTGCCTAAAAGAAGAAGATAATACCAAGGTTCTTACCTAATTTTGCATCAGTGTCCGTATTTCCGCTATGAAGAGTCTGGTGCCGATACAATGCTATCCTTGCTGCAGTTACCCTTTGTTTCTCGGTAACGATAAGGCATTCGTTGCATTGACATTCTCGCCACGGACATCTGTGCTTGTGACCCTTCAAGTCACTAACCATTCCATGATTGCGACATCTTGTGCACTTGGGCGATCGTCCATTGCCGTTATGCATGTTGTCGTGCATTGCTTTCTTTTCCTCGGTACCCATTTATACGAGTTTGAAGTTAGCCTAGAATTCTCTAAATCGAAAATAGATCTTTAGTATATCTTAACACTTAGGACCTTTGAAATAGAGAGTGAACTACTAACTGTTCCAGACGGCACTTTAATATATACTTTGAACAGAAAGTACGAAGTTGTTTAGCAGTATTTTGCGACACCCACTCAAGCTCTCTATATGGTACCTTTTTCCTTCTCTCCAAGTAGACCTATTTATATAATCCAAGATAACAAAGAACGAAATACCGCCACTTGTTGTGACACAAATCGTCGTTTGTTCAGAGGCGTGAAAAGTATTAATTATTCTCTTCAATTATGGCTGGTTTCTATACTAGCTAACTTCCGCTCTAACATGCAGCTGTTAGCGTCATCCGTTCGGTTGGTATATTTTCAAGACGTAGCAGCTTTCCTGTATAGAAATTAAGAAGAATCTCTTGAGGCCTCGGAGTGTCAGGTAGATCGCTATTGCCTAATACATGGCTACAAAATGGCTATTCAACGCTTGGGATCGCAGTACAATGCAACGCGGCGGCACTTTTCCGTTCTTTCCTGAAGATTGTTTCAACATTGTCCAAAACGTGATACGTGACGCTTGCGAACGGCCAATGTACCTCTCCGCTTTCTATGCGTCTTCGCCTCGCGAAGATGTGTCGACGGAATCCATAAGTTTGGTCGTTACTTTGATGCTATTAAAAATCGTCTTTAAATAGTTTCTCTAGATTAATGAACTCGTGTATTCAACAGCAATAAGCGCACCGCCACAGTTTATATCTCTTTGATTTCTCTATAGTCCAAAACGAACGGGTGGCTTTCCGATAAGCAATCGCATATTCGTACGAAATATTTTGGCGTCAAATATCGCTTCACGATGTAATTACTCGCATATAACGAGTTTGTTTCGGTAAACGATAAGGCTACTGGCCCGATTGTTTTCGGTTTTGGTTAATTCAAGTTACATGCGTGAGTGGTTTGCGGTCCTATCATCGCAACACGAAATTCTGTACAAAGAGATTCGTTGAATCTTCGATTTTTTGAAAATAAACGAAATAACAACAAATCTTTGTTTCCAATAAGCGACAACCTGAGGAAATTCAATTATGGATTCGGATATACAAAATGCGACAGCTATAGGCAAAGATTGTCTTGATTATTTTATGCTGCGGTCTATGATCACAAGTTACAAGCAAAACCATAAATTTGTAAAAACCTGTCACAAGTCACGAATGTTTGGCGTCATTGGGAATTTAAAGATTTTAGGTTTGCCTATTTCAAAATCAAAATAGAGTTTTGCATTGAAGTGACTTTATGTTTCAGTTGATAACAAGCGTCAGACAATTTGCAAAAAAGGAATTAAAAAGTTAAATAATAAAGGCAATTAGAGATTATTTTGTTTTTTTGATGCCCTTGATTAAACAACGTGATGGCAATATTCACTAAAAAAATAAATCCAACTTTGTTTCTTGTTCGTAATTTTTCGTTTTATTGCACTCTGTCAATCAATTGTACAGAAAAGGGGGGCTAGGCAATTCTTTAGGGCATGACTAGGAATATTTCTAAAGGGGGGTCGCTCTCCTTATAGATTCTATATTTCCTAGATCAATTTACATGGTAGCAATCCCACTTTGAAATTGCTAACTACGCAACTTTGCCTCGATGTTACTTAACCACATATGTCGACATAAGTAACTATACATCCAGAAAAAGTTGAAATTTTATAACAAGGAAGTGTGAATAAATAGGAATTGAAGAATAGTTAAACCCAGCCTCAACTTAAATGGTAAAATGTCAACAAACCTTCTTATGTTTAACATTAACAAAAGTCATCTTCCAATATCTCGAGAAAAACAGCCCTATCAATGTACTAATTAAGTGATGCAAACATTTTAGAACTTTTTTCAAACTTGTCTAACTCTGTTTAGCAAAATTACGCCTTAAGAAAGCTTCAGCATTAGAAAACGAGAAAATTCTCAGTTAAGAGTCACCTACCTATTATGATTTCGCTTATAATCAAGTTCTGAAAACCCGTGGCTTGTTAACAAACAACCTGTGATAAGTCATATTGACCCTGTTCAAAAGCTTCAAAAAGTACGAAAAATGCTGTTTGGGTGATAAACACAGGTTCCAAATTTTACACCTGACTTACTAAAGTATTTTTGTTCACAGCACTTCATGCTAGGCAGGCAAAGATTATTTATAACTTGATATTTTCACCAACAACCGTATATCAAATCAAAATGAATCAGCAGGGTCTAAATCATCTATCATATTGCGTAACAGCAATCAAAAATTAATCACAGACCAAGAAACCAATAAATCTCATGCCAATCACAAATCCAGCACATATCAATCAAAGACCATTAAACAGACAAATCCCATATCAATCACAAATCAATCACATGTCAATCACAGACCAATAAACAGATAAATCTCATATCAACCACAAATCAATCACATGTCAATCACAGACCAATAAACAGATAAATCTCATATCAATCACAAATCAATTACATGTCAATCACAGGCCAATAAACAGATAAATCTCATATCAACCACAAATCAACCACATATCAATCACAGACCAATAAAGAGATGAATCTCAAATCAATCAAATATCAATCACACATCAATCACATATCAATCACAGACCAATAAACAGATCTCATATCAATCACAGATCTATCATATATGAATCCCAATCGATGACAGATCAATCGCATATAAATAACAGATCAGGGATCATTACGTGTGTGGGGCCAGACAGCAAATTATACTTTGTGTGGAGAACGATAGATTTAAACATTGGCTGATATCTATTCCTCGTACGCCTAAAATGTCCGAAGTTAAAAGGGTTAAACCACTCTGAATTTCACGCGGATGAAAAAGAAAAATCAAGAAATAATTTGCGGGAAAATACAATCACAAAAAAAATTGCGAGAACAGAATTTAACAGGAAATCCTCGCGTGAAAAAACGTGTTCCGCAAGAAATGATTTGCGTGGAAAAAATTTGTGTGAAAATATTTTGAGGCTCGTGTTCTTATTAAATTGTTCTCATAAAAGTATAGCGAAACTTTTTCATCAGAATCTGTTCACCCTTGTCTTTCCCACACACTTTTAATAAAAAATCCCATCACAAAATTTTTGAATCCTTAAAAATTTAAAGATAAAACAGCACTAAATAGCAATCATGATCAGTAATCGCCTCTATCATTCAAAATCATTTACCATTGCGAATCGAGTGATGTCAGCCAAAATTCCCACGCTCTGAACCCCCTTAGGATTTTCGGTCAACGAGTCAAACGTACAAAGAGAAAAGGTGGCAGAAGAAAATATACAGTAGTTGCATATCTTATAGAAATGTCGCAAAATCGGTGCGTCAAACATTCATTGACTCAGGCGTACAACCCATTCATTCTCTGCAATGCAACTCTGCCAAGCGTACGGCGGCATAACACTGTCGACGTGAAACGATAAGACTTAACAAGACTTTCTCTCATATCCTTTAATGGCGGACATGCAAAAGCGAAAGAGGTTGGGAAACAGCTCCTTGATGATAAGGCTTGAAGATTAGGAATAGGGTAAGGGTTAGGTCTATATCTAAGGCCATACAGAATCTCTCGCACCGAGAATGGTTCATTGGAACTCGCGGATAAATATATATTTCTCATGACTGTTCGCGGAAACGCCGTGCGTCATGCGTCCAAAACCGTTTAACCGTTCTGAATTTCAGCGCGGATTACAAGGCGAAACCAGAAAATAATGGACGTGGAAATGCAGGGGCAACAACAATTTGCGGAAATAAGATATGACTTTAAAAAGGTTAAAATACAGTCCCCACACAAATAAAGCGCTACAGTCTCGGACTAGGATTTTTTTCAAGGGAGGGGGGGGGGGCTTTGATTTGTATTATATAGCAGTATATCTTAACCAAGATCTTTCAGCCCGTGATCGCCCCATTATCAAATAAAAGCGACCAATCCTTCGAATTCTAAAGATTCAACTGCTCTAAATCACGATCAGTAATCACTATAACAATAGAAAAATCATTGATCAATGAGAATCGAATGCTGTAACCCAACATTCCCACGCCCTGCACCTCCCTTGGGATGTTCGGTCAACGAGTCAAACGTACAAAGAGAAAAATGTCGCAGAGGAAAATATACAATAATTGCTTAATTTTGAGAAGTATCGCGAAATCGGTGCGTCAAACGTTTATTGATCCATGCGTACAGCCCATTCATTCTCCGTAATGCAACTTTTCACAAGCGTACGGTGACATAACATCGTCGACAAGAAACGATGAAAATCAAAAAGACTTTCACACCTTTTCTTGTATAGCGGACATGAAAAAACGAAAGGGATTGGGAAATATAGGTTGATAAAGAAAAACACATTTCGGTTTTGCGTAGTTTGAACAGTCATACATATCGGTTTCGTTTATCAAATCAATTTTGGAAGTACTTCACACGCGTTGAACCACAAACAAACTTAGTACAAGAAATCGGACAGATCCAGTAAAGTTGAGTTTTAACCATCACCAGGATATGTTAACTAATTATCTTATTTCATCTTGCCATCACTATATGCATTAATCGAGGAGGATGTCACTCCGCGAAAATCTCGCAGGGACCGCGTATTGGGGGCTGAGGGGGCTTTAGCCCCACAATAATCAAGAAAATGTGCTTAAAACCGTACAAAGAGTCACCTTGCTCTTGGTTTTTACCATGTTCATGAACATGACTATATCTTAAACAAAAATTGTCAACACTTAATTATTTGACAATTATCTTTTAATTACTTTCCTAACTCTAAGCATAATTTTCATTGATAAATTAAACAAAGTAAAAATTGTTATTGTTGATTCACCTAAACGTCAAACAATAAACTTCAATTAAAAATAACAAAGAGAAATTAACCCCTATTGCTTTGAGTTACAAACAAAGAATCCCCTTTCCCCCAAAGGTTCAACAAACAAAACAACAGGTCTTCTAAAACAACCAACAAGGCTTGCTCCATATCAAGCAAGTTGTTAATGGTTGCCAAAACCTCTGAAAAGCCTACAGACTCCGTACAGCCCAAAAAGATGGAGTTTAACTTGAACAAAAGACATTTTAGGGAATATTCTTGACTACAATCCAAGAATTGCTCTAAGGCACCCTTGCTCTCGTGGAAGATAGCAGGAGATCACAGGAAATCAAAGGTGAAGTAGGAGGTAGGGAGGTTGAGAAAAACGGGGATTCCTTGCCGCTGTTGACTCCCTAGTCTGCAGAGAGAACGGTAGAGCACAGTGTCACTTTAATCAAGCAATTGCTACTAAACTTGTTGAATATGATTACCCAGTTTATTAAATGCCACTTTTCAATGCTTACAATCGCTTCATATAAATTGAAATGTAAATGGAGATCAAAATTTTGTCACTAGAATCAAAGAAACAAAGTTTTTAGAAACAAAGAAAATGTTCCCATTCCCTCAGATTGTAAAAAACCCAGTAGAAATATCGAAATATATTGAAATAATGAAATTTCTACAGCAATCAATCATATATTACAAACGAAATTTCATACTAGTACAAAAGTATTCCAAAAAATATTCTATAACTTATTCGATAATATAAACAACTTGATAAAGATCTATACAAATCTATACAAAGCTTGAAAACATTAAAGGTGTCAGACGTGATTGGAAAACAAAATCAAGCAAAGGAAATTTCCATTGGAAAATGCTCAAAAGGCCTTGACAACATCTAGCTCTGAAATTGCTTTAAAAAATGGTTCTCAGAAAAAACTAAAAAGGGCGTGGTTTGGGCGTGGTATTCTTCACAGTCATTGACAGTGCAACTGCAATGTTCTCTTGGGCTCTGTCACAAAAACTGGGTGTTATCAACTCTTCATGCTGCAATCAGCGACTAAAAATATCTAATAGCTTAAAATCTGCCTTTGAAAGCAATCAACAGATACTAAAGGGACTTAAAGGCACTGACGCATTTCGCTGGCCATTTAAATTTCCCATTGGTTGGACCGTATTCAATCGGCTGACTCGCAATGTTTTCTCGATCATAAATGCGCTGCAAAGCCTTTAGCGGTTGACTGATGCCTTTTAGCCTTAAAGCCTTTTAGCCGTCTTTCACTTAAAAATTGACTAATCAGAGTTAGTGCTACACTCACACGCTTATTGATTGGCTAATAATGATTGACAGATGAATTTAAGCCACTTTATATCTGTCAATTGTCTTTGATATTAAGAACACGATGAAATATATCAAAGTAGGCAGCCTACAATAATTTCTCTAGAAGGAAAAATTTCTTCGGAAAAGGGTCCACTGTCAAAAAAAATTTAAAAAAATTAGTATTAAAAAGTGAAAAGGAAAAGTCCTCGATACGAGGCAACAACGTGTCCAAATTTATTCTTGAAAAATGTCTTTTTCGTTATATGCTTCATCGTTACATTTTGCATTGCTACATCTTTAAAATGGACCGCAGATTTCTTGATGTCATTGCCATTGAATATTACGGTATTATTTTAAACTACGTAAGCCATAAAAATGTACACTGTAATAGATCTCTCCGCATAACAAGCTACTGGCGTTTATCTCTCCATTGTGATCTCTCCATGTTCCGGCGAACTTGACGGCTACCTGTTCCGGTCACATGTTTCAAGGGAACAGAGGCACGTGAATTCATAAATTTTCCGGTTTACCTTTCCTTCTTACAATGCTGTTAATAATGCAATCCCTCCGTTTTCTTTGTACAATCCTACATTACTGAAACGCCAAAATAATTGAAAGGCCTCAACTAGAAGTTGGAACTAATTTGATATCTTAACTTAGACATACAACAAAATCTTCCGATTCATATGCACATACTTTTCTATGGAAGCTCAAGAATCAATGAATTGATCAAACCATTCCCATCGTCTCCACTATCAGAGCTGTACTCTTCAACTGGTTCAACTCCAAGGTTTTCGTTTCCGTCACGTGATCTTAGCCTTTGGTTGTTATGCCGCCGCCTGCGCATACTTTCTCGCTGCCTCGATATTAAGTCACTAGAGCGATAATGCAATCTTAGAACAGTCTCGTATACAAAAACCATACCTCGTACAGTATAGTGCCCAGCTATGCGAATGAATGTGCTCGTGAAAACGCAGATCCCGCCAATATACGCGAAAGCTACAAGAAAAATTATTGATATAAGATAAAAAAGACGTACTTCATAATGTGTTTACAAAAAAAGGCCTAAGTGGCGGGAATTGAGCTTTCAAAACAGTGAGGCAAGTGCAGCGAATTTTCCGAGTCGGTGGTTTGAGCGGTGACTTTCTTTTGTGTTTCTTAGGTCAAATATCCCATTCTTGTCTGGCTTTTTAGTTGGAGATTCCAAGAATGAAAGGGTCTCAGAAAGGCCTTATATGGTCGCTGAAATGCCATAACAAAAAGCATTGCTAGTAATCATATTTCTGCAGTCGTTCTCAAAACATTTTTGCTACCTAAGTCCCTTCAAATTCAGCCTACCTTCAATTTTGGCTCCCTTTAATTTTCGCCCCCCTTTTGTGCACAAGTTCGCTCCCTTTTATTTTCGCCCTCAAACCCTTTAAATTTTAAAGCTTTGACCTAATCAGTTTCCAAGCAATGAACGCTCATACGGCATGGAACTACACTCGGGCCTCGGAAAATTTTTTTTTTTGCTTGGAAACTTTTTGCTGAAAAATCGCTTTTGCCCTTTTTTCTTGAATTATGGAGGTGCTTTAGAAGGTCGTGTACGAGACAACAAGTATAGAAGATCGCCAATTCCTAAAGGTGGACTCGAAATACCGATTGTACTAATCGTTAATAAGAATAAGACGCCAAGTTATGTCTTCAATCAAATGAAAGAATATCTGCAAGACTACTATATTGAGCCAGAGAAGATGATAGTATCTTCTGACCAAACTGAAGCCGAGGAGAGATTGGCCGCTGATGATTTGGACGAGTATGGCCCTGAGGAGGAGAACACTTTGGAAATGGAAGAACAAAATCACCCTTCAGACATTGGAAAGGACAATATTATCGTTATCGAAGATTAATGGATTTTATTTTGAACTACAGTATGGCCCCTTAAAAAGACATTAGTTTATTATCTTTGTCAAAATTTTAAGGATTAAGAAATCTTTTTTATGACCTTAAGTATGGATATTTTTCCATAAAGTCACTAAATAAGGACTGTAACAATGAAAGCAATCAACGCAGGATGAAAATTTGACGCGCACAAAGATGGTAACTTGAAGTTTTCTTGAAGGGCCTAAAAACTAAGATTCTATTATAGAAAATAGATATTTTAACCACCTTTTAATTTTCGCTACCTCTAATTTTCGCCCTATCAAATATTTCCATAATTCGCCCCCTTTAATTCTCGCCCCCTCCGGGGCGAAAATTAAAGGCAGGCGAAATTTGAAGGGACTAAGGTATGCTAACTAGCATGAACTAAAATTAAGGCCAAGTCCAACGGGGAGGTGTAGACAGAAGAATGCTTTACCAGCGCTTTAAAGACCACGACATTGATTTGATGAGAAACTTTGCAAATATACTTTGCATAAGATATTTCATGCGAGCACAGTGCAATTCTTACAAAAAAGTTGATAATGTTCCATTTACATTTGGATGTTAAATTTTCAACAGTCTACCTGTTGTCTAACGTTCGCAATCGATGACTCTGTTTGATGATTCAGTTTTTCTTCGATATCGGGTTTAGAAGGGCCAGGGAAGCAGTTTTTCAGGAAATCTTGGTAGCACAATGCAGTTTCTTAGATGGGCCTCGACTATATGGGGGCTCAAGCCCCCTTAAAAATTTCTTAATGGGAAAGGATTCAGACATCCCAATCAGCTTTTTGAAACAGAATAAACTTTCAGGGAACAATGTCCACGACTTAAAAACGACAATTCAAAAAGGGTGATTTTAGAGGTCATGATTTAGGGCATATCATGATCTTTTTGACGCGTTTATTTCTCAATTGTTGAGTTTGAAATGCACAGTGAACACCTTGCTAATGATATGAAACCCTTTTCCATAATATTCCCATTTCATATTTTCAGACAACTTTAGGAAAAAACTAAAATTCGGTGCCTAGGGCTGCTTACTTTGCTAAAATGCCTGCCAAAAGTCTGGGAACTCCAACAACAGCACTTTTGTGGTTCGCATTTTAATGGATTATTCTCTGGATTATGCAATGCACTATTGAAAAGGAACCAGCATTTAAGAAATTCTGACATTGACTTTGGGGAAGGGGTGAATTGATAATAGATATAGAACTGACAAAAAATGCTTTGGTGTTCCGTGTACGTTTGGCAAGCATTGTACCTTAGATTTGGGAAAAAACTGTACCTAAGAAACAAATTAAAACTAATATTATAATATGCGCAAACTTACTCAGTAAGAATCCGTAGACACTCATATTAAAATTGAAGACACAGAAAGAACCCTACAAGTGAGGAGGAAAGACTTGTTAGTAAAAACATTTATAATGTCAACTTAAAAAACAGCAGCAAAAGAATATAGATGCAGTTTTTTAAACCCCAGCATTTAGATGTCAAAGAAAATGAACGTAATTATATCTTGAAAGCTGCATCCAAAGAAGTATGGAATGCAATGACTTGTTACAGGAAAGAGTTTCATATCAATTATTTGCCCATCGATAGAAGTAGTGGCTGTTCCGGGAAAATGTCCATTTATCCTGGGAAGCTGTTCAGACGAAAGGACATTTTGATAGATTCAAAAAATTTGCTGCAAAGTACATTTTTGAGGTGGAGCTTGAGAAATGGGTGTTTTCTAGGCTTTCAAATTGAATTTTGAGAGTTAATTTAACAGATAGTGTTCAGTCTAAATGGTTAAATATTTGTGATTCGCTTACATACTGTAATTAGATCTTAATATCGAAAAAATTATGAAGTCCCCTATTGAAATGTCTCCTTTCAAAAACAGATAGTAAATAAAAGGAGTTTAAGATATACAAAGCAAAAGGGAAGATGGACATCAAGTGTAGGGATCTATGAAACCAGGAAACACGGAACTGGAATGTGTATAACACGAATACATGGAAAGAAGGAATAGAGAAAATAATACATAGGGTGATAATTTGCAGAACTGAAATGTTAAGCTGTATGCAGGAGCGACGAAAGACAGGAATGACAGAAGATCAATAAAAAATGATTTCAACATTAAAAATTGTAAATAAATGGGGGTAAAATATCGCCCCAGTATATAGGACTTCACTAGAGTGAATATCAATATAAGGATAGAGAACGGGAACAAGAAAAAGCACACCTGGTCAGCGGAGTCCGGGAAGTTCTGGGAGCACGTGAAAATATGATGCCTTTTTTGCTGTGCACAGTGGCGCAATGCCGATGCGGTGAAATTATGACAAGGGTAACACTCAACCTTAAAAGAAACAAAAAAAGTTTAACATTAACGAGAAATTTTGTGCACTGCAACAATAATCTGTGCAGAAGGGCGTAATTGCAACGTTTTGAGATGTAGGAGAATTTTGCTGGGTAAAATTGAGTATTAGCCCGCCAAAGAATAAAACTGTTCAATGATGATAGGTGTAGGCCCGTTTCATGCGTTTAACCGTGACGGGAAGAAAATAAGTTCGATATGGTACAACATGGGGTACATCTTGGTTTAATACGGCCGTGGTAGAACTCGCGTCGTTCTTTGCAGAACCTAACTAACGCAAACGTAACACAACAACTGCAGACCCCAGTCTAGTATAAAAAATGGATGACGACAGTGTCTTTTTATTTAATTTACTGCGATTGAATTTTCCCATTTTCTTGTCGGTTTTACCCAGAGATACGCATGTATTAGTAAAGTTTTACATGGAGTGGCACAATTTTGTCCTTTTAAGTCGAACTAAGCCGTGCTCCAAACAGTTCCATTGAGTTTTGTTGTTTCGAATCGATTTCAAAATGGAAATATAAGGGCGTGCGGTGCGGAACAAGCTAGATATAACTTGGCTCGACACAGCACTCAAAACAAACTGTCAATTACAACGCCTTGAAATAAAATTTACCAACCTCGGTCGTTGTGCTGCATAATTGAAGAATCTCTTCTCTTGATGTAAACAATGCCCAAGAGGCATACATCTTTATGAACCATACAATCATTGACATAAACATCACCAGGTATATGGCAAAGAAGTTCCAACACGTGTGGAATTTCGAGTTTGGTTGGATACGTAAACTGGACTGCAGTAAGGACAGAAAAAGGACACGAGTTCATTTCTGCTCTAGCAAGAGTGCTCGTAACAGTGGTGGAAATTTTTATACGGAAAGCGCAGTTAACGTTTATGTATGAGTGGTCTTTTCTTTGTAATTCCTATTTAAAAATACCTGATTTTAAAAGTAAATAATCTGAGTCAAGCCGAACTGGACAGCAGTTACAAGCCCCCCTAATTCAAACCTTCCGAAATTTTTACCACTGGCTCGTAACAAAAAATCACTTCGGTAAAAACAAATAAACATGGAACCATTAACAGCTACCATATGTTTAGTAAAGTAACCTCGAAGTTGGGCTATTAACTGAATTAAAATTACATTTTAAAGGCTTTTGTAAATTTTCAACAACTAGAATGACATAAATAAGGAACCAATCTCGATATTTCGTTTTTGGTCACTGGTATTTTGAGCCACTGATTGGACTCAATATTGAATACGATTAGACTCAATATAAAATAAATAAATCACATGGCAGGGACAGTGCGCCGGTAAAGTTTCATCATTTACAGGGAAGTGAAGACTAGCAATGACTCTCGCTCAATCAGACTTGAAGTTGATAAGGTGAGGTTTAGTAAAACTAGAACCAGAGAACTGAAATTATGATATAATCATAGAGGGGGGCTGCTAACAAAGGCTGCCACTGCTCTGAAATAATGACTAGTTATTTTTGGTTTACCTCTGACGATGAATTGATAAACATTGACTTTAAATCGCTCAGAAATGGAACTGAGATATTGACCTTGTTATCGTATCCAATTTCAAAATTGGAAACCCAGAACATAAATAAATACCCCTAAACCATTAATAAGGGGCGGGATAGAGATAGGATTGTAACCGCCTACCCGGCATGCATTGAAGCGTTTGTCTACACGCATGCGTAGGATCATGAGGGCTGCAGCCCAACTAATTAGGCAACATTAACTGCATTTCAGGCTCCCCCTCCCCCATCCCAGGCAGTTCCATCTCAATGATACAATATCCTTTTGGCAAGATCCAAACTAAGCCTGATAACCAGCGCATTATTCTAAAGGAATAGAATTGGATAGCGAGGCCAAACTAAACCCCTCTAAACGCTGTACATCTGCTACAGTCAAATATTTTCATCTGTGTGCAGGATTGTATGAAAGATATGATTATCACCATCTACGTATTACTTTAAAAACCAAAGAATCTCAAATAATTTACTCTTTCCTTTGTCATATTTGTTTCACTAAACATTTTAATCCAAACTAACCTTGAATTTAAACGGCAACTTCTTCCTTGAGTAGAAGATTACCATGAAAACAACAGTGCCCGATAACGATATAGTGGACACTTGCAGCTGGAGGCCTTTCATTCTTTTGCTGTAGTAACTGGCAATATAAGGAGCAAATAATCAATAAAAATATCTTGGTAAAGTGGGGAAATAGCGATTCGAATTTGTTTGGGTTAACTTGGGATATCTTGGATTTAAATAGGCAAACTGGAGATATGCGTGAGTTTAAATGGGTAAAATTGGAATATGTTCGAGTTTACATGGGTTTACTTGAATATGATTTAGTTTACTAAGGTTTACTTAGTATATACATGTTTAGAATGGTTCACTTGGGGTACTTTAGTTTGCTTGAGACATATTCGAGGTTTTTGGGTTTAGTTGAGATATTCTTAGGTTCAAATTGCACACATATAAATTTGCTTGGGTTTACTCCGCACATATGTGAGTTGAATCGCCTTTTTCTTTGAGGCATACTTGAGCTGGGAAACAGAAATAGATAGCAAGGCAACTTAATAACCTTTCTTGTGGGAATGATAAAGCTGCAGTTTAAAGGCATCGACAGATTTAGAAGTGGCGTAGGCCCTCTTTCAATCAATATTAGCCAATCAATGTGCGTGTGTATGTAATCACAATCATTGATTGGTCAATTTATGATTGAAAGATGGCTTAATACCCTTGTCTGTCAATTTCCTATTGATTTTCACAAGTAGGAACGACTTTCCTTCGCCTTTTATTGTCTTCTCCGCAGCTTAGATATGCCCTCGCAGTAGGAAGAATGCCTTACGAAATTAACAAAAAATTGACTTTAGGAAAGTCTATCCCTAAACAAAGATGCATTTTCTTAAAGATGCAGTCAGGTGTGGAATAACCAACAATGTAGAAATCTTTGACAGACAAATAAAAAATCTTCAATCCCATACTGCAGCAAATTATGCAACCAGCATAGACCAACTCCTTTATATACTATTTAGAGATACTGTATGCTCAGTTTGGTTTACATTCTTACTTCGTGTTATTAGTTAATATTCAGTTCTGCCAGTTGATATCAATTATCTGATTTTGCTTACTTTTGATTAAGCTAGTTCTTTTATCTTCTAATATAAATTTTCTTCGGAAATGGCATCGAATTTCAAAGATCCAACAGGCAATAAAATAGAGAAGTAGAAGAGTTGGGTTCCAGTAGAAGAGAAAATCAGAAAAGAGCCCTGTGTACTTAAAAGGCTGTTTACATTAACTTTAGTAAACCGCTGAATTTGGTATTATAGCCGTTTAGAGTTTCATTGCCATTGTGGCCTAACTGCCTTTGACCACACTTAAGAAACAATATTTTTGATCCTGTCTCAACAGAATAAAGGAGATTTTGAATTCTTTAATCAGAACAGAAATTTAAGAAGATACCTCCACGCGAACTGTTCAAGTCCTGCAAAATTGACCACCCAGAAGCTAACCAATGTCAACAAGAGGCTGAATGTCATTATCCAAGAGAGGCCTTTGAATTTCAGCCAAAAACAGACAAGCTGATACATCTGAAAAGAAACAAATTGAAATTAAATTGAGAAACAAGTTGTCTATTTTAGGTATTCATATCTCTCAATAGTCTATTCTTAAGCTTATATGGGGCCCCATAATTTTTCGCAGCTTTTTGGGAAATCATTTGCTGTGTTAGTCTATAAATTGCCAATGCCCCCCCCCCCTTCCACCCAATGTGCAATTTACGTCGGAGCCCGTGGAATAAGTTTAGGTAAACGCAATTCTTGGAAAATTTAATGAGGTACAGGGAAACTCCTGTAGTTAAGTACTGAGCAGATCACACTGTTGGTGAAGAGCCTCGTTGCAACAAACCACATCAACTACCTGTTTTTGACAAAAAGTAAAGGATACAGTACACAAACTACCTGGAAACGGTCGAAATTTATAGGGTACTATGTAATCAACAATGTGAAAAAGAAATAAACAAAAAACCTGTTAAGTAGTGTAAGGTATCTATTTAAGATCAAGATACTTTGCTAGTACGACGTAGAACATAAAAAAGCCGGCAAAATACTGCAAAACAACATTATTGAGCCAGCAGTTGCCTGATGATCATATCAAGCGTTGGAGTAGCAACTTGAAACCGTCCAGTGCTTCTCATCAAACCGTAATTTGAACCATAATGTATGGATAAATAGGCCTATGTTAAGTCTTCTGCATCAAGAGATCTCTGCCTAAATTTCCTCATTAGCGTATCACAAATTTGTATTTTTCTTTCCAAGTGCGAGGAAACTAGCCTTGGAAATTACTGCATGAAATTTCATAGCATCAAGTGAAGATTTCCATTGAGTATACCGAACAGCAAATTCCCTAATTTCTCTGAAATTCTAAATTCTGGCAGTCTGATCAAAGATGCAGATGAGCTCAAAGGCCCAAACGCTGTTACTAAGCTGTTTCCTTGATTGCAATTATTTTGCTCAATCTTGTTTTTCCACTGTGGCTTCTTTAAAAACTCATCTTAACGGTCTGTCTGAAGAAATTTTTTATCCTTATCGTTGCCACCATCTGGCATTTATCTAAACCTGATTTCCTGAGAGACTGGCTTTTTGGCGAGAATTTTGAAGATACTGGAGGAGTGATGCTCGATATGTTCCACTTTATTTTCAATAATATACTTGATAACTCATGAAAGTTTGAGAAATAAAAAACAATGTTGCACAGAAAGCAAGGTGTTTGAAGTAAATAAGCATAACTTTTTTCTTATTCACAGAAATTAATAACAATACAATTTTACATTGACTATACTACCCTAAATACTGTACTACACTACGGGGACGATACCATGAAGAGCGAAAGACAATGACTACCCCATGGCCGATACATAAAAACGCACAACATTAAACAAAGATAGAAAGAAATATAACTAAAACTAGGTAAACTAATTACGAATACAGAGTAAACAGACAAAAAGTAGATGCTTATGTATAGGAGTGTGCAGCAATGGAATATTTAAAATCGTTCTGAAGCATGAAAGAATTTGAGCGTTGTTTCAGGCAAATATTCAGGGGCTTAGCAAAAAAACGCGGATGCAATACACCTATGACGTATTGCTGGGGTAGGTCTTTTTCACCATGTTATGATTATCATTTAATTGCTTTCAGGATTTAGCTTCCTCCTTTCTATACTTACAGGCATAGGTGTACGGGGTGAGTTCAGGTAGGGGGGGGGGCTGAAGTTTTTCTGCCCGAAAAATAATAACGCCCAAATATTTACGGAGTATACTCTAACAGATGTGAGCTTCTTATGTTTGTCAAGAAATGATTAAAATGAAACTTCATTCAAAAAATGTTAACTAATAACCATTCCTAAAACTTTACACATTTTCATTAAAAAAGCGTATCTCTTTCACGACAGAGACCAAATATATCGATTATTTTATCGATATCTTTTCGTGAATATGATTTGCATCATTTTCAGCAATTCACGCACTTTTTTGCTTATCTGCCAATTCTTGTGATTATTGAACAGCTTGTTTCATTTCTAGGAGGTCAGAAACTCATATAATCTATTTTGTAGAAGAAGCAAACCTTTTTGATGATTTCTGTCGAAGGGTTGGCATTCAAGCTTGCATCACACTTGCATTCCCTTATCACGGCCAGTGGCGCAACGCAGTTTAGGGCACCTTGATTCAGAGTTTTCCAACCTTTTTTCTATTTTTAGACCAATTAAGTGAAATTGGAAAATTGTTCAAGGCACACTAGGCAATACCTAAAGGCATGCTAGTGTGTCGTGACATAGTGGTTGAAAACATTGCCTTAGTTTGATAACCAAGGGCCCCCGACGAAAATGGCCCAAGGTGCTTTTACGTCCATATCTTTAAAGCTTTGCTCAAGTTCAAATAACTTTTGAAAACTTTGAACGTTTTTCAACTGAAGCTCTAAAATGAATCTTTTTGCTGTCCGTGAATAGAAGTCCTGTAGCAGTTTTTTGCTTAGGGTCCAAGATGCCTCCGTCACGCCAAAGCACATGAAATGTGATAGTCACTATCATTAAATCGTGTAAGATCTCTTTCAAAGCTTTATACATTACATTGTAGAAACAATTGAATAGAGCATTGCTTTCTAGTTGGGTTATGGGGTCTTTATCCTTGCAAAGAAAAATAAGTGTCCTGTCCACTGCCTTTACTGACTCCCACTGGCAAGCCCAGTCCGTTGCGCTTTGTCCCTATTACCTATATGACGGTTCACGTTCTCTTGAAATTACATGTCTTTTTGTGTTGGCCTCAATACTTCGTAAGCAAGAGATAAACACGATAAACACGTCTGTTTGGGAGATTGCTTAATATAAGAATACAATCAAATCATGTGCGCAGGCACATGACGTCATACGGTAATAATAATAATAATAACTACTACAAACACCAGGTCCAATTCTCCTTGACTCATTTTCTGCAAGATTCAACTAACATCTAAGGCAGTGGACATAGATGCTCAGCGGAAAACAGCCACTCATTTTAGACTGCCGAAGCATTTGCCAACAAGTTTCTACGTACGCTTTTAAGCCCAATTTTTACAATAGCTGAAGGCTGATTTTTGTAAAATTTAGCAAAGACTTCCTTTCGGACACCATTCAGTGCAAAGCTGGCCCAATCTGATATTTGTTCGTGCTGACGAAAGTAAGATGTTTCATCAATTACAAGAGCCCCCATTCTGAAGCCCCCAGCCCCCCGTCCCGTATGCCTATGCTTACACGTAAATTTGAACCATTATGGATAAAGAATAGAAACAAATCTGAAAGTGGCATACCACCAAGATCAACAGGATTGGAAGATCCATAATCCTTAGCAGCTCCTACAAAAACAAAGAGCTTTCTTCTTAATAATTTGTACAGGGGTACAAAGGTGAGTTGAGCGAGGGAAAATGGAGGCCCATACCCTTTGAAACACCTTTTTTCAAAGATAATTTTTGCCATTAGGGGGGGGGGGGGTTGTCTGACCTCTCTCGCCTCCTACTCCCTACGGTACGGTATAAAGTATAGATAAACAGCAAAAGTTCGCAACAGGAACAAAAAAATTCAAAGATCGAGCAACTTGCATTACAGAAATATTTTAAAAAAGATAATATTGCTACAACGAGTTGCACTCTCGTTCTTTATTTAAATGGCACTGCTCGTCGACTTGCATTTCAGAAACCTAGCAGACAGACTATCAAGCAATTTTCCATCCCGCATTAGAATGCTTATTAAATGCTTAATTTTGATTTTCAATTAATAAAAATCAAATAAAACACGAGAGGAAGTAAAGAAGGAAGAAAGAAAATGAAAAAGAAGAAACCTTATTGTTAAAATCCAATCGTTCCAAAGATTTGTCAATAATAACTTCACTGGCTAAGATAATCTATCCCACGAGACTTTGGCGATAAAAACAAAAGCGAAACTTTAGTAGGCCAAGAAAAAGCTCTTCTAATACCTATATCAATAAATGATAGAATAAAACTACACCTAGATATTCATGAGGAAATTCAACAGCTACGATTCACACAAAGTGACAACGCCTATAACGTAAAAACAGGACAAAGGTATTTCAATTACTATTGCATAAATAAGTGAAAAATTTATGAAAAAATACTGACTGTCTCGGTAAATCTTGGATCATTCTGCAAAATAAAGATAAAATGAAACCAGAAGCTCATTGACAATTTCTAGGGTATTTTAATTAAAATAATCATTCAAAGTTTAGGATTCAGTCAATTAAAGCTATTTTTGGTAAAGATTTGGAATGCTTGTAATTCCACTGCATTGATGGTATTGCTACAAAAATGCCAGAAAATCTTTGTGGTCTTAGTACACTTGACATGCCCTATTATGTTTTTAGCCTTTAGTCTTATGACATTTCCTATTTCAAGTAAAGTCCCTTTTTGGCTCTATTCTTTTTTGTTTTAACTTTCTATTTTAAAAATCTGTTCAAAATCAGATGTCATATAATACTTGCGATGTTCCCAAAAGTAATCCAAACCAAATTTTCTGATTGATAAGATTCGTGTGACATGTGGTTTGAGACGGCCAATTGTGGTTTTAACTTCATGTTATGGCCTGAGGCAGAGGTGGCGCCAGAAATCTTCCGACAGACGGGCTGGAGCTTCCGACAGGGGGGCTAAAATGACTAAAATAAGCAGTTTTCGTACGTTATTTTGTCAAATTTGCTCCGACAATAACCTAAAATTTCCTCCGATGGGGAGGGCTAGATACTTCCGACGGAGGGGCTGTAGCCTACCTAGCCCTCCCCTGGCGCCACCACTGGCCTTATTCCACAACATATTTACAAAGATTGGTTACTACAAATTTTTTGGTCTTGCAATCTTAATCTTTTATCATCATACTTAGCTTTACACATTAATGTTTTATTCAAAATACTCCAAGTTCCTTTTCCCATGAGAATCGGGGGTTTGGAGAGGTCCCACAAATGGAATGGCCTAGAGTGAAAAACTATACGTGCAAAACTTTGCTTATAAATGTATGTCTTTTATTGTTCCACCTAATTATTTCATTGTTTTTATTCTACTACTGACTAATCCCTTCACATTCTCAAATACATGATACTCACACCAAATGTGTTACCCTCTGTAGGTCACTCAATGTGTGCTTTCAGGCAAAGTTATGACCAATGGTCATCTACCAAACTCCTTGACTGAACCAATTTCCAAAAACCCTTCATATATAAAAAATTAATAATAATAAATCAAATGATCTAAAATAGAGAAAAAATAATTCACCTTAAATAATCTTGGAAGTAAATCAGTTCTTTTCTTGGCATCACCATATGCATCAAAATAAGGAGGATGATTCACAAACTCAACTAGACCTGCCCAGAGGAAGAACATTGAGATGCCAAAATGCAGGACTTGCAATGCCAGTGTCAATTTTCTTCCACAGAAGCACTTATTTCCAAGCCTTCTGAATGTTTCACTAAATGATCTTTTAGCACCATCATCATTATTATCATCATGATCTGTTAGGGGTTCTCTTAGTGCTAAGTCACTCATCATTACACTCATCTAAAAAACAAAATATTTGTTAAAGTTCAGGGCTTAAAAAATAGGCATTTAGGAAAATGATCCTACTGACATTACATATGAGGCTTTAGATCCTATAGTAACAAGTACAACTTTGTATGGTAAAAACACCAAGAAAAGAAAACAGCAATACAAACTGGGGATAAAAAAATGGAAAAATACATAACCTATGCATTTTTCTTGCCCTAGTATACTTTTTGTCTGCCAACAGCAACTTCCGACCTGTCCTCTGAAACAAACATGAAGAGACTGGCATCCTGGAAAAACCAGAGTCAAGAATCCCTGTGACTCAAGACCGAGGTTAGTTTATGATCCTTCCAGCATGAAAACTTTTCATACATAAAAACCTGTTTCAAACTTGCATTTTTAAGGTGAACTGACTCACAAAACAATTTTTTGATATAATGCAGAAAAGGATGCAAGAAATCTTAATTTCAAGTTTTCAGTTAATCAAACTGGACAGTTCAGTTCATCTTGTTCAGTTACTATTCAAGGAGATCTATGTAGCCCTTGATCCAAAATATATGAAAATTCCAGGCTAATGAAATGTACGAATGAAGGATATGTGCTGGCTGGAACTGCGTTATGTTAGGAGGCAATTTAAGTTTGGCAGGATTTGCTATTTGAAGAAAATTCTAAAGTCAATCATGAGTACAAATATTAGAATTTTTTCATTTTATCATGAATCCAGTAATTTTTTTTCGAATAAATCCAAAATAATATTACTAAAATATTAATACATCATTTCTACATCCAAATAAATTATGAACATTGTTTTGAATTTGCAAACTCATTGGCTCACCCGAGTTACAGGGGTGCAGTGGCTTGGGGGTTGAAATTTCTACAAAGTTGTTTTCCTGCAAATAATAACTCAATTGTAACAGGTTCTTAGCCCTTGAAAATCTTTCATGCTATTGAATAAAGACTATGCCAAAAAAGGGTGACTTAAATTCGAAATCTTTACAATATGTATTGAAGTTAATCAGGATCAAAGACAGAGATACAACTTATTGTTAGGGGGGAGGGGGCAGCCTTAATAAATTAGTGTAACAGCAGCCGTATTTTACAAAAAGAAAGTATTTTACTTGGGTTTCCAGAAAAAAAAATTCTGCCAGTTTATTTATCGCTACCTTTATTTGATATGTTGGGCAGCCATACACTGGATCCTGCAAGACGGAGGCAGGGCCTCAAATGCATTGAATAACATGATATTCTTACCAGTCCTTTTATGAAAGGTTTGCAAAGAAGTTATAATCTATTTTCCAATCAGGTTGTCAAAATGTAGCCACAACCTACTTAATCTATATAGCAATGCTCTTCCGCAAAATCATAAGTACTGCCTTCCAGACTGTTGTGCTGTTCAAGTGGTTTAAATATGGTGTTTGTGACATCACAATTATGCAGCAGGCTTGAGCAAACTTGTCAGTGCTCGGAACATGTTGGGTGACTAACTTTGATGATCAATACCTTAAAAACTATGTTGAATATTAAAAAATGATAGTGTCTCTCTTCATGGCAGAAGCACCTCTTCATGGCAGAAGCACCTCTTCATGGCAGAAGCACCTCTTCATGGCAGAAACTCCTCATTTTTGCAATGAAATTCTGGGCTTCTAAACTTTTGTAATCAGGTTCTTTAGATTAGCTTAAATACACTTCAGAATATTTTTTGCAGTCATTTTCTTGCAATTGTTTAAAATGTTTTAAAAATTTTTAGGCATGCTTCTGTTACATTTGATTAATTCCATTCTTAAATAGAATTTCTTTATGAGGCTCTCTACACCTTGAGACACGTTGGGCAATTAGAACCATGTCCACCCCACACGTCCCTGCTTGAGATAATCCTTTAGGATAATCATGTCTTTGGCCTTTTTAAACATCATTTCTAAAATTATTCCTTTACTTGCAGAACCTTCAGGAGTTTGAATAAAAGCCACAAATGGTAGTGGTAGATAAGATTCATAGTTAACTCTTAATCAATTGAATTTCCCTGAGATGTGAAATTGATGTAAACAGGATATGTGCCAGGAAAATATGCACAAACTCAAGAATCACTGGGAAATTTCGTGCATATTCAAATGTGCATGCTCATAAAAAATGCACACTTGCACTCCCAGGTAATGTCTTGTGTACTCCCAAGACCTCGTCAAAAACTGCCATGAAGACCACAATGGGCTGAAAGGGTGCTGTTGGTTGCAGATTCTTGTAGCCTAAATATTATACGTTTTTTAGACCGGAATGTATGAGAGGCAAACAGCTCACTGGGTACTAAGTCATCATAGCTAAATGTGATGTAGCTGTTATGCTTCTTATGGCAGATAAAGCTGTTACCTCTTGTTACTTTCATACTTTCTATGCTACCTCATTACATCATTGGATTTACACTGTATATTGCCAGAACATAACTACACTGTGCAGTCGATAGACTCTAAAAATACTTAATAGTTATTATAATAATGGTTTAAAATATGTGGCCTGCAATTTCATTGATCGATTGAGCTAGTGTAAAATTTCTTACTTTTAGCATCAATTTTGAACAAAAAGAGGCTATATTGACTATAATGGTCGGATTATACTTCAACTACCGAGTTCAAGAGATGCAAGTAAATAAAGTCCACTTCTAAAAGGGGCTAATATGGTAAAAAAAATGCAAATAGAATGCAAATTTTGCATTTTCAGTACCAAGAACAAGCAACTGATGAATAACGTTAGGTTACAAATAAAGGCATAACACTTACCAGCTCTGGATGGCTGTTTCAATTTGACCATCAAACGGCAGGCTAGTCACTTGCTGCTGGATCAAGTGAATGACCAAATGTTGATCTTTTGCAGCCTACATTTTCGATCACATGAGCTGCAAGCGAGGCGAAAAACAGATGTATCTAACCTTACGGCCTTCTGTATTTGGGGGAGGAATGGGGGAGGTCACTGGAAATTGGAAAAGGCACCCAACCCAAAACTATGTTCAAAACCAAATAACACATTGGTGGTGTAACACTCAGATAGCCTTGGAAATTTGGAGCTCTTTAAATACACCACATGGTGAAAAAAGACGTTTTAAATCCTTTCTCATTTTAGAAAAGTATGAAAATTTTTTTGCTCCGAAGCCTTTTCAGATGCGCGGAAAAATTGTGAAAGACGATCCATAGAAATTGTGCAGGCCTTATACAAACAAAGTATTTTATTATATTTATACGAGATAACTTTAGGGGATTGTTTTTTGTTCAAAAATAATGCAGCTGTGGGTAGAAAGGTTAACTGCACTGGAACTGTGAAAAATCTGCCAACATTGGTAGTGGTGGCGCCTAAATTTAGAAGTGGGCGATCTAAATTTAGATGGAAGGACAGACTAAAAGTAGATATGCGGGAAAATAACCCCAATGAACAACAAGTAGCAGGCACCGCGCAGCCATTGGGCTAGCAGGGACTATAGCCCCTCCACTTTTTTGCAACAATAGGTTAGAAAACTTTTTGGAAAGTTTACTCTAACTATGCTTTAACGCAACATTGAATCGTATACTCCTAAGAAGTAGCAGTTTTTCTTAACTGGGAACCCTTCTTGTTCATTTTCTAGGTGTTTTTCTTGCTGTTTTATCATCCCCAAGCTAATTTTATCTATGTTTATAGCTATTGATACCTTCTCTGAACAAGATTGTTTATAAAATCACAGTAGAAATAAGCCAGTATTTTTTAAAGGGGCGTTTTCCGGCGTTCTAGTTGGCGTGGCCTTAAAAAGAACTCTGTCACGCCCTTTTCAGCTCTCCCACATTTAAACTGGTGCGCGGTCCCTGCCAAGCAGGAGATAGAGAAGAATGAAAGAAACTCTCGAGGAACAAAGACTCCATACAAAGATGGTAAAAGCTGCAGAAGAGGAAGAAAAAGATTGGCAGTATAGGATATAGGGGGCAACCCCCCCCCCCACTTTTGTCAAAACATGGTCTACATTTCTTTCTAGAAATTGATTAAAAAAGCGCTAGGTAGGGTACGGGCTTGGTCCCACTAGCCACACCCATTGCCCTGCCACTCTGCAGTAGCTGGCGCCGCCACTGAAGCTTGATACTATCAAAGAATTTTGCATTGGTTGGTACTGCATGGGCGGCTCCAGCCCCCCCACCCCACTTTTTTGCAAAAAACTTTTTTAAGAAAATGAAAAGAATAAAAGAAAAGAAAAGTGCGATAAATCCATTCATTGCCTATTTTCCAAGGAATAGAAGGTCTATGGGGCCTAATGAATTCCATTTTAAGACTGAAATTAATCAAACGTACTAAAAGCATGCCTTAAAAATAGCAAAATGTTTTAAATTATTGCAAGAAAATCACTGCAAAAAATGTTCTGAAATGTATTTTAAGCTTATCTAAAGGGTGTGGTGACAAAAATTTTCTGATCACTTCGCTCGAAGCAAAGCCTGTTGTTTCCGATATACCTAGGACCTCCGACAACTTATCGTTATGTACCGTACCGTTAATTGCCTATCCATATCTGTACATTTGTGCAGGAAATAGCAAGCTTGCCAATTGGTATTACTATATGCGGGTAGCTCGAATGTGTAAAAAATAGGTTGTAATCAACAATGGGCCAAGAGAGAGGTTAAACAAATGTCGAGCTTGACTTATATGACACTCGGCTATGATGAAGTAATCGGCAAGTTTGCTGACAGACCATTGCTAAGGAGACTTTTCATGCACTGAAAATCGTCGATTTCGTTTCTTTAGAATCTTAATTATCAGTCCTATTGCGAGTTTTACTGTTCATCAGAGATACTGGTTACTGATGGTTATGATTATCCAATGCCCAAATACAGATGTTGGCTTTTCTCTGACCGACTTATCAAAATCAGCACAAAAGTGATGCTGCAAAAGATACATATTGTTTTCCATGTTTTCGGCATCTGCGCATGCGTTTGATGACGTCACAATTCGAATTACACATGTACCAATGTTAACAGCCCAAGTCTTCTTGCCTAGGGCACAGCAAACAGCATTGACATAGAAGGCCCGGGGCCATGTCCCGCGAAAAAAATTTCATTTTGGAAGCTTCCTCTTTGACTCTGCTTGCCATCTAGGAACCATATAAACAAACAGTTCAGTTTAATCAAGGCATCTGGCGAGTGGGTCATGCTTCCCACTTGCTGGCAAAACAATAAAGCTTTTGTGCAAAATATCATTTTATGGGTCTGTAACTTACCCTCGGCCGCTTACTTTCCAATTTGCGTCCGAATCCAAGACAATTCCACGAACGTACAATCAAATCTTTTTATATTCTTACTTCAACGCACCCCTCATGTTTCCTGCTTTCTTCATTTGCTTCATGTGTGTTCACATCCCACTTGCCTCTGCTTCTACGCTTCCTTCTCTTTCAGCTCGGGCTTAACACATGTGAACCAGGCTTTAACAAGAAATAAAGCTAAAAAGGTGGATACAAAACCTAAAACAAAACGAAACCAACTCGTATTATTTTATTCAAGAAGGAAAAAAGATGACTCTAAACACATCACATTGAATTCATGTATCTAACGAGAAGATGTCCCGATTTTTTTCTTTAAGGTGTATACATTGAATTTGACAAAAAAGATTAAGTCATCCTAATTCTCTTAACTGTTGTGTCTTATTTAGCTCTTTAAATATTTCCTTATAGTTTGATGAAATAGTTTTGCAAATAAATGACATATTCTTATAATCACTGCTAGCTCATTTTGTCTATATGTCATACTTAATTCAATGAATTCAAAGATTTGTCAATTAAATGGTCAAAGGCAGATCAAAGAGTTTGCTATTCGGTCATCTCATTTGTTCAAGACAAGAACAAACCTTCCTGGGAGCCGTTAGACGAACAACAGGTAAGCTCTACTACATATTGGTTAGTACATAGTACCAACTCCACTGACTTACCTCTTTGGCTTTGTTTTCGTGCTTATCAATAGACCGATATTCTCTCTTGCATTGCTCTCACCCGATCCCAGAGCCGTAGAAGGGGACATTTTCATTATTTATAGTTTAGTCTGGAATGTGACATTTTCAAAACGCTTTAAAGTTTCCTCTATTTCTGGACATAGGCTCATTATCACGGGCGCACAGGGGGGCCAAGGAAGGGCACAAGCCTCCCGTCGGGGCATTAGTTTTATCATGCAGAACGACAGAAATTCTGTGCAAAATGCTAAACGTTTGCAGATTTTGAAGCCTGCAAATTGTGAGATGTGAGAACTGACACTCTTCTTGGGAAAATCACGGGAACTTCAAAATCTGTTTATTTACAAGGTTTACTTAAAACAATTAAAACAGATCACTCGACAGTTAATAACATGAAGGTTTTAAGCACGAATATAAAAACACACAATGATCCTCCAAAGACTGTAAACCCTAAGAAGTTACATGCTTTGCTAGTAAGAAAAGTTTTGAAAAATAATGATGTGCAAAATGTTACCTGGTTAAGGTCATGGAATAAAATCAAATTAAAACGTAAACCTTTATTAATCGGGGAATTTTAAGCAGGCACGGCAATCGTGATTTTCCTGCAAAAAATCACCACGGGTGCAAGGTCATCACTACGGCTGATGTGGGTGTGTGGGTGTGAGGAGAATAAAAACGAGTGGACTGATGTGGGTGTGTGTGGCTCACCCATTTTGTCAGCAAATGGGACTCGAAAACCCCTCTTGAGCACAACAGCTAGCGACGGCCCTGCTAGTATGTTTCATTTCTAAAAATGTTTGCATGATGAAGAAAGATAGTAAAAAGAAAAGATATGCTTTTCTCAATTCTTACCAAATTTACATAATGTCGTTTAAGAATGATTTTTGGCGCAGGATCGCATAATAGTTAGAATATTAAGGCTCAGCAAGAATTAAAGAAATTTAAGAAGAAAAAGTGTGCAACGAAAGTACCCGGACAGTTTGACGATTATCCAACTATTGTCCTTGGAACCAACTTTTTCAAGAACTTGCAGGCCTTTAAACTTATAAATTACATAAAATTTATTTTTGTTCTAACATGGCAAAAAAGTATTTGATTATACCATATCAGTAAGAAAATGTTCTATTTATCACATTGTAATTGAATCTGATTCATCATGAATTTCAGAGAGTTTAAAGATTTCACGAGTGAAGAACTGCATCATGTAGAAGAAGATCAATCCAAAACACAGTTACTGTGGAGCAAAACCTACCCCCATACAAAATCTACCCCAATGCTTTTGCCCGGAAAAAAATGGGGGTAGGTTTGGCTCCACAGCAACCTTGGATAAATCATATTGATAATAATAATAATCATATTAATTTCCGACAAGAGCTATATCAATTATTAAGATTTCCTTATTTTAGAATCTAAAAAAAATTGATATGGGCGGTTGAACCACAGTCCAACCGAGTGCATCCGCCAAGCATTCTGGATAAGGCCCTTCAGGGTCATTTTTGCATTCTAGCTGGAGGAGAGGGCAATAGCCCGTTTAGTCCTTGTGACTTCCTTTCGTGTGATTTTCCTCGCTATCGCCTATGGCGCGCATACACCGCCAAAAATAGCTCTTTCTAAAATTTCACCAACTTTTTAAAAGTTTAGTGATCTTCTAAAAGTTCAGTTGCTCTGTCTAGTCTTGAAATTTCTGTCATTTCCAAAGTTTCAACCACCGTTCAACATTTTCTAAAATTTCAATTACTTAAGCGACGTTTCTAAAATTCCAATCGCTTGCTCTGCGAGATTTCTAAAATTTCAGTCATGCTAGGTTAGTTCTAATATTGCAACCATATCTAGAGTTTGAACCCCCGCTCGAAATTTTCTAAAATTTCAATCACTTTAAAGTTTCAGTGGCTTTTCCAAAATTTCAATGGTGAATGTTGATGATCAGAAGAATGAGAATTGATTGCGAAAGATCAACTTTTTGAGAGGTACGGGCCTGAAATTCATCAGAAACTCCACAAATGGTGTTGCGGACGTATTTTAAAACTTTTTAGGTTGTTTCGAATCAAAAAAAAATTTTCTAGAAAATTTTTTTTTTGCATATCCGGGGTCAAGGATTTTTTGCCAGCCATGCTGCCACCGGCACTTACTTTCTCGGGGAAATGGTGGCAAAGGAGGCTGCTTGGCAAAGTTCAGGAAGAGGCTATCAACATTCACCATTGAAATTTTGGAAAAGCCACTGAAACTTTAGAGTGATTGAAATTTTAGAAAATGTCGAGCGGGGGTTCAAACTTTAGATATGGTTGCAATATTAGAACTAACCTAGCATGACTGAAATTTTAGAAATCTCGCAGAGCAAGCGATTGGAATTTTAGAAACGTCGCTTAAGTAATTGAAATTTTAGAAAATGTTGAACGGTGATTGAAACTTTGGAAATGACAGAAATTTCAAGACTAGACTGAACTTTTAGAAGATCACTAAACTTTTAGAAAGTTGGTGAAATTTTAGAAAGAGCTATTTTTGGCGGTGTATGCGCGCCATAACCGCCTCTCCTTAAAGAAACAAAGGCTTTTGTCCCCAAATAATTTATTTTAGAAAAGACTATGAGGTTCTTCCTTGCAAAATGAGTTCAAGATAAGTTGAATATCATTTATTAATAAAGATTTTGATGCCACCATTCGCTGCAAATCTTTGATAGATCATATCTTCCAGAAAATCGGCTTAAAGGTTGACTTTGTCTGCTTATCTCTGCAAGGGTCGAATAGGAGGGATATTTTGTTTTCATCTCCAGGTGGTAAAACTCTTAAAAATCCTTAAAATCTCCATGTTCCACACTGGCTTGAACATAATAATCAGAGAAGTTCGTCCCATATTGAAACAGATCCGGTTTCCTGGCGCATTTTTCAAGGCATAAGACATACAACACCCCCGTTACACGGCGTGCTTGAATTGCACTCCAGTACTGCACGAAACCCGCTGGACAAACAGTACCCACATTCTGACCTCGAGGTACCTTAACCGAAACGAAATATCCTCTTAGATATGCAAATTACCTGTGCTTTCTCATTAGAAACGTAGGTCGATTTTGGAAATATGGCAAAAGCATTCGGATATCTACTAGCGCTGCTAGGAATAGCTACAATTAATGGTAAGTGTGTTTCCCAATATTTTTCTTGTCTGCAATGGTAACAGAAGTCTTGGTACTTCTGTACTTTTCCCTAGTTGTCTTCCATTGGGATTGTTTGCAAGCGGAGGAAATGTCAGCAAAAGAGTTTAACAGAAGAGCAAGTGGCGATAAGTCATTATGCGATGCTAAACGTCCAAAAACATTTTAGAAGCAAGTGTAAGTGGGAACCGACAAGAAACAAGGACCACTTTTTCATTTGCAGGAATAGCTTTTAATGTATAGGATCAAAATGACTCTGGGGGATTTGCTACTGCTGAATTTGCGCTTTTTGAAATTTTAGTTCTGAAACAGAAGCTGTTTATGAAATTAATAGGCAGATAAGAGAGATTAGAGAATTATTAAATTAAGAAATCATTAAGAGTATGATGAATGTTTATGTTGTAGCCTACGTCACTTTTTGTGGAACTAGGTTTAATTAGGACCATTGCAGAAGAGGAACCACGGGCAAGAGAAGCTTTTTGCTCTTTTGTTAGGGGGGGAGGGGTGCGGGATGCTGCTCTTATGAAAGTGACTTTGAGATTGGCCATAGTAATACCGGCTTTCTGAATGGAGTATCATGTTAAATTTGTGGGGATAATTTGCTTTGATGACGATGTCTAGTCATTTTATTCATTATATCCTGGTTAATGTCAAGATACCAACAGAGTACATCGAAATAAGAATATCAGTAACGAAATATTTAGTAGAAGCATTTAATTCTCAAACGCCCATTGTCCTGGAGTCTGCCTGCCCTTACCCCTTTGTCGTTCCAACGTCCCCAAAGCGTCGGAAATAGTAGCATTAGCTGGTTTTTGGGTTTTGCTGGAATATTAACTGTTGAATGGGATTTCGTGTAGGAAGTCTGGAATAAGACTTGAGGGAACAAGGACACAATACAAAAGAGAACGGGCTTGCATGACATAACAAAAAATTTTCAAAAGCGTGTCTAGCATTGCTGGCAGACAAAAGACAACGTAAGCCATCTCCGGTAGCACAGGCAGCGAGTAGGGTGTGCACTCCAGTTGGTAGGATAGATGAAGAAGCGAAACGAGAAGATTGCCAAAAAAACGGCATGCTTTTATAAACAAAGGACTACCATTCCTGCCATAGAACACCCATCAGTATGAACACCCACGAGTATGAACACCCACGAGCTTGAAAGTCTCCTCTATATATGTCTTACTTGTTTTTCCAAATACTAACGTCCCCTAGTTAAATTCACTCTTGAAAACCGGCGTTTGTGTTGCAAAACATTTAGCGGTAATGAAAGCTACAGTTTTTTTATTTAGATTCATCGATACAATTGATTTCTTTAATTCAACCCCTTGCTTTGGAGATTTGATGCATCCATACTCGAATTCATTTTCTAGATAACTGTCATCCTTAAGCTGTTCTATGCATTGCTTGCCAAAACAAATAGTAAAAGTCAAGCATAGTACGGAAAAAGCAAAGCAAACTAAGCCTAACTTGAGAAATATAAGGGCCCACGCCCCCCCCACGCCCCCCCACTTTTTTGCGATGTAAGTAGTTTTAAAGCTGCAGTAAAAGTGTTAAGAAGCCTTGTCCCCTACTTTTTTAGCCTTGGCCCGCCACTTTCAATTTCGTGGCGCTGACCTGAATATTAGCATCCATTCTGGGAAACAACCTTCTTCAATCTACTCTGACCCTTCTTTTTCACCGCCAGTTTTTGATTTGCATTTCTCACGAGTAAATGATTACCAAAATTACTATAAGCATATGCAAAAAAGAAACTTCATAACATTCAGGAACATACCAGAAACCAAAGTGATGGCCTTTTCTAACATACTAGCAGGGTGGCAACCACCCTTCCAGGCCCAGAGACGTTTCTTAAAGACAATAGACCTTTGTCTCTGCTTTGCAAGTTTTGTAACAACGGCCATTACCGGGGGATTTGAATGCCACGATCCGTTTTGCCTTTAAAAACAAACAACTTTGTATTGAATCGCCACAACCATACCAAAATTCACCCTGCCCTTGGCTTTAAGCATGTTTAGGCCCCAAAAACAACATTTTAGCCCCCTCGATTTTTAATATGCTTCGTTGCTTAGCACCCCCTGCCTATCAAGAAACAAAGGCTACATGCCTGAGGATGAGGCTACATGCCTGAGGATGAAGCGCAATACCACACAACAGTTCATGTAACCGTGTTGATCTTTGGTAATCAAAAACGGAGTCGTGGAGAATTTCCCTTCCTATCAGATTCGTGACTATCACAGCTACATAAATCTTTCATCATCCAGGTTATAAGCTGAACTTTCAAAGAACCTTGATGGCAGTATATAATATTACAAAGATAGTGGTTGCCCTTGATTGTCAACATGAATTAGTGTTCGCTTATCAGTAATTCCCCAAGCTAGCCACAATGTTTATCTATGCTCGAGGTTCATTTCATATCTTGTCAGAGCAATCCTTGTTCGAGTGCTTTAGAAACTTTACATAACCCTGACCCCGAAAGCCTCCTCTTATATAATGCTAGAAGACAGCAGGGCCAATCAGTTCTACAATGTTTGCCAAAAGCCATTCAATGATTGTGTTTCGCGTTCCAACAATCCAGTCTACTATACAATCAGAGTTCTGTAGAGTTAAACTATTGTCCCTATTTTATTGTGACAAAATGATTAAAATCTGTCAGACTGATCCATGATTTGCTCCAATTTGCTCCACAAACTATCGTTAATGTTTGGTGATAAATCCACACTTGTCACAGAACATTAGGGAGCACAGTCTCTCTCCTTAACAAAATTATAGTATAATCAAATGTGATCAGGGGCATGATTACTTTCAGGGGACTCGAGCCCCTTCAAAGTTACAAAAATTCTTTGCATCCAATAAGCGAACCTTCTTTCTCCTATTGTTTCCAATTGTCTTCCGATAATTCTATCATTCCTACGGCATATCTTTTTATACGATCATTCGACTATTTGGTCATCAATCTCCAATTTTCTCTGATCTTCTCTGTATCAAATATTTCTACCTTGAAAATGATAAGGTTAATCTTGACCTTATTGGCGAGAGGTTCTTGACTTATGTTCGAAGAAAGACCAAACTGACCACGGCTACTTCTCACTTATAACACAACCGTGTTGGACACAAAGCAGGAATTGTGGAAGCAATTCGAGTTGAAGGGGCACATGTATGAAGGGGCACTGCTCCAAAAGGTTTTAGGAGGACAGTTAGCCTGTTGAATAGACCCAATTTTGAAGGAAATAGGAATACGTCTTTGGAATAATGGGCTGGTAACAGGCTGAGGGCAGAAACGGGACATTTCACCAAAAGGAGAAGAGGGCACACGCCCGCGGTTCCAATGTCCCTGAGAAAGGGTTGAGCAGTAGACTTTTCATAAAAGAAAATAGCTCATAAAAAGCGATCCTTAAACAAGGAAAACTTTATTACATCTTGGAAGGTCCAAGTTGGACCAACACTTTGAACATTGCATAGGTTTTAATGACGTAATTACTACAGTGAGTATATAGGAATTGTGTGCTTATATTATCTTGAAAGCGTATCAACAACACGAAGGCCTAATATCTGTTAAATTAAGAACTTTTTTGACTTTGTGTTCAAATATTGAAGAATATTTAAAACCTTTCGAATGTCCCTAAAAAGAGCCTGTTTGATATTTCTAGTTTCAGGGGAGAAGAAAATCAACACCTTGTGCTATGGCCTACCAACTTACATTACACAGACGCCTAGACCATTTACGTGCAGATTGTGGCAACCGAACTGGGCATCAGAGACGGTTTTTGAACTGACTTTTCTCCATTGCCAAGAAATACCAACTGTCCAACTGTTCATCAGGAATTTCTACGGAGTCGACGAGATAAACACGTATTTCAATCCCAAGTACAAAAAGATCAAGTACGTTTAGAACTCTTATAATTACTTCGGTATTTTTCGTGGTGTTGGGTTCAAGTGGGCCCATACTAAAGCTTTTGTCACTCATTTTTTTGTAGGAGCTCCAATGCTTTTGTAGCGTATTGCTAGTAAGTGTTTCTGCATGGGAACGCGTTTATGAATGTTCCGACTTACAGTGCAATGGCGGCCAAGCAGGGCCTAGCTGCGGGCATGGCTGAAGCAAAAACGAGTTAAAGACAACCACAGCACATTAGCAAAGCAAAAGCCCTTTCGAACACTCTAATAATAAAAACCTATTCAATACATATAGCAGTTTTTAATATGGGAGTTATGAATTCATACGATAAATGATACAATTATTATCAATCGTTCTGTCACAATCAAATTACATACGATAATATCAATCGTGCTCTCAATAGGATTGGAGAATGTCTTGCAGAACAGCCAATGCAAAACGCATACAGAACTTTAGTTTATGCGTTTTTACATTGAGGAATTAATTTCCAAACCCCACCAGTGAACTGATAACATATTGGATATTTAACCGGGTACAAGATCGAATTGCCTATAAACGAATTAACCGAGGTAACATGGCCTTTGTATTGACTGGCTAACTGAAAAAACACAATCTAACCTTCTTCAACTAAGCCGGTCAACCAGGTACATGTGAACGAATTAACCGGTTATAAAATTAAGCGGTACAAAGGCCTTTGTATTGACCGGCTAACTGAAAAAAATACCATCTTATCTTCTTCAACTAAGCCGGTCAACCAGGTACATATGAACGAGTTAACCGGTTATAAAATCAAGCGGTACAAAGGCCTTTTTATTGACCGGCAAACTGAAAAAAATACCATCTTATCTTCTTCAACTAAGCGGGTCAACCAGGTACATATGAACGAGTTAACCGGTTATAAAATCAAGCAGCAACAAGGCTATTGTATTGACTGACTGAGTGAACGAAAACACAATCTAACCTTCCTCAAGTAAACCGGTCAACCAAGTACATATGAACGAATTAACCGAGATTCATTTGAGTGGTTCAACTAACTGAACCAGAATAGCCATCAAACTTTCCTCGACTTAGCAAGTTAACCAAGCAGCTACGAACAAGCTAACCGAGTTCAAAGTATATTTATCTCAAACCTGCGAGACATGAAGAATCAATCAACATAATGGGACAATTAATCGGTTAATCGAGTATCATTGAACCGGTTAAGAAGCCTCCGTTTTGGCCGATTAACTTGCAAATAATGGAATATTTTGAAAGGTTCTGAAAGGGCATTTTCGTGAACCTGGTTGGCTTATACAAAACTATTATCTATTTTATTTAGTGCAAAGGGCGCGGTCGAGGATGAGCTTTTGCGAGAGTAAAAATTCATGAAGCAGAATCGAAAAGTCATTAAAAACAATGGAATTCCATTCCATGTGTTTCTGTTGCATTAGCCAACTGCTAACGTGACATATGCCTTTTTGAAAAAAGATAAACCGGCTTTCACCATTTCGCTTCATAAGTAAGAAATAAAAGAATATATAGCTCTTCTCAAGATAATTGATTACTAGTCTGTTTAACAATCTTGAAGTTCGTAGCAAGTATTATTTTTGCACTGTTGTATCTTGCAGGACTAGACTGTACACGGGTGTCTTGGCAAGACTGGATCTGGACTTCAAAATCGTGAAAGGAAACAAGAAAATAGGTGTCAGGCCTAGCGTTCGGGTTTTGGTAAGTCGGATAAAGTTCTAATTTGAATGGATTTAAATAAAAAAATTATGCTTACAGGTCTGTTACGAAGTGCTAAATTCCGGATAAGCAGAGCTGTACACGCTTAACATATAGTACAGGGCGGTTCTAAGCAGCAACGCTGAATTTCATACCTAATGCAATGGCCACGCAATCTTTGCAAAAGTCTACATATGTAACGCATGAAATGAATAAAAGAAAAAATTTAAATAGATCATAAGCAATGGCCATTGCACTGGACCAAGGGCTCAGTGAAAAGAGAGGCAAGGATTAGAACCTAACCAAATCGAGACAAGCTTAGTTTGCAGTAAGACGAGCGTGAACCAAGCTTCTTCTCAGTTGAAGAAACTACGGGCTATCCTCGGATGATTCCTTCTGGTTGCACTCTTGAGATCATGCCTGGATAGGGACGAGTGCCTTACGAAAAGTGTTTTTCGTTTTCTTTTTTCTTTACACCTTCATTACTATTGTAAAATGATACTTTTCTCTGTTCTCTTCCAATTTTCTGTATCACAAACCATTTCTGCTCAGTTGCAACCTGTATAAAATATACAGGGCCTCCGACGAAGGGGAGGCCGGGAGGCCTTGGCCTCCCCGCTTTTTTGCAAAACAATAGAGTTTTTTCAAAATCTTTTGTTATGGGTGTTAAATTTTTCCGTGGCCCACCCACTTTTCAACCTTTGTCGGAGCCCATGATATAGGTCGGTTCGAAATAATTTTCAATCATCGCTAACCAACTAATGGGTTATCGAGCTTTCTTTTTGCTGGTCTAAGATATTTTTGTTTCGTTTAGCTGGGATTTAAATTCAAAGCCTTTAAAAACAACACTACTTATGCAAAATAGAGCTGAGGTCTTTAAAAACAATACTATTTATGCAAAATAAAGCAGAGACCTTAAAGAAAGGTTCATTGTGCATTTTAAAAGTTCTCTTTACACCAGGTCAGTGAAAAAGCTTTAGGACAATTGTTGTTTTGAGCTGTTTTGAACACCAGTGACCTGCATATTGATTTCTGACACCAATTCTGTTTTTGCTTCGTTTAATTTCCCGCATTAGTTATGAATCTTACCACTTGCCTGCGATTCAGGAAATTACTTGAAAGCTATTTAAAGAACATAATAAGTAACAAGATCAGCTATGGCTGGAATCTCCATGAAAACTGTCTGGTTGGGTCTTCAGAATAAACAAAACCCGCGAACTGCACATCATTCATCACGGATTAAGCATGGTTTTAAAAAATCCAAGGAAACAGTTTGTTATTATCAAAATCAATGGATTTAGTTCTTGTTTATGCAAAGGGAGAAGGAAGGAATGAGTAATTTAGATGGAACTTTATCTTTGAACTTTATCTCAGTTCTTTCTAACTAAAGGGCGTAACTAGAGAGGGTGAATGCAAGTGTCTCACGGATGCAATCAAATCAATTGTAGTTAAAATCAAAGTTTGGACAAGGCTCAGACAGCAAGACCTCACCCCTTCTTTGCCTTTCATTTAAGATCTACGCATTTAGGGCTTATAGACACCATTGATCAAAATGCTCGATTAATAGCGAAACGCACTTCAATCAAAAAGCCTTGCGAGTCATGGTTGTAACATGGATCAAGAAATGTTTGTGATTGTTATTCAACTTAAAGCTAGTCCTGACATAAGTGACATCCGCTGTTTCGATCTACGACTGGAATGGAAATCTATTTGATATATCGGATAGTCTTGATTAGCTTATTGATACTTTGACATCTAGTAAGCTGGAGAAAGGGGAAAATAGACGGTTTGAAATAGAAGAAGAGAATATGTTAGTAAAGTTAGTAGAAGTTTTCAATCAATGTCCTGACGTTTTATAGACTGAGGAGTGTCAGGCGAAAAACTTTAGTACTATGTTTCAAAATGTTTGCTTTTTTCAAAGCCATTTAGAAATTTATCTCGTATGTACATGGCTTAAAACGCTTAGAAATTGCTTGAAAAATCTAGCAATGTGTAAAAGAACCAGTAGACCTGAAATATGTGCAACAAAGTTGGGCAAAACAACAATTGAAAGAATTCATTCAATAAAAAATCCGTTCAAATAGTAGATAATCTCAAAAAAGGATACCTCCCAATTAGAACACCTCTGCCAGTGACGGACACCTCCTAATGACGGACACCGCCAATAACGGACACCTCCTAATGACGGACATCTTCTAATGATGGACACCTCCTAATGAAAGTTATCTCCTAATAACGGAGACCTCCTAATGAAGGAAATCTTCTTATAACGGACACCTCCTAATGAAGGAAATCTTCTTATAACGGACATCAACGAATGGTGGAAACCTCCTAATGACGGACATCTTCTAATGATGGACACCTCCTAATGAAATTTATCTCCTAATAACGGAGACCTCCTGATGAAGGAAATCTTCTTATAACGGACACCTCCTAATGAAGGAAATCTTCTTATAACGGACATCAACGAATGGTGGAAACCTCCTAATGACGGACATCTTCTAATGATGGACACCTCCTAATGAAATTTATCTCCTAATAACGGAGACCTCCTGATGAAGGAAATCTTCTTATAACGGACACCTCCTAATGAAGGAAATCTTCTTATAACGGACATCAACGAATGGTGGAAACCTCCTAATGACGGACATCTTCTAATGATGGACACCTCCTAATGAAATTTATCTCCTAATAACGGAGACCTCCTGATGAAGGAAATCTTCTTATAACGGACACCTCCTAATGAAGGAAATCTTCTTATAACGGACATCAACGAATGGTGGAAACCTCCTAATGACGGACATCTTCTAATGATGGACACCTCCTAATGAAATTTATCTCCTAATAACGGAGACCTCCTGATGAAGGAAATCTTCTTATAACGGACACCTCCTAATGAAGGAAATCTTCTTATAACGGACATCAACGAATGGTGGAAACCTCCTAATGACGGACATCTTCTAATGATGGACACCTCCTAATGAAATTTATCTCCTAATAACGGAGACCTCCTGATGAAGGAAATCTTCTTATAACGGACACCTCCTAATGAAGGAAATCTTCTTATAACGGACATCAACGAATGGTGGAAACCTCCTAATGACGGACATCTTCTAATGATGGACACCTCCTAATGAAATTTATCTCCTAATAACGGAGACCTCCTGATGAAGGAAATCTTCTTATAACGGAGACCTCCTGATGAAGGAAATCTTCTTATAACGGACACCTTTTAATGAAGGAAATCTTCTTATAACGGACATCTTCTAATGACGGACATCTTCTTATAACGGACATCAACGAGTGGTGGACACCTCCTAATGATGGACATCTTCTTGTAACGGAAAATACCAAATGTCGGGCATATCCTAATGCAAAACACCTCCTAACAACGGATAAATAATATTGCTCCAAGGTTAAATCTTGTTGTCCAAGCCTTGTAGAAGCAACCCCCTACAACGGACAATTTCAGTTCTAATGATCCGTTTATTGAGGTAACGTTGAAAAAAACTACCGACTGTTGCAGGGGGAGAGAAAACTTTTCAATCTTGTATTTTGCTTAATTTGTTGAAAAAACAGCGTAAGATCGATTGAGTGTTTGGTACGTGGTTTAATATTTTTAAATTCTAATGATCTGCAAAAAACAGCCTATTTTGATTTTCAGGCTCAAATGTTTCTTATCAGAAGAGGGCCTAATTCAAAATTTGAGCCAATAGCTTTCAAGTCTACTAGGTTCTTGAACGCAGGTGTTTTCTGTATTTTAGTCGGAGAGCGACATTTTCTGCTGGGAAAAATACCAGGATTGAACTATTATTTTTTTTAATTTTAGGTTTATCTCGTGCCAGATCACAAATTTTCCCCAGAGAAGCGGCTTCTTCTAACTGGAGTGTATTATAGTGACATAAAGGATGACTGTGAGTTTCTTCTAACAACAATACTTTACATGTAGAATTGCAGAAGACGAGACAGCTGAGAGTACATTTTCCTCTGAGATGCACCTCGAAAACAACGATAAAGTGGGAGGATTGGGGGGTGTACCCTGCGAGGAAGAATAAAGAAAGGAAGCATGATTGAAGCAGGATTCAAGCACTTTCTTAGGCTTGACCTTAGGGGTATTAACGAATCTGCCGAGATCCACCCCTAGTGACATCCATTGTTGTGCCAGACACTAAGCTAACTAGCGACTTAAAGGCAAACATTAGGGGAAAAAATGAAACTGCTTTCTGTAGGAGGTGTGGAGATCGATCATGAGGAATATGGCGAGCATTTGTGGGAATACACCCTATTTGAAAATAGAAAATTGCCTAATTTTACGAACATGACAAAAAATAATCCAAAAGTATTGAGCATTGCATTATACAAAAATATGTGGACAAATTTATAAACTAAATATCATAACACTACCTGTGTTGCTTCCCGGGTGCACTTGGGTAAAAGTAACTGCTCCGAAATGGAGAGTTGGTACTATTTATTTATTTAATTTTTTATCTTGTTAAGAAGAAGACTGGTCAGGCAGGGCTTAAGCCCAGTGGCGGACTGAAAAGCGATACAAAATTCATTTTTATCACGGGCCCAACCTTCAAACAGCGATCAGGGGATCTAAATTCCTTTCTGTAGCTATCAACCACTGTGTTAAGGACTTCAATTAAATTGAAATAACATGAAGTAAAAACATGTTTAATGTAAATATTCTCTACCCTATGCTGCTACTTTGACATATTGCTGCTGTGCAGCCACGTGGAGGGTCTAGGAGCGAACGGATGGTAGAAGGCTTGAGAGATCGCTGCTAACATGGCCACCTAGTATCAGCCATTTGATTTATCGCATAATGCAGTAAAGTCAGATTTGAGCGTCGTTTGACATGTGGTATCTCAGAAAGTTTGTCATTTCCAAGTCCTGGCAGGCAAACAACTCCAAGGGCCCATTAATCTCAGCGTCAGAATCGCCAGGATATGATGCACGTCCTTCCTCCTGCTTAGGTCCTTCTTTGAACTTTTTTATAAAATTCTCTTCTGTAACGCCCATATTCCATGTTATTTTCCATTTGCAATAAACCACTCAATTAAAAATTACGTAAAGAGAAGAGGTGAGAGACCATGGATCAGAGACCTGCAAACCTCAACTGAATCCACCTTTCTTCCATTTCAGGCAGCTTCTATGACTCAATGTCACTTCATTCAAAAATTTTCGCGGCTCTCGGTCTGGTAGCTGGCCTCATTATCATACCAATAGTTGTCACGATAATAAGACGGTGGCACAGGAACAGAGGAAGCGGTTCACAGAAGAAAACCTTCTGTGTTTGGTTCTTCAAGTGTGATCAAGGCCTAGAGCATACTGGAAGAAACGGGTTCGTGTTACGAGATATGAATGGACATGCAGCCACAGACAGGTTGATTTAGTAAATTGATTCAGGTGGTTCGGGTAAACATGACAAATAATCACGAAGTGACGTCACTGTTTGGTGTAGGGCTCATTGCCTCTATGAGGCCTGATGTCCTGTCATTTGGTCAGTTGTTGACAAGCTGGGACATAAAGAGGACCCTTACAAGAAACAATGTTGAGTAATATGGTAGATACTAGCTTGAGATATTCAACATAATTTCTCTCTTCTGCAATCTGAATCGATGCTGAGAAATCATGTAGATATTCCGAGGCATTTGCTGATTACGAGGCATTAACAGCAAAAGCATACCACGAGGTCGGGAATAACGGGGGGGGGGGAGGGTGGTTGTGAGGGAGTTGTTTGAAACAAACGGAAGATAATTTCAATGTCCAAAATTTGATCAACGGGAGGGTGTTGTAAGTGATCGTAAGGACATTCAAAATTTCACAGATTTTCGTCAATGAAACAGGGGAGGGTGTAAATAAGAGCGGGATGTCTTAAAAAATATCGAAAAAATAAACGAGGGGGGTCTAGTTGGTGGAGCGTTTATTTGCGACCTTAGTGTACGTAAGCACAAAATCCAGCGATGCATCGTGCATCTTTTTTTAAAAGAACTGTACCTAATAGTATATGTTGTAGAATGAGTTTAGAGAGAAATATGTTGTCTTTTCTGCGAGGAAAAGATCTTTTATCAAATTATAAGCTACAGTTTGCAGGCGTTCATTGCCGGGGGGTAACTTCATGCAAAAGAGAAAATGGGACGCTGCGGAGGCGTGAACCGAAATGCATTTATTTGTCTACAACTGTTCATTCCATCTTAGTGAGGCCCGAATCACTTTACCGATGTTTTGGTTAGACATACCTGGTCTGAGAAATACCTGGATCTAACCGGCAAGGGAGAATCAGTACAAGAAGGTATCCAATGTGTTTTTCGGGGAAATTTTCTAGAGTCAGGAATCGGGAATTGGCAAAATTTTGCAAGCGGAATTTGGAAGTCGATAGCCCCGGGATTCGGGAATTGACAGTCGGGAATCGGAAATCGGGCAAAAAATGTAGCGGGAATTCGGGAACCAGGAGACCTAGGGTGCCCTAGTACAAATGTTTAGGCGAAGTAGTATAGTGCTAATGGTGCTCGTCTGAGCGCCCGATTGGAGGGCAGAACACTGGTAAGGTGTTTATTCAGCAGTCGCAGGTATAGTCGTACTTGGGTAACACTGGGAAAGCCCAACATAAAAGAAGCTTTTTTCTCTATCTGAGCTAGTTGTTTACTCAAGCCACGTTTCTGTCCAATGACCGTTTTTTTCACTTACTGATTAAACACGAAAAGCAAGGAATCAAGCTCCCATGATGCTTTAAAAAGGGTGTGACATTGATAAGCATACTCCCGGATAAACATACTAAATATCTCTAGGGGGCCGTCTACAGTGTGCACACAATCTTTGGTTCTGACAGCTGAAGGCAGAACTAACGATCTCACTGAACAATCAGTAAATTATGTATTATTGGAACATTGGATTACAACATACAAGGAAGCGTTTTACGTCTTAACAGCAACGGAAACCATACAGGCACGAACATATAACTCTGACGTAGATTTATGAGAATGGAAGATATGCTAGATACAGAGAAACATAGGCTTGCTCTTACTTATAAAGCCTAGCGATGGTACCCATCTGAAAGACAAATATCATACTGCACTTTACATGGATGTATGGCATAAAAGCTTGCTTTCAAGGGATGAAAAGAAGCAGATCTTCGTTTTAAATCTTATCAATGTGATAAGAAAAGTCACTGCAACACTAAGCGGTGTGAAATTATAAACGAGCCAAAGCTTTCTTGTCTAACCAATCGTTAGTAGTTCAAGACAGGATGTGAGGGCGTTATTTATGTTTTAAACCCCAGTACGTCCAGTATGGGTACAGTAAACTGGTTTATATTTGTTCTTGCGAGTGCAACATAACTTATCATAAGAAGTATATAAAGTTCGAATTCGATGGCTTGTGCTCACGTGTGCTGAAGCAGCCTGTTGAATGCATTGTATGACTGTTCGAGATCAAATATCATTTGCCTGGCTTGTTCTTCAGTGAGCTCATCACTGGCTCTCATGTCAGCCAATGTAGTCAGCCTAGACAGGAGGGAAAGGAGGGAAAAGTATCAATTAGTATAGTTTGTTCATGAAAAGTTGATACCCGCAAAGAAAAGCCTACTTTTTTGGTCAACTTTCTCGTACTTTTTTGGTCAACTTTTTCGTACTTTTTTGGTCAACTTTCTCCTACTTTTTTGGTCAACTTTCTCGTACTTTTTTGGTCAACTTTCTGGTACTATTTTGGTCAACTTTCTCGTACTTTTTTGGTCAACTTTCTCGTACTTTTTTGGTCAACTTTCTCCTACTTTTTTGGTCAACTTTCTCCTACTTTTTTGGTCAACTTTCTCGTACTTTTTTGGTCAACTTTCTCGTACTTTTTTGGTCAACTTTCTCGTACTTTTTTGGTCAACTTTCTCGTACTTTTTTGGTCAACTTTCTCGTACTTTTTTGGTCAACTTTCTCCTACTTTTTTGGTCAACTTTCTCGTACTTTTTTGGTCAACTTTCTCGTACTTTTTTGGTCAACTTTCTCCTACTTTTTTGGTCAACTTTCTCCTACTTTTTTGGTCAACTTTCTCGTAATTTTTTGGTCAACCTTCTCGTACATTTTTGGTCAACTTTCTCGCACTTTTTTGGCCAACTTTCACGTAATTTCAAGTGTCAGACTGTTGTAGTTCAAGTGTCTTGTTCAAAGTCAGAACTTCAATATAAAAGACTTATGATTTATGAGGAAAATAGATTCGTTAACAAACGGTCCATAAACAAAGAACAGCAGTCTGTAGGTTGTGAGGTCTTTTTTACAGGATTTACTGTAAGTGGTAGGAGAAACGAGTGTTGTGTGATACAACCCACGTTTCTGGTACTTGGCTAACAAACTCGTCCGTCGGTTGGTAAAGTCACCCGAGGTTAGTCAAAGTAGAGGAAATAACATTTTTATTTACACCCTACTTACCTTCCTTTATCCCGCCTTCCTTACTTACACTTAATCCTAACTCCTACGGCAGATCCTACCTTCGTTACGTTATCCCGCCTTCCTTATTCATACTTTATCCCTACTTCTTCGATAATCAAACTGTTCTCACTTTGGTCCGCCTTCCTATTCATACTTAATCCCTACTCCTACCGCAATTCCTACTTTCTTTACTTAATCTCGCCTTCCTTGCTCATAATATATCCCCACTCCTACGGTAATCATGCTTTCCTTACTGTATCCCCCCTTCTTTACACATATATTATCCCTACCCCTATGTTAATTCTACTTTCCTTACTCTATCCCGCCGGCCTTCCTTATATCCCTACTCCTACGGTAAATCCTGTATTCCTTACTTCCCCCCTCCCCACTTCTAGTTAAGAAAGTCCAATAACCTCACAGAAAACAAGGTCGAAGATCAGACCAGAAATCATGACAATCAGATGAGTGAAGAAAGTCAATGGTCCGGTTTCAATTAAACATCGCTGATGGGTGGATTCTTCTTACAGATTAATGTCCTTGTACCTTGTAACTTGTGATGTGTACTTGTACGTAAAAATAGGCCGAGTTGAAGAAAGATCGAGTGATAAGGGGTTCGAGTTATTGGAATTTGTCTGTGTAAATGAAATTAAGCTACTGACACATCCTTCATACAGTTTTAAGCAAGAAAAGGTTTGTGAACTTACCAAGTTTGTACTTTGATTCTGCCCTCGAACTCTTCTGGTAGGATACTCAATCTGTTCATAGTTTCAAGCAGTTCTCTCATATCAGGGTGTATCTAAATCAACGAACGAAGAAGGCATTGAAAGTAAAAATATTAATAGAAAGATCACGAAACGAAGTTTTTAATTTTTTTCTCGAGTGAATGATTTGGATTAAGGTAGGAGAAAAATTGCAAGATAAGAGAAAAGCTTTAGCACAGAAACTGGAGACTAAAAACATCTGGGTACTGACTGTAGAAAATGAATCGATTGATTCAACAACTTAACGCTTTGATTGAATAAAGTAACTAAAAATAACAACAAACAAAGTTGATAATGAGCTTTGCTATGCTTTCAAGCGCAAAATGCTGACAAAATCGACACCTTTTGATTTTATAATTCACGAATTCATAATTGAATTTTTATGTAAACTACAAGAAACGTTCAATATTACGGCATTAAAGGGTGCTTTGAAAGTTAAAGAAATTCGATTCAAAGAATACAAAGAAACATGACGTTTCTGAAGTTTATTAATGCCAAGTGCAAACAGTATAGTAGCAACCTGATGACGTCACAAAACGTATTTTTACATGTTATAATTGGGACGACATTATCCGAAACAACACCAAAGAGTATCTCATCAAATGAATATCTCAAACTGAATAAATTTAGAGTGTTGCAAATTGGCGGAGGTATGGCCAGACTTAGGCTTTACTACTAAAAACAGGGCGCAGAAACAGCAAGTAAGGAACAAAAATTGGATAAATTCAACTTCTCAAAGGAATTTCAACTTTTTGAAAATAGCGAATAGAATGTTTTAAAATACCAGTAAAAGAGACGGCACCAGTAAAGGGAATAAGGGAACGAGAAAATGGGGAACAAGGAGACCTAGATACTGAGGGAATCAAACGTCAAAGATGGGATCAGTATGCAAACAAATGTTGAGCGATACAGAATGCAAGAGTAGCCTTGAAAAAGCAAACATTTCTTATTCACAACTGGGTTTATATATTTCATAGCTTAGAAATTTCGATCTATGTTCTGACGTTATATATTCTGAACAGTGTCAGACGAAAATTTCAGATTCTTAAAATTTTTGCCTTTTTTCAAAGCCATATTTAGGGTCAGTTACTCAGAAACTGAATTACAAGTCACATAAATATGATAGGATGTAGAGTTGTTTCGATTCCACAGAATCGCAAGTATTTTATAAAAGGTGTTTAAAAGGTTCCCAAAAAGTAGTTGCATGTATAAGTGAAGTTGATAAATTTACCTCGTCCATTGCACGGATCTGCAGTCGAAGTTTGTCCATAACGGTAATGAACAGCTGAAAACATTGTGATAAAATTGCTGATCAAGTTGAAAACTCTGTGAGTTGCTATAGTATTACACTTGATACAGTGAAATGACGGAGGCACCTGGGGCCCTTGGAAAAAACCTGAGACGAGGCCCCTATTCACGGACTGCTAGAAGGTCCTATCGAATGGTGCAGTATATGTTTTAGCAAGAATTAGGAGGGGGAGTGCTGAGCTATGTGCTTCAGGACATATGTATAAACATATTTCGGGGCCTCTTTGGAGCAGAGGACCTTAGTTATCAAACGAAGGTGCTTTAAACTGCGTTATAATCAAGCTCTCTAGACTTCGTTGCATGCTTTTGCAAACATCAGACTCACTTTCAAACCAACAGTTGCCATTGTATATTCTTCCACATCAACAGTTGTTATTGTACGTTTCCTGGTACTATGTTTCTTTGCCATATACAAACATTACAAACGAGGAAATATTCGATGGCAAAATTTGGAAACAGAGCCATTAAAAGCTAAAGTACGTTGATTTTTAAAGTCATAGGCCCCTGACTTTCATTTGGGTCCTTAAATGGTACGCTAAATTGTCAATATCCATTTTCAAAATCAATTTCTAAAAATTGTCACATGTAACGTTAAACACGGAGTCATTGAATGACGAACTGCGCTAAGAAGTAAACTTGGACTTCAAAAGAAATGAAATTCATGCAAAATATACTTGGCAAAAGCTTACCGAAACGATATCAGCAATTGATTTACTTGTACTTCCTTTGTCGTCTTTAATGGTGATAGGCCTGTCTTCTCTTATTCGTTCTAGTGCTGCAGGGCAGTCTAACTAAATAAACCAAAAACAGCTGACTTTATATACAAGTTTATGCATGCAAAGTCGATTATTGGCAAAGTGCAAGTTGAAACCTAAACTATTTTGGTTGTTAAATAGACATTACTTCTTCAGATGCTCTTCTGGTATTCGCCGCATTTGAGTCTGAAACTATGAAACACAACTAGGTTTTAAATGTGACCATCTTTTCAACATGACTAAGTGTGCTTTTTCCTCTGATGAAAACAGATTCATGGCAAAATGCATCAAACAATTCCAGCTTTTAATGGATTTGTCTTCTAAGCTTCCCGTATTGCTATATTCTAATTCATAATAATAATAATAATAATAATTCATAATAATCAAGAATGACATAATTTTTGTCATTCCATTGTTTTGTCTCCAGTGTTAGATGGTTATTTTGACTGAATGAAAAGCAAAGTCTCTCTCTAAATGTTTACACAGATATACCATTAGCAGAATTCATAAACAATGAAGAAAAATAGGACCGTTTTACGAAATAGGGACATAACTGCAAACGCTTAATTCGTTATATTTCTTCAATTACACCGTCTGCCATTACAAAAATAGATTTGATGGGAAAAAAGCTGGCATAAAAAGTCTTATTTTCCTCTTAAAGAGTATCTTTGATACATTTCAGGGTTGCAAAGAAAAGCAAAAATCGTGTAAACACGCAAGGAAAGAACTATTCTGTCGGTCCATGGACCTTATGAAGAGCTATAGACCACCGATCATTCAAACAAGGAAACAATCACAAGAACGTGTTGCTCTCTCGCGTCAATGTTCATCCTTACACGGATATAAATTACCGTTGTACTTTCAGGCATTTTAAAACGTTTTGCCTTCTGAAGACCATCGGAAAAAAATATTTTCAGTACAATACACAGTTTTGATTTCCTTTCGGTGGCAAAGTTTTTCAAAACAGAAGCTTCCTAATTTGCATATAACTCTGTATTCATTGGCTTCATATCACGAGAAGGATAGGTTTTATTTTGTGAAACTCTATAATGAACAAAGAATGTTTAATTTCCTTGCAAAAAAGATCTCAGAAGAGAGCAGCAAACTGCAAAAACTCTTCATATGTACGCATACAGCGCTTTATAAGAAGGATTAGTGAACTAAGCAGATAAAATTCGCAGCAGAAAGGACTAAGCTGCAGCCTTCTTAGACAGGTGCTGATTCAAAATCTTTTCCTAAAAAATTACGCAGTCTGTTGAATGAAAAGTTCTTGCCTTAAAATCAGGCAGTGATAAATGTAGCTTACGACAGAGCAATAAAATAGAAAAGTGTTTTATCATATGTCCAGAAAAAATTGTTGGGTGATTTTGAAATTTGCTGCATTCTGCGAATTCTTTCCGAATTAGAAAACACATTATGGGGCATTATAAAGCAAAAAAACTACTCAAAGAAGCTCAGTGATATCGCAGGTTTAGAGATAGTTTGAGGGAAGATAAAAGCTCACCCTGTATTCCAGCGTAAATGCTTCGACTGTGGGAAATCTATCGCTTTGAACCTGCTTGAATGCAGCCTAAAGAGAACAAAGGTGTGTAGTGGTAATGAAAAATCGACATAGAACAATACCATACAACGAGAAATGACTTTCTTATTAGGAAAAGGTATGAATAAAATTAACCAAAACTTCACCCCGGCAAACAGGGATTTATTTAATAACTTTTCGGTAATTCGGGTTAATATGATGCATTGTTTACTTCATAAAAATTATACTTCGGTCATTTCTGACCATATGTCGTGATAAATGGTTCACTTGCGTGTTGCCGCCATTGCTAGATTAACAAACCATTCTGGTGCTTATACTTCCACACGATTATCATGTTCATATTTTGCAACATTAGTCTAACGTAAATCAATGCTACTACGGTAAGAAAAATGTTTAGGATATGTAAAAACTATTGAAGTGTTGGAGATTTATTGTTAGCAGACTTGGTACAGTGAGCTTGGTGCCGTAGAGGCAAAGCTGTACACGCTTAATAGTGGAACTTGTAGCAGCAACTTTGAGCTGTCCTGTTCTACAGACATAACTTTAAGTGCATAGACTTGAGAACAGTCTCGTTCCAGGTTGTATTCCACGTGACTTGAGAAAATCCTGGCTGTCAGTAGATCAGTTGCACTTAGATACGTCTAGACGATTTGCAAAAGCTCTAGAAAGTATGTGAAGCAAGCGTGTTGCTTTACAGGGCATTTCCCGAATTACATTACATTTTCCTTCATATTCTGAGGGTGATTTCGTAATTTCTCTGTCTTCCGTCATGAATATTTGATCTGATATGAAACTTAATAGTCTGGCTTTAAGGTTTTAAGGTTGGCCAGCCAAACTAATGCATTTATTCTAATGCAAATTAGGCGCGATTATGAATTTACTGAACCTAGACAAAAAATAGTACAACCAAGTCAGTAGGAAAGAAGTTGTACCTATCAATTACTAATATTCTTATAATATTCTAACCATTAACCTGAGAGAAACCAAAAAGAAGAAAGATATGATGAAATAATTTTCAGACATACCGCAACAGATTTTTAAAGAAAAACCTGAAACAGATTAGTAATTTTGTATTCATATGCCTGCTGGTACTTATAGAGCCAGAAAAAACAGCAACAGAGCAGAATGAAAATGTGTTTTGGCTCACAGTTGGAGTAAAAATTGTCCAGTGTGTAATTTGAAAGTTATTCTACATCCATGAAATGTTTAGGAGAAACTTTGATGTTTGATTGTTATCTTGCTTTTTGGCAAATTATTAAAATTGAAACCCACTTGAACCAACTTCAATCTTTTTTACTACAGCCAATTATAATTTTTACAATCTTGTGTTGTGGCAGTTTTTTCATGGAAAAAGCTTTACCTGACAATATTTGGTTATCAAGGAGTTTTTTAGAGATGAAGTTCATCCTGATAATACACATTACTGCATATGACAGGTAGGAAGACCTCAAATATCATTCTCTTTGGACCTCTGAAATAGCATTGTGGCATCTATTACATACCTTATACTGGACAAGTAGTTTTGAGCAAGCAGCTGTATATCTGCAAAACAGAATGGATTACATTTCAATGGTGCAGCTGAAGTGTAAGATACTGAAGATGCATAAACCATCTTTCAAACAAAAATTGACCAATCAGTGAGTGTGATCACACTTACATGCTTATTGATTGGCTAATTTTGATTGATAGATGGCTTAGGCCAATTTTGTATCTGTTGTTTCCCCTTAAAATATACTTAGTGGTGCAAAAAGGTATGTGGGAATGGGTACATCCCTTGAAAATGAAATCAATCTCCATCATATATTTATCAAGAAAGACTAAAAAATCAAATAAATACTGTTGAGTCCCATTAAATGAGACTTTCAAAAGGGTAAGGAAATGTTCCCACTTAGCAAATATCTGGCTCATTCTGGGATAAACTTTTGACTTGAACAAGGTAGAAAAATCCAATGGAGTTATCATGAGTACCAGTTGAGGGGATTTAACTGTACATACTTCCTCCAAATTTGGTTACAAAGTTCAGCTTAAGGATAGGAACAATAATGCTTGATTTGGTAAAGAAGCTCACCCTCTTGGCAAATCCCAGTAAAATCACTGAATTTATAAACAGACAACATTATGCAAATTAGACTTTATTCATAAACTATAGAATAAAACAAAACGAATTTATTGGGCTTTGAGTTTCATGAGAGAACAACAGGTACTATTGCAAAAAAGCTCTTTAAGAAACTTATGAAGGCATCAGAAACCTGTGGCCGAAATTGATTTTTTGAGTGCACAGTGATTTACTAAGTTTTTATGTTTGATATGGTCTTTATGTTCTATCCTCTCAGGTGAAGACAGTCCAGTCTCCCATGCACCCTATCTGGGGCAAACAAATTTTTACTAGAAATGTCTACCCTTGTCACCCGAATTCCATTTTAGGAGACCACAGGTCATATGCGGGAGACCACTGGAAGAGCAAATGGTCTCCCACTAGGGACCACCATTTTTTTGGAATTGTCCAGCTCAAATTTCCTATACAAAATATATGATTTTGTGGTAAATTTTCAGTGTCATATAAAATTTTGAGGTGACCAGTTGTCATCTAGCTTCCACATAATTCATGCCCTGATAAAAACCTAGCAAAAATCTTTGTCTAAAAACTGATAAACAAGCCTAAAGTACACTAACAGTTTAAATGTGCTAAGAACTTTCTCTATAATTAAAGGGCCTCTCCAGCCAAATTTTGCACTTGCATTTCATTGGCTAATCTAAAGGAGTTGAACCTGCTAATCACGAATTCGTTATTTGTTTTTCGATATTTGTTACAGTTTGTGAGATATAAGCTCTTGCATTTTGATAATTGAATTGAATTAACCAACAAAAAGTTTTTGGTTTGGTGACACTGTGATGCAATTTTGACATCACTGTGTATTTCGTTAGTCTCGCCTCTAACCGAATCGAATGAAGGCGAGAATAAATTGAACACTGCAAGTGATGGTACTCTCAGTTCTGTTCCACCGGCTTTTAGTTTGAGCATTTCAGACACAAATTCTGAAGCCTTTAGTTGTTCATCATTTCTGGAGAACACCATGAGTATCAATTTCGATTAATTAGACGCCAGGGAAGAGCTGGAACAGGAAGCCATAGCTTTGTGGGCCTATACAGGTGATCAAAACAAAGTCGTGTCACACTATGGACACATTCCAACCCGCAGACTTAGAATGCTTGTAAACATTTAATATTTTTTAATCCTAAAAAGCTCCTGCTGTAGATTTAGATGCAGTTATCAACGCATGACCATGACTTCTTTATGATTCATGACGAACGAGAGCCGCACACTGTGACGTCAGAATGTCATCAAACTGATTCAGCTTTTGTCTTTTTTTTCTCGGAAAGGTGCAACTTTAAAGCCTCATAACTTCAAAACTAATTGGAATTTTGCAAAAACAACAACTTTGCCATAATACACGCACCAGATGCTAGCTTTTTAGTCAATAAAAAAAATTTTTTTTTGGCTGGAGAGGCCCTTTAAATAATCAGAGATTATATACAGATTATATACTGACTTACTCTTTAGGCGTGACAGCATCTTTGATATATGCTTTTTCTAGACATTGCAATGTGTTAATGACTGCAAATAACTCTGCCATGTTGTCATACCTAAAACAGTCAAAACAAGTAAATATGTATACATTTATTAGCTTGATTTTGAAAAGAAAAATTTGGCAACTTCTTTTTATCTCTAGTGACTTTCTAGTTTTTAAAGAAAACATTTTGAACACTTACTTTTCTCTTTCTCTTCCTGTTGTATGAAGTTTTACTTCCTACAGGAGGATTAGAAAAGTACAAAAGACTTGATAAATAATTTTCCTAAAAGGTTTTTATAATAAATAAAAGGAATGAATAAATAAAGCCCTTGAAAATTATTACAGGTTTCAACTATTTTGAAATATTATATTTAAATATCTTATGATACAAATTGATCTTTAGGGACACTTCAACATTGTGATAAAGGAAGTTTATATTGTTTCAATTTTTCTAATTAATTAATTAACTAATTAACTTTTATTAACTAATTAATAATTAAAATAATTCAATAAGCTATTTGCTATATAGCCATAACTGCACGCTGAACTGGAAAAACTTAAAACAATATTTCTGGACAATGGCTATCCAGAAGATATCATTTTATCTTATACTAAGGAGAAGATTGCAAGTTTTGGGCTGTTCAAAAGTTTGGTCTGCAAAAGTGCTAAGTTTATTTGCAACTACAATGGATTGGTAACACTTCCTTGCGAGACGGTAACATTTCTTATAGGATTTGAGAGCCAGATTAGGCAAGCCATAACTAAATGTTTCTTTGCTGTCAATCCTCGTATTGTTTACAGCACTAGGCGAGCCTTTCCATCCATTCAAAATGATTGCCTTCCTACCAACCAAAAAAGTTCCATCATTTATGAATTTACGTGCCAGTGTGATTCTGGCTACGTAGAACGCACAACCCAAAGATTGGGGGGATAGGATAAAACAGCATGTTCCTTCCAACATAAGAAACAAAACTTATAGGTCTAGAAACACTCTGTTAAAACAAGTCATTCTGCCATCGGTCAACATCTTTTAGACAACCCAGATTGTGCAAAACTCTATAATGACAACATGTTTTGGATAATTGGCAGAGCCCGGTGGTCCTTCCATCTAGCAGATTTGGAAACGATCTACATACAAACATAAAAGCCGCCATTGTGTCGGACAGAAGGAGTTTGTTTTCTCTCTTGGACTTCAGTGGTAATTTTTCTTTAGGCACGCAGCACTGATTGGTCCACTATACCGGTCTTTGTGCTTGCGTTTTTCTGATTGGCCTATTTCGATCCACAACTGGGTATATATTTTTCATTGTGTTCTTTCGGACCCTTATTCTGACGTTTTATGCTCTGAGGAATGTCAGATAAAAAAGCTTTTAGCCAACATGCTGTAAAATGTTTGCTTTTTTCAAAGCCATTTTCAAGTCCTCCACCGCCAAAAGAATATATACCCATAATTATATATACACATCTAGAAGTCTTTCAAGCAGCGATATATAAGATGCTTTCTCTGGCATGCACTACACAAGAGCATGCCAGAGAAAGCAGAATTGTCAAGACTTAGGGTTCCTGTGGTATTGAAAAAGGAATCCAGAAAAGCCATGATCTTCATCTTGATGCTAACTCCTATATGTTGTATGGTACAATGCATAATTGAAAATATAAATCTGACTTATATGACTTATATAAACAGTTATTGTTGGCAAAAAGAAATATTGACCCAAATACAAATCCATCCACCTTCAGGCCAACATACTGTTTTTTCTTCATTTTATGCCAGTACACCAAGGAAATAGTGAAATTAGAAGTCCACACCAGATGTTTCTGGAGCCAGGGAGGAATCCATGTAGACCACATGCTGGATATTGGCCAGCAAATTATTATGATTTGACGCATAATAGAAACTATTAATAATCCTTTTCACCATCACTGGTTGATATAAGTCATAGGTTGGCCCAAACACAGGCACTAACCTATCCACCTTTTCGGCAACACATTATTTTTTCTTCTTTATACATCAATACACCAAGGATTTATGAAGTCCATGCCAGGTATCTCCATTGTAAGTTACATAGATTCCACCCTGGTTCCAGAGTAGGTTACATGGATTCCACAATGGTCTGGGATACAGAAAAAAATGCTTTGTCTGCTTTAAATTGTTGGTATATGAAAACCAACTTAAATCAAAAGAGTTTAAACATACCTCAAGCAGTTCTGGTCTTACAGCTGAAAAAGGAAAATGCTTTTATAAATAACTAGATAATCAAAATATTATCTTGGTATAAAGACTTCCTCAAAAGGCTTTCGGTTCTCGCCTTTTAAAAAGATTTGCCAAAATAAAAAAATCTACCTTCTAGACAGACATGTGGGTAAAATTTGAACAACCTTTACAAGGATACAGATAAAATATTAAACTACAAAATGTGAGGCATACAATTTACTGCACTACCATTAAAAATATTTAAAAAATTGTGAAGTTTATCATGAAAGTTATCAATTGAAGGCAGGGAAGATATCGAAAAAAATTCTGTCCTAACGAAATTTGAACTGCGTTCGGGACACATTTTGAACACTGAAATACAACAAAATTCTAAAATAACAAAATGAAACTCACAATTTGTTTGAGGACCTCCTCCAGGCATTCCTGAATACATTTTCCACCGTTTTCTGGAGGTTTTTGCTACCTAACAAATTTCTTCAACTTTCACTCGGATGTCAATGTTATATCGAGGCTGTTAAATCAAGCCGAGGCTGTTGCAGTATAATGTAATTTTTTAATTTCAAAATGAAAACATTTTAACTTCCTTAATTAACAATTACTAAATCAAAATTACAACAGAAGCGTTCAACAAATCAATGAATCTAAGTTTCTTAAAAAGGTATGAAGATTTTTACCTACTTTTGAACTTTGAAAAAATTTGTTGTAAAAGAAAAATTTAAAATCTAAGCAAGTTATCTTGGTGGCTAGGGATCCTCGACAATCTAGGTATATTGGGAAATAATTAAAGATTATCGAGTATACCCTCGCTTTATTATTTGAAATGATCAAAAAGGAAGTTGTTGTGGACTTATGACGTCATGCAGTCATCATTGACAACAGGGCCTAATTTTGTTTAGGGTAAGGAAGGAGTCGGCTGACTAATGGATAAGCAAAGCTCGACAATACTTGAAGGAGAGGCGTCCGAGAGCGATGAAGAGGTCACCGATTATCCATCATTTATACAGAATACCATGGTTGCCGAGTTTCCAACCAAAGCTAGCATAGAACAGCCAGCGCAGGCCTTGGCAGAGAGGAGCAGCGGGGTTGTCATATCTGGCGAAGCTTCGGAAAGTGATGAAGAACCAACTGAATATACGAAAGCTGTCGGTGCAAGGGACTTCCCTTCTCTTGTAGCAAGTTTCCCAGAACCTTCTAATTTGCCTGGTGCAACCCATGAAAATACTGCTTCGACACAACAATCTACCAAATTTCGTGATGAGTACAGGCGGCCTAAGTTCAAATCACCGTTTCACAAAAGGCTACGAGAAAATAACTTCTATTTGCGCTGTGCCGTAGTGGAAAATACCTTAGAGACTTATGATAATTCAAGTGAAAAACTGAAGTATTGTACGCCGATATTCAAAAGAACTTTCGATTCAATAAAAGACACATTACATGATTACAGAGTGGCAATCGAAGGACTATCTGTTTTGCAACTGAGCGTGGATAGCATCGTCGAGTCAACGAGTTTCCCAAAATTTAAAAGCTTTGCCAAAACTTAGTAACTCTGTAATATTGACTCCTACAAGAAATCAAAATTTAACAATATAGGTTTTTAGAACTCTAATTTTCGGCAAGAAGCTAGAAATTGAATAATGTTTGGTTCAAATTTTGCTTAATATAAATTGTTTCTTTAGTTCTTTCTTTTGTTCAGTTACCTAGATTCCCAGGGATAAAGTAATTTTGTGAGAGCACTTTGTGTCAAGAAATCTAAGACCTAAAATTTCATCTGTTAGGCCCCAAAAGTTAATCCCCACTTGACTAAATCCCAGTATAAGTTATTTTGTAAAAGTTTAAAATAATCTTTGAAAAAATTATGTATAAATTTCCGTATTAATGGACCAATTTCTTCCTAAACCTATTAAAATCCCTGTCAAAACTTATTGAAGCCTTAAAAAAGTAGTCTGCACCAAAAACCAATTGTAACTTACATATCAGGCACTGGACTTGAAAACCTTTTTGGCTGTCTCAGTGTCCTGGGCATCTAACAACAATTTTTTTTGATAGAGCATATTGTATCCGTTGATCCATAACTTTGTATCATTTATTAATATATCTTTGGCTAACTTTTATTCGATAAATTGTAAATATTTTGCTGAATTACATGAATCCGAGTTTCATAAGCATTTTGCTAATAAAATGTTTAACCATATGCATGGTCTAAAACAAGGATGGAAAACCTTCTCTACTTGGAACAATTTTATGAATGAAAGAACATGGGCTAAAATTAAACAGGTTTCAGTGTACAATTAATACTACCTATTAACTCAGCACTGAACTTTATAAATCCCAGTTTGATAGGTAATGTCCTTGGGTTAGATACTTCATCATTACATTTTCACAATCTAAACTAATTTTTTTCCCTGTGTTCAAATGTTTTGAATGAAAATTTTATGGAAACATAGGTTTGACCAATTTTACTCACATCTTTTCTGTGCTAGTGATGGAGTCTCGGTACTTTAGAACTTGGTTTATCCACCACACTACATTTAGGAAGTCAATCTTTTTGGGGAAGAAATTCAGGTTGGAAATGCTGTCAACAATTACATTCTATTTCTATGCAATCAATAATAAATAAAATCAACAAAATTTAGTTTTAGCCACTATAAGAAAAACAACTGTTTCAGCATGCCAACCTGAATTTGTTTGACCTTTTTTGATGACAAATTTTATCTTCCAGAAAAGCTGCTCCAAATATGTTCTTCAGATGGTCTACAGGCCAGATGGGGCCACTGTTCAATACATTATTGTTATAATTTACATAGTTATTCATCTGGCCCACCTGTGCAGTAAGGTTTTGTCTGTGGCCCACCCAAAATTAGCTTCTGTCTGTGGCCCACCAAATATAAGTTTGCTTGACATCCTGGTTTCAATCCTTTTACACGGAAGCGTATTTCTTGCTTCCTTTGCTGTGATCTTTGTTTCAAGAACATATAAATGGGTCAATGGCTTTCTACTTTGATAAGTAATTCAAAACTGACCAATGAAAACTTTATAGAAACCAAAGAGCACAACCAGTGCATCCCTGTCCGTACAAATATACAAAAATAAATTGCATATGGTAATATGATAATTTTTAAGCTTTAGGGATATTTTTGGATCTGCAGTAGAAGAACAAACAAGACAACATGTAGTTCTTAATAAACAAGTATGATCCTTATAAGAGATCTAACTAATTAATTTAAAAGTCAAAGGAGCCTTCATCCTAGTCCATCCTCCCACGTAATGTCTTGGTAGTTACTTTATCTTTTTCTCTGAAAAATAAATAATTGTCTTACAGATGGATATTATAAACATACAAATATTTTAAGAAAATTGAATTAGAAGGAAAACAATGGACGACCCCCAATATAAAGTTTGTTCTGATTGCACTGTTAGTGGAACACAATTGGCCCCAAGCAAGGAGACAGAATGTGATTGCAAAGACTCTTACATAATGTGGACCGTTGCTCCCCATCCACTGACAGCATCTCGATCTACTGCATTCAACAGAGCCTGTGAAATTGTCTCAAAAAGATCATCTGGTTCCTGCAATAAGAAAAATTAGTCAACCAACTTAGATCTTTATCCTAATGTTTCATGAAAGTATCCTACAAAATCGAAGATATAATTAAAGCCTAATAAGAAAACATATATTCTGTAGCAATGTGCATGTATTACTCCAACTGATCTTTAAGTAGTGATTATATATTTTTGAAATACATTTTAATGATTGAATGGAAGGTTATCAATAATCTAAAGTGCAAAAATGTTGTTTTTATGACACTTTTTAGTTTCCCTCCTTCTTTTTCTTGATACTTCTTGTTTCTAGTTATTTATAAACTGTAAAACTTAAGATGTAGACTGTAAAGATGTTTCAAAGCAGAAAAAATCAAGGCCCTCAAATCTAATTACTAGAATCAGCTGCTGTCTTTGGCAACAAACATTTTTTAATCTCTGGGCCTCCATATGAAGATTACTGCTTGCAAAATTAAAAAAGAAGAAGAACAGACTAGGAGCAGCACCAGCAATTTTTGCTTACTTTCCTGGGAAACCTGATGGTAATTAATCTCATCTGCTGGAAAATTCTCTAACATGATGTGCAATTTTGATACAGTCATTACTTAGATGAAAAAAGACAATAAAACATACCATATCAGGTTCCCATAATGACTCACACATGCCATAAAGCTGCTCTGAGCAAGTTCCCGTCACCACAAAATCTTCAGGAATCATAGGACATCCAATAAGATCACATGATGCAACAAATGGTTCATTCGTTTTTGGATCCAATCCTGCTATGACTGGCTCAATGAAATATGGACCAAACCTGCAATACAGGAATTCAAGGCTATGGTTACCCAAATGCACTTTCTTTCAAGGTCCCAAAAACTTTTAGAAATTTCCTAATGTTTTCCACATTATAATTTAGGATTGACACGGTTAAGAAAAACAATCTTAAGGCATGCTATGAAAAAACAATGCCACCCAAGTTCTTTTTCACACGAAGTCTGAGTCTGCATTGTTATTTCATACTAGTTTATCTTACACAAAAGCTTGTTTTTGCATGTTCGCATTAGTTAATAGGGGTGTACCGGATCAGGATTTTCAGAATCCAGCCGGAACCGGATTTCTTCGTGGAATATCCGGCCGGATTCTACCAGATAATCTGACCATTTATAGAATTTTCAGTAATAAAAAGTTTTGAGCCACTTTGCGAAAAAATGTATAGCGAGAAGATCAAAGAGACCTATTCAGGGTTGCCAGATTGAATTTACAAACGAAGGCTAGACTGGTGAGCAATTCAAGCCAAAATGCTCATAAAAAGGCCAAATCAAAAACTCTCTCAAGAATCCATCGAGCAGGCACTGGTTATATTTCTATGCTTGTGCCTGTTAGATAATTTCTTAACTTAGATAAGAATCTTACTTTTTTCCAAAACCCTTTGCTAATATCAAGATAATATTTAGGTTAGGTGATAAAATTTGAAATATGGTTAACACTTTGTAGTTAACTACTAATTATTCTATGAATGTAGTAATTACTTATTAATTTTGGATGTCTGCTGAAAAGGCCAACAAGGTCAAATTTAAGTAGTAAGCAAAAAACAATTTTTCCAGGCAATCTAAGTCTAAAAACCAAAAATGAAAAATTTGGCCTAAAAAGCCGATCAAATTTGTGAATTATATCATCCAGTCTTCCTGTTTCGTGATGACGAGCACTTTCATTTCAAATCTGTTTTCAAGGCGCTTGTTTTATCATCTATATTGTTTAGTTCTGGAAAATCCATTTTTAATCACTGTATGAAGGGAGTCTGACTTGGTTTTCCAAATTTTCTTAGTTTTGATTAAAGTTCTGGAAAATCCGGCAACTGGCCGGATTTCGGAAACAAATCCTGCCGGAACCGGATTTTCAAAAAATCAGCGATCCGGCGCCGGATTATCCGGTCTACCGGATATCCGGTACATCCCTATTAGTTAGTAGCTTTGTAGTTAGTGAACTTGAGTGTCATGAGATGGAACATTTGGCAAAACGTTTTCTTCTATCAGTATGACCTCTGGGCAAGAATTCCTATCAGACACATTTCCACATGTCATTTAAGCAAGTATGATAATTTCTAGAAGGACAACTGGCCAAAGACAATTGTGACATTGCACCTTTATATTTGTTGAAAGTAGTTTTTGTAAATTCCCAGATTATGAAAGAATTCAGGGGATGTTGAATGACTGAGCCAGGGACATTTTAAGGGAGCCAAACAAATCTGCCCAATAACACAGCTACTGCAGCAAATTGTAAGAAAACCATTTTGAAAATATATCCCTGCAATAAGATTTCTTTAAAAATTATGCAGTTGGTCTATAACATAATTGGTTCCCATTATTGTTTCCCTAAATTCTACATTGGACATGCATGATGAAACAAGAAAGCTACATGATCTGTGTGAATGCTTTTAATGTAAAGGACAAGATGGTTCTAAGTTTCTACTCCATGTTCCATGTATGAAGAGACTATCAGGAAACTGCTGACTTTTCAAAAAGCCTTCCATTTTCACAAAATTCTAAACCATATTGAAATTTGAGGCTGCATTCACACTGTCCCAAAATATTTGTTGACCATTTTTGTTTTGATCAATATTCAAAACATGCATCCATTTCTAGCTCTAAGTCAATTTATGATTTGTTTAAGAACAATTAGTCTTCACATTGATCTAGTATAAAATAATGAAATAATTCATTGGGATAAAATTCAAAATGGTTGCCATTTTGTTATGAGACTATGCTATATAATTGTGTTTTTTTTCTGTTTTCATCTGCCTGAATTTTATTGTGGGGTTATGTAGAATGGGCAATGGAAAAACTTTTGTCCATTTTTATTGTGAAAAGGAACTATGGGTTGACAACCCCTTTTAAATTCCAGGCAGCCAAAAATTGCGAACAATTTATTTTTATCCGTTAAGCTAACTACCTTGTAAGTATATAGAGCTCAGAATATTTTTTCTGGCACTCATTAAGACTCTTGGGGTTGAATAAGAACAATAAACAAGATCCATAATAGGCCTTGGCAGATACATTTCTGGACAACCATGAAATTAGTAATGGCCAGATGAGCACCTTAAGAACTAATGGAAAAAATTATCTCCAAAGAATGTGTGTTTCTCAAATTATCTCTCAATACTTCTGTAAAAGTTTTCTTACTAAATAAAACTTAAATAATTACTCCCTAAGTAACATAGTTCAAAGTACAGCTGTATAACCTGGTGATAGAAACATGCAATTTTAAAAACCATTATAAAGTAACCATTGCAACACAACAAAAGATAATTTTGACAAAGTTCTTACCTTCTACTGTATAACAAATTGGATACCATACTCATGAATGAGTGAGGCTTTATCTGCCTATTTTCTTCTAGTTGGTATATATTGAGTCTCAATTTGACAGCATTTGATCTGTAAACAGTGAACAATGAATAAGATGATTCACCCTGATACTTAATAAGCTTCTTGAATAGAATTCGAACCTGCAGGAACACTTTTCACACAGGGGTATATAGATAAACAAATTAATATCACTAGAGGCAAGACATTTTGGGAGAATATCTTATTGTTTCTGGTGATTTCAGCAAAGAAGGAGTTTTTAAGATCATTCTACCACATTTCCTGAATCATGATAGCATGATACTAGAAACTGATAATAGCAGTTGGTGATATTTCACAAATTTCATTGAAGCTAGTGAGTTGAGGGAGCTCTTTACTCAGGTCTTGTTACTTTGCATCAGTTATTTTTTGCAAATTGCTTCCTCCAAATCCTATAGGCCCTTGTTGGCTAAGGGTAATCAATCACCCTAGAGGAAAAATTATTAAAGAAGAGTACTGTCTGTAATTCCTTTCAAATTAAGAATCTCTTTTACAATTCTCATAAATTTTCATTAAGATACCCAAGGTCTATTGCAAATCTCTGGGAGGGGTGTTTTGGTGAATGAAAAAGAGCAAAATTTTTGGAAATGAAACACAATAGCATAAAATTTATTTACGTCAGAAGACTTACACAGTTTGAACATCGGTGGCAAGCCCAGCCAATCCAAGAAAAAGTTTATCGTTCATTTGAAAAAGCTTCTGGAAGTCAAATGCAACAGTCTGTGCTTGAATTCCATATCTCATGTCTGATGCAATGGCAACACATTCTTTCCCCTTCATTGCTATTATAGCACCACCATTATAACTCATAATACTCTAAAAGCATAATTTAAATGTGAAATATTGTTTGAGCACTAAAAGCCATGAAAAAAAATCTGGATAACTGAGCAAGTTATTCGAAAAGTTAGCATCTAATCATGGGAACAAACAATTAACCTGATGCAAACAATAGGTATCTCTAAACATTAATAAATCAGATACCAAATGGCAAGCAGCTCATTCTTAAAAAATTCTCTTAATAAAAATAATCTAGTCATGATTAAGCTATATTTTTCAACTTCTTTATGTTCAACAAGTATGCTTAATCTTTTAATTCATCATTTGTATTTATTCAAGTTGTTGTAAGCTGCATAATGTTCGACTATTCAATGTAGTGGAATTGACAACAACAACAAATAACCTGAACAGAACTTGCTAGAAATGAGGCTTGCAACAAATATTAGAAACTGCTTGAAATCTTCAAATAAGCAAATTCACAGAGCCTAAGAAGATGATTTCAAATTGATAATTGAAAACAATTTTCAAAGCAATGTCACAAGAAAAGATACATTAGCCAAAATGCAAACTACAGTCTATTTTTGTCTACAGTAAACATAGACCATTAACATTGCTAGAAAAAGGATCTTAAACTTCAAAGCCTGTGAGATATTGCATGGAAAGTTGGTTCTTAATTGTTTGTTGTCTTGTATGATTTTTTGGCAAAAAGTTTTCAAATCTGTAAACAAGATCATCACATCTTAAAAGAAGAAAAACTGAAGCACTTCAACTAAAGTGAAAAACAAAAATAGTCAAATCATTTATGTTACATAACACCATATAAAGTATCGCGGCGTGGCACGTCACTGAGCGCCATTGAGCATCGCGTCATGTACTTTTTCAGGCTGTTAATGTCAAAGAAACTACACAAGACTAATTGAAGTACATAGAATACCTCATTTTTTGGCCAAGGTGCGGTTTTTGATATATTAGCTTCAGATTACTGTCCCATCTGTTTCTGTAGCAAACTTAAATGTCTGGCTTGATTTTGCAATGCAAGGAATACAGTACAACTTGTCGAGAATTTTGCAAGTTTGCTGTGAACAGCATTGGAAAACAGAAAACGTGCCACTCGATAAAGCATCATGTGTGACACATCGTGTAATCTGAAGCTAATATATCAAAAACAGCCTGTTCACTGCGTGCACATAGCTGCCGAAAATGCTAACCATATTTGGTCAGCATCATGATGCGCCGTGCTGCGATGCGTCCAGTGTGAATTCAGCTTTAGGATTCAAGAGCCCTAGTTCATCACATTCAAAATTTAGGCAACCACTCCCACACAAGAAAACTTTGTTTCTTTTTCTTTTGCACAAGTTCGTTTTGAAAATTTGGGACTGCATCATTAAATCAGGCACATTAATAAATTTTTAGTGTTAATAATGTAAACTTTTATTAACTTGGGACTTTTTGCGGCCAATAAGCAAAAGCATGAGATGGAAAATTTGTGTGGCAATATACTGTGGCCTTTGGCAAACTTTCCAGTCAGCCTCCACTCAATTATTGGTTTGTTCAAAGACTGTAATAAAAACATTAAACAGCCCTTCCATATTCTTTAAAAATCATTTAGACCTGGATTATCTAGTTAAACTGTTCATTCATCAATTCAATTTAATTGCAACTTCACACTCAATTCATTCATTGCAATTTCATTTTCAATTGTTAAATTGATAAATTTTCAAGCAACAGTGCTTAGAATATTTCTCTCCTATACCAAGCAGGTTTAGGCCTTAGTTAAATATATTTCCTTTTCTTACGAAAATAGTTCTTATGATAAAGCGTTGATGACTTTTAATTAAGTTTCTATGAGAAATGCACGAGAAGCATGCATCTAGCTAGATCCTAGTTTGCTACAACTTGGCTACGAATCTTAAAAAATATCTCCAAAACTTAACTAGAAACTTTAGTTGGTTTTTAAAAATCAATTTCAACGAATGAACATTGAAAGTTTCAAGACTTTGGTAAAGTCTTACCACTGATTACAACACTTACCATTTTTGCAGCTTAAATTGATTGAAACTAGCCAATAATTCTGAAAACTCAATCCTTAAATCCTCAAACTCTCTCTGTATCAAAACTTTCCCTGATTGGTCTATATCTTGCTTTATCTGCAATGTTTTAACCTACAACTTGCAACACAAGGTCCCATCCGCCATGAATGAAATTATGCTGACTCTGGCCACATCGAGGCAGATGTATCCAGCCTCGTTGTGAAGAAAATGTTACGAAAAGATCTGGGCACTGATCTAAAGAAAATTTTCCTGGGACGAAGACATGCCATCAAAGATTTCACAGATGCCTCTAATTTGATCAGGAGCGTCATTTTAGGGGGGTATGGGGGGGGGGGGGGTTGTTCACCCCCAACCACAAAAGTAGGACCTTTTCGCAGGGCAAAACTGATTTTTGCAGGGCAAATGTTTTCTACCACTGGATCTGTTTTGTTGTTTATCTTATGTAACTGTAACAAGAAAGTAGGTTATGCTTATAATTTGTCTGCTCCAAAATTAAAATGATACAGACTACCAGTAACACGAAGTTACATTTTGAAGTAGAGCTGAGCCTTAATTTGCTCAGCTTGCTCTTAATTTTTTTCAACTTTTGACCAATTTTGAAGCCCTTGTTCTTATAAAATTATTCTTATAAAAAGAGATTGTAACGGCAATTTAATTATGTTTGAGAATAAAAACCACCATATGTTGTATATGTTCTATAAATCAACTTCCTAGGACTTGTTTACTCCAATCGATTGAGCATATTTGCACTTATAAACAATAGTTATACAGTCAGAGGGCTTAAAATACATTGAGCAACAGAAAAGCTAAAAAAATGCAGAACATGTGTCTAAAAAGAAAAATACCAGCCTTGTAACTTAAACCCAAACCTGGAATATAAAAGGGTGTTGTTTGGGTGTGGCATCACTGTTAATGCTTCATTGACACCAGCGACTATTCCATTAGCTGCTTATTAGACCAAAAGGGCAATTACCCCGCAGAAAAGGCCATTACCCCACAAAAAAATTACCCTGCATGGGAACTTCCTCCAAAAAAATGGGCTGATTTGATGCTTCCCAAATTTTTCAAGTATTAGCTCTCCATCCACTCTGGCTGTCACCCCTGTCGGAATCTTCTTTTTAGAAAGAAAACAGTATTTGGCATATGTAGATGTAGATAAAAGTTATCAGTATTGAATGAGAATTGATGAAAATGCACAAAAAAGCCACCGGTTTTCTATAGTTTTGAGTGGTTGAGAGGCTCTTCACATAATAAAATTCTACCCGGGTTGCCTACCGATTCTGGAAATCCTTTGTTTTTGTTGAATTCGTTTAAATAGAAAATCTCAACCCGGGTTGGGATTATACTCAGAGATAAAGATCTAATGTAAAAAAAATCTTCTCAACAGCGGCCTGTTGAGGACGTAAAGAACTCGGATACTAAAAATCAAAAGAGCTGAAACCAACCCGTTCATGAAAATCTTGTGTTAGCAGAAGCCTGACTTTTAACGCCAAGCAAAACACAACCCAAGTTGAAGTTTATGCGAAGGATCTCAAGGAAATATTTATACTTTTGTATGGTAGAGTATCCAACCGAACAACTCAAACGTATACAGAGTATTCTCTTAGATATAGCTTCCTTTATTTATTTATTACATATAAGGAAAAATAACGTTGATAAATCAAAAAGTATCTTTCAACTGTATTCCAAACGCATTTTTACTATTTATGCATTTGATGCAGTAAAACAGGATTCTTAATACCACAAAAACAGGTAACACTTTCTATAATCAAGAGAAGGAATTTTTAAAGGATTTTATAGTCAAATCGGACAAGGATGTACCATCAACTGTCCCCAATTGGTGACACATCTGGTGCAGACTGCAGAGCAAGCCCCGATCAAATACAGTTTCCTTGGAGCATATTATAGATTGAGGGAGGGGCTCAGAAGTTTGAGGAGGGGGCTCAGGATGCTAGAAATCGTGGGCAAGATTCCTCATTGTATTGTTTATGTACACCTTGGCAACAATTTGGGGTAGGCTCAGCCTAAGCACCCTCACCCTCGCTTCTGCCATCCCTGAAATAGTGACATAGCAATTCTAAAACGAATTTTCCTAATGAAACAACATTGACGTGCTCCTTTACGAGTTGCTTAAAAACGTACAAAGTGGATATCTACCTAACAAAGCAGCGTGCATTTACGTTTTAAAAAGTTGACAACTCGAAGAAATCATCTTTCAAATGCAATATGATTGATAGCATAGCCATACGTCTTGCAAGGCAGGGATGATACGCAGGGATGCATTGACAGGGATCTATTGAAACAGTATTTTAATAGGCCATATCCATTGAAAATAAAATTCTTATTTTGGAAACAGTATTTCACATTTTAAGATCGTTTCTATCCATTCAAATAATGTAAAACCTTATCCGTATATCACCTCTTGCTTTGAACTATGCCAACAAAAATTATAACAACATAAATTATAAACACTTGAATAACGTTCTCCTATTTATATTGAATATCTACATACTTTCAAAAATAATGACATCTACAACTGTCGTTTTCAGCAACATATCTTGCTACTGAAAACATCTAGTTTGCTCTTCTATATCTTGAACTCCTTGTAGCAAAAGTTTTTAGTGAAATTCTTGGCCGATTTGCCAAACGTCAGCTTCATCTACCAGAGGGAAAACTTGTGAATTTCACTTGTCGATACTGTAAAGGGTCATACAGGGAAAGTTAATAAAAGATTCTTGTAGGCACTTGAAGCCAAGAACCTAGGCCAGCTTTGGCGGTACATAAGGAGATAAACCTGAAAGAAAATATGGAATGAAAATAAAACTTAGCTGCAGATTGGTGACTTTAACAGCAAAGAGAAAAATAGCATACTCTTTTTCTCAATCATTTAATATTCAAGCGAAATATTATAGCAAGAAATCTTAGAATCTAACGCGACTGTCTAATACAACTGTAACCCACGATGCACACGTGATCAAACATGCAACTAAAGGATAGGACAATACTAAGCACAAGCTTGTAAGGAATCTTTATTTCTTGAGCGCCCAAGATAACATTTTATCAACGCTGACTTATTTTAATCTTGTGAACTTGTCAAAGACACCAATTCGTTTAAATGACTACTGATTCTGAAACTTTGAAACTCAATAGAAAAGTTTGGACAGCAGCTGGATATCTTTAAAAGGCAGCTTATCAACAGGTCTTAAATCACAAATATTTATAGAGTAATATACAATACACACCTGCGTCTGTGCCGGATCAAAAATACTGATATCAGGTTGATCGATATTGTCTTCGATTGACTTTCGAATCCAGGCCTCTATGTTGATCTGAAAATGAATATAATTGTATGATTTATTATAACAAGCATTGCAATGTTACTTTTGTCAAGTTAAATCTTATCAACTCGGGAAAGAAGTTACATTGCAACCAGAGGTGTTATGGAAGGGGGGGGCTCAGAGTGCTGCAGCCCCCTTGTTACAATTTAGACAGATTTTCTGGAGGGGGTTGTCAGGGCTCAGCCCCCCTTAACAAGTTAGCGCATGTTAGGATAGATGAAGTATGTGCTTGCAACCCTTTATTATGCTGTGAATATCGTCTTATTGAGTTGTTGAAAGTTTGAACTATTTCCTATACATGACAGAAAACCCTTAAGAAGTTGCTTACAGAACAGCCCCCCTCCTAACATTTCCGGATTGTACCTTGACTGCAACCTCAAGGAAACCTACTTGAATATGGAATCCTCCTTACAACTCCAACTAACACTTGTAATCGTCAAATTATGGTTATAATCGCCCTAACACAACAGATTTATTCACACAGACTCGCATTATCATGTGTACTAGCGTAGCCTATCTTATCAAATCGTCTTAGATAAACAATCATACTAGAAAATTCACCTCATTTATAGACCTTGGCTGCACATATTCTCGATATATTCTTCTGATTAAAATGTATCTTGCAGTGTTTTCTTTAGTAGACTTCATCCGCTCGACATCCGACCAGAATTTTAAATTTTCATCACTGAATTCATGTCTGAGGAAGCTCTCAAATAATGCTTTACCAACTGAAAGCAATAATCAGAGGAAAAACTAAGTAGAGTCTCTAAATATTTCTCTTGATTGTTAGTTTTAATACATGTGCATAAAATATTGGGGAGAGGGGATGGTTTTCATCATTTAATACACTTGGCGAAGGTTTAGCAAAGTTTTCGGGCATTTAGGGTCAAAATTGAATGCTTAGGAAGACATCGTCTGTTTTGCCAAATTTAAGCTCCCTTTGTCCGTTTCAACAGTCTCTAACTCGCTCTTTATACAGTCTGTTACAATCCAAAATAAAGAATGATGAAATAAAAACATTTCTCCATTTATTAGTAATCTCTTCTTTTTTAAGTGAGATCGAGAAGCAAAAAGTAAATAAACAAGCAACAGGTGCCATTTGTGATTATATGTGAACGCGGTGCGGCGATCGAAATTCAAGGGAGGGAACAAGCTTTTCACAATTTTTTATCATTAGAGTACGGAAAAGATAATATTGTCGATGCTAGCATTTTGTAAAAATTTCTTACTCGAATTGTCCAACAGACCCGAGAGATAGCAAATTTTACAACAGGGGAAGAAGGACAATGGTCCCACTGTTGCACACCATGTCAATTTAAAGAGGGTACCAAAAAGGCCCCATAATTCCTAAATTTCAGCTACGTTTTAAGGCCGAAACCCGATATCCGACCATGAATTTCCGAATCCAGGTGTTATTGATCCCCGAATTCTGCCAATTTCCTATTCCAAAAAAGACGATTCCTACTTCCCCGAAGAAATCATATTGGGTACCCTCATTATATGAATGTACCTACGATTATATGAATGTGCACGATATAACTTTCCATTGGAAAGATAACCAGATTACTTACAGATGGCGATCAAAGAGAAAAGCTCAAGGTAGAGAGATTGTTACCTTCGTCGGTTATTAGTGATTCGAAATCAAACATCCAGCGTTTCACTTTCTCAGCACTTACTCTGAAGAAGCAATGCAAACATAAAGTAAGATAAAGCAAAGATAAAGACAAGTCTAATCATTGAGACACAAACTACTCTCAGGTACCCTAATAAATTACCCCCCTTCCCCCTTCCCTTCCCTTCCCCCTCCCCCTTCCCCTTCCCCTTCCCCCTTTCCCCTCACATAAATACTTTCCGCTTACTAAATTTTTTATCATTGACTTTGAAGGTTGACTGGATAAAAACATTTTCTCATAAAACCTGTCTATGTATAATAGTTTAAAAAGGCGAAGGTGAAGAATCCGGTTCGGATAATCCGATAAACCTCGTGTCATACAAATCAAGGAGTTTTTTGATTGCATCTACGAATCACATGTCGCCTAGGGTCAAGGAACGCTCTCCTAAAATATGACATCTAGCTAACATGATATCCATCTGGATTCTTCATTTCCGCCGTTCAAAAAATCTAGCAGCACATATTCATTGAGCTATCATGTTTCCTAGATGCAGTAATTTATTTGCAGATGCTTATTAGGCACATCTAATTTTGTTACGTAAATGTACTCTCTTACATACTGTACTATACATAAATGTTCTAAGAGCAAATATCTAATTTTGTACCTTTGATCGTTGATTCCGTATTTTGCTATATCAAGCAGCGAACCACCAGTACCTCTGACGGAACTTACACTACCTGAAGACTTTCTGGAAAGATACAATAATAACTAAGTTAGCAAAGCCTTCAAGCATCAATTGAAAGAACCCCTGCAGTTGGTTTGCTCATTTCCATTAATATTGTCACTCCTGAAAGCTTCATAAAAGGGCTGGTGAAAGGGTGATAGAAGTTAACACAATGCAAGACTATACCAGCAAAGCAAAGGAGCAATAAAGGATCATTGTGGTAGTTTGTTGCGCATTAATGAAAAAATTGTCTAGATGGAAAGTTTGTCTACTGTTGAAGGGAGCAAATGCAAATAAAGCATCCAAGGATAAATGGTGCAATTGTAAAGTGACATGGCAGGGAGTTACATAACAGATATAAGTTTGATTAATTGCTTCTACATTTGTTACCACAGTTAGGCTTATCTATGTAAGTTCTCGTGTAAATGCTTTGATGATTTGTATATATTTGATTTCTAGACACAATGTGCTCTCTTTGGCCAGTCTAAAAAATGGTGCCGTGACCAGGATATGTCTTTCGTTGGAGTGGGATTTTTGGCGCATTGCTAAAAGGTTGAAGCAGGAGAGAGGCAGATAAGCGTTCATTCACGAAGATCAAGTGCTTTGGCTACTCTAAAACCCGGGATACAATTGAAAAGCAGTATGAAATGACGATAAATCTAATCAACAATGCTTCGAATTTCTCCCTTGCCATGGTAGGTTACAATAGTATATAGATAGATAACTAAAAGACCAGAAAATTCTTGAAGCGAAGAGTCTACGTGCAAAGAGCTAATACACGATGCATTATTTTGTATCTAAGCTAATTGTCCTGCAAAATAGAAAATAGGGAATGGCTGCTTTGATAAATTGGTAACGTTTATATGAGGATACATACAGGCTACATGTGCAAAAGCAACACCAGCAGAAGCAACGAGGTTCTCCACCTCTTTGGACTGTCTTCTCTCGCTCTTCCCAAGGTAAGCAGTACACTTTTTTGTCTTTGTCGGCATCTGTTCCGTAATTTGTTGTGTCTGGTTCAACGCGAAAGCATGGGACAGTCTGACTTTTTTTGCAAGCGTTCCCCATTTGCCATACTTTCACGGCTACACGAGGATTGCCTTCTCCATCGGAAGTCTTCATTGATTAATACTGACACATGAATAAATCTCTGTAAAAATATATATAAATATATACAAATTTGAATATAAGAAGACTGTAGTTAGATCATTCAGTTCGCACAGTGCTCAATATGTGTACACGTAAAGCGCGATATATATTGACTGTTTCGTGAATAACTCACTCTTCAAAGTGAATGAAGAGTTTCCGACGAGTTAGTGATTCACGAAACAGGTTTTTATAGATTTAAAACGTAGTTTTGATCTTACGCTCAAGATAAATATGCTATGCTATGCAATGCTATGCAATGCAATGCTATGCTATGCTATGCTATGCTATGCTATGCTATGCTATGCTATGCTATGCTATGCTATGCTATGCTATGCTATGCTATGCTATGCTATGCTATGCTATGCTATGCTATGCTATGCCTATCTATGCTATGCTATGCTATGCTATGCTTATGCTATGCTTATCTATGCATATGCTATTTGCTATGCATGCTATGCTAATGCGTATTGCTATTGCCTATGCGCTTATGGCTATGCTATGCTATGCTATGCTATGCTATGCTATGCTATGCTATGCTATGCTATGCTATGCTATGCTATGCTATGCTATGCTTTGCTATGCTATGCTATGCTATGCTATACTTTGCTATACTTTGCTATACTTTGCTTTGCTTTACAATACTAGCATGACATAAAACAGCAATTTCAACATTTAAATAACCTTTCGTGCAAGCAGCTAGCAGTTACTCTGGCACGGTGAGGCGTCATGAAATTGGTCAAAGACGTTGTCAGTTGCTCACAAACTCGAGGCTTTGACAGAAACAGCTTCAACACAACCAGCAGGTCATTAATATTTTATTTCAGCACGTAAAATAACAATTTAAAACGTTTTTTATGCTAGAGTCAACATTTAATGGCAACCACGGCAACGAAGAGATGTTGACGTTTGAAAACCAGTATGTTGGTTGTCACTGTATGATAAGAGCAAAGCTTCAATTATTCGCATTTGTCAAAATGAGTCAGACTAATTGAGTGAAACTGATTGGATTTTCGATGACACTCCCTCAAAACAATTTAAGTTTGATGAATAAAAATGATATCATTCTAATTATATAAAGTTTTATTATTGGACGTATCTTTACTTGCGAAAATTGTTATAAAAGATTGCAAGATAGGTTGGCAGAAAAGCGTGATTCAGCGTTGCGATCAACTCAAATGTAAGGTATCTTCTCTTTGCTATTTATAAAAAGAAAAGATGTCACCCACACCAACATTCTGCTTAAAAACACACGTATGACTGCAAGCTGCCTGCAGTTTCTCCATAACAGACACAAAGTGCATATTTGTAATTCAAGTTTGCTGAATTATTCATTGGAAATATCACTTGACGTAGATTTTTCAGCCACAGTTATCAATACTCGATGCTCAAAGCCACACATCTGCTTAAAGCCACACATCTGAAAGTTGTCTACAGCACTACATCTAATCAATTAAAAAAAATTAAAATAGGTTGATAGGGTGTAATGACACAAAATAGGTTGAAAATGAACCTTACTTATACAAGTTACTTACTTACTTATGCAAGGGTAGAAGTTAAAATGACACGCGAGAATGCGATACATCTGACAATACTTAACACTACAGAATATGACACGGCACGACACGGCACGACACGGCACGACACGACACGGCACGACACGACACGACACGACACGACACGACACGACATTGCCATGCACAACTTAGCAATGCACTACCCGACACTGTATATTTCGATACACAACAGACACAGGGGTGGAAATATAGGCTTTTTGGAGGGAGAGGAGGAGGAAGATTGTAAGGGTTTTGCTTTTGCAACAGCCATAATTCCTTCTTAGCGGTAGTTGCAATGCTTAGCAGCTCATGCAGTCTTCATTTCGAGAAAGCATTGAAACAAGGAGATTAACAAAGGGTATTGTCTAATGTAAGGCTAATGTTCTGAAATGCCCAGCGGACTTGACAGTTTGTTATTTGGGAGGGTATTACACCCCACATCCCCAGTGCATTGGCCCTTGCTCAGACTTCACTACGCCAGTTAATACATTATCCTGCCAATACACTCATCCAGTTATGAATAACGGCCTCCAATATGTGAAGAGATATATATATAGCAACAGACTATAACAGTATTTGAGAAGAAGGTCTTATCACCTTTCTCTAAATTTATCTGGGAGAATTCAGCAAAATTATTTTGTCTGTCATGGCTTGTCACTAACGGGGATGGGGTCGCCCTCTCACTCTCCCCCAACTTGGCCATGCCACTGAACTTCAACATTATCTAACACGTCATTACACTATAACCAAATATATTAAAGCTAGGTACAGATAAATCAACGAATTCAGATTTTTTCAAGATTCGGTTAAGAATGATTGGCAGAACACAATCAAGCCCCGACAAAGCAGCGACTAGTTCAACTCGTAAATATAAGGCTTCGGTTTCTTAATAGATCATGCCTTAGAATTCTCTGAGGTGGATATCTTCTTCTGAAGGATTTTCGAGAAGAAATATGTAATCTTTGGGGTACTGACTTTGCAGCTCTGTGAAAATATTCTTGCCTGCGTATGAAAAACTCTCTAGATCAAAAAATGAGAAAGAAATCTTCTAGTTCACGTTACTACGATGAGCATTTTCAATCTTGTCTACTTCAAATTTTCTAGAAACTACGAAAAGCATTTTCTAAAGGAATTAAAATCATGTAAGGATGTTAGGAAGATGCTTACATAGTTAATAAATGCTAGGAAGATGCTTATAAAGTTTCAAAGTAGGTTTCTGCAGTAAGTATGAAATTCATGTATGATGGAACTGCTTCGCACCAAACGTAGGGACACGCAAAACAATATTCATACCAAAAAGTTAATAAAATATCTTTGATACTGACGTGAATTTCAAGCCATGTTTCTTCAAAATGAATCCATTTGACTTATGAAGTAGCTTAGAAATTGCAAAGTCAGTTGCCAGATTTGAAACAATCCATAAATACTATAGACTGTTTTAATTCTGTTTTATTTCCCATGATTACGTAGAAAAAATAAGGTCTTTGAGATCAAAAGCATATCTTGTAGGACACCGATTGAATTGCAAGATGTCTATAAAAGCATTTATTAACAGCTTCCACAGCATAAGACTTTTTGATTTACAGGTATCTCGAGCAAACAATACCGTAAGAAGAGCGATCTAAGCAAAATAAATTTTCTGTTCTCAGAAAGAAGCAAATTAGTGAATACTTACCAATCTGTTCGATTCTGCTTGACATTAAAGAATTCTATGAATGAAAATTCTTCTTGGCATCCTTGGATCCAGATTGTGTTTCCCGTTCATTCATCAGTGAAGGCTTAGTAGAGAGCAACTGATATTGAGTATACCTGCTCTTAACGTACACAAGGGCAGCTGTTTCATGAATAATAAGAACAACGCAGCTTCCCGCGAATTTCTGCGTGTTTTCAAGCCTTCTTATCTATTGAAAACGAAACCTTTGCTCAGGAAAAATCAAAGTACACGGGGTTGACGAAATCATAGGGCTTGCTGAAAATGTCCCAAAAGCAGATAAAGCCATTCATGTTATGGACATATTCAAACAGTTTAAGTGAAATAAGAAAATTCGCATTGATTGCAAATCTGCCTTTTGCGTTGGAGTTTGTTGGGCAAACATGTTCCGTCATCCCAATACGAACATGGTCCTTGTTGGTCACATGGTCTAGGAAAAATCCCAACCAAGGTTTTTCAGTGAAATATTGTTACTTTTCCGGACCTCATTTTGTTTCATGGTATTTCTAGAGCAAGCTTTCAGAGTAGGGCTTTATCTGGAGAAGTGATCAACAATTTTTTGGAATCCTGTTTGATTGGAACATTGAATTTGCGTCAACATTGTCACAAAATAAAAAAGCTCTAAAAATAGCCTTTTAAGTCAAACAACTTTTTCAGAGGTGGTAACCCCCCCCCCCCAAAAAAAAACCAAATGTAACTGGGTAGTACCCGTTGTCAGCTATAGCGGTATATCTGAGATAGTGGGGTGGTGGTATATTTGAGAGCCCCTGACATTTCAGACTTTTGTGTCACAAAGCTTAAAAAGTGCTAATTTTTCTCGTCTTTGCTCATATCTCTGTAATGTTTTACCAAAATTGAGAAAGTTTACACATTGATTTTAGAAATACAATGATAACTGGGGGGAGAGACGGTTGGGTTGCTTTCCGCCCATGAGGCGATTACCCGGTGGCGTACTTTGCATCAAGAAAAGCGGGACTATGTATGGCGATTTCAAGAACAATTGTCGTGTTTGTTGTATACACTCTTCGCTTTAAAAATCAAGGGTTTTCCTTATATCTCGAAACTTCAAAGAAATGATGGAAACGGCTCGAGGTAACAAACGTTCGAGTTATTGAGGGTACATGTTATTGAGATTAGGCTCTACCTCAATTTTTTTAACCTCAATATTCTTCAAGCCTTATTATATTTTGAATGAGAACATAGGTATACTTTCGTAATAAAAAAGAAAAGAAAACCCGAGTCCCTCATTATCGTACGGCTTCGACACATTCAACACAAAAGATTATATTTTGCTGTATTGTATTGTATTGTATTGTATTGTATTGTATTGTATTGTATTGTATTGTATTGTACTGTATTGTATTTCTTCCTAGCACCCGAAGGTAGTTCGTAGGACACTGAGAAGCAGTGCTTTTCGAGCAGTGTCCTGGTCCTACCTCTCGATGTGACCACTTCCTTTTTTTGGTATTTGCTGTTGTATTACCGAACAGTTAAACATTATTGAAGTTTGGAAAAGAGAAAAATCTTTATAAAAAGTGTGGGTAGCTAGGCCAGAAATACAACGCTGGGTACAAGAAGGTTTCGACATTTTGTGAGGACAGAAGGAGAGAATCAAAATGCTTGGACAGTTAAATAAGCTAATACTTTACATTCTAGCCTTTAAGCTTTAAGCTTTCAAATCTCACAGAAAATTGGACTTAATCATTTAAGGAGCCCCGGTATATATCTTCAGATGATATGCAGAGTTTTGTGACGTCATCGTTTGATTCATTTCAATTGTTAGCTCCAGCCCAGGCCTCTAAAAGCTCGCTGGGTCAGTAAAAAGAGGATCAAGGCAATAAATAAAGATGGATACATCTAAGAGGATTTGTTGAATTAAGATAATGCAGATTGTTACATCATTTAAAGAAAGCTAATACTTGACTATTTACAGCATAAAATACACTTAGATTTATTTGATCTTGGTCTTAAGTTTCTTGTAAGGAGGTGACCATCTTAAGCAGCACCTATCTACTGTTATTGGTGGCCTCTTGTACTGAGCACTATTCAAATGTTCTTCAACAAGTCTAGGAGTAACAATGATGACGTGTTGCCCTTTCCAGTACTTGACCATATTCAGCGTCTGTAGTGTGCTAATGATGTCATCCTGAGTGATGCTTGTTTGTGTACTGTAAGCAAAAGAGGAGAATTGACGACGAGAAACCAGTACTCAAAGGTATATAAGTTGTTAAGCAAATCTATCTTCAATTCAAGAATAAGCACTGTCTCAAGGAGAGATCCTTGTGGAGCACCACTCTTACTTCTTTGTAGACAACTACACTAGACGATGTTGAAAATCTAAACTAAGTGCTTAAATAAATGTATTAAGCAGGCATAAGCACTGCCACAAGAAGAGATCCTTGTGGAGCAGCATTTTTTTAATTTCTTTGTGACAGATACAAGGAATTAAAAAAAATACCGACACTTGCTTAACACACTAGACTATGTCGACAATCTGAGATACGCGAGTAAATAAATGTTCAAAGAAGGCATAAGCAATGGCACAATAAACGATTCATGTGGAGCATCGTTTTCCATTTCACGTGATGGATACATGATAAGAAAAATATACTGGCACTTGCTTGATACATTAAATCAGGTGGACAAGCCGAGTGCAGGAAACAAAGAACACGCATGATGATTATTCAAAACACAATTTAAGGTCATAATAACACAAAAACAGTATTGTTGCAACAAAACACACATGGCTCCACAAATACACTGACATTGGCTCTAAATCTCAGCGACTAATGTTGCTACTAATAATACAGAAATTCAATCTGAATCAGAAATTCTAAACCGAACTGAAACTGTTACTTTCGATACTTAGAATTATAATTCTACTAGAAACTACAAACTGCGACACAGACTGATTTCAGTCTTTACAGTTTTCTTCAACGTGAGAAACAAAAATGAAATTGACATATTTATTCCCCTGTGCATCAAAAAACCATTTATGCAGACAGGTAATTCTTAGGTATATTTCTTGAAATTGTCTGATGCTATTAACAGGGAAAAAAGGCAAAATCAAAACAGAAATATAAAGAGAAAAACAAACCTTAAATCCTTTATTGACAAGGTGCCTTTTTCCGTCCTCATTATGTCCAACAAGATCCAGGTCCAATAACTTCGGTAACTTAACTTCCCGAGATCTGATAAAGGTTTCTCTGGCGACCCAACAGTCTGTTCAATTTTTGATAACTCATAGCCTACGTATCAAAGTGTAAGGAAGGATATACTCGAGTATTAGTTCTAGTAGAACAGGCACACTAACGAAGGAATCTCTAAAGATACAAAAAGGAAGTGGTTGACCACTGCTGAAATCCCTAGACCATCGCTGGGAGGCCAGGGTGAGTGAAAACTTTTCCAAACTGAAAAGTAAGAGGACCATCAAGAGCTGTTTCACAGATGCTTTGCTTGCCGAGGGGCCACTTTGCAGAGGGGTGAGCAAAGAACCTTATCCACAATTGGAGCAACCTCAAGCAGCCCCAAGGACAAGTCGAAACGAAAGAAGATTTATCGGTAAACTTTTCGTGCATGTTACCCATAGTTTGGGCCGATTGCCTGATTTGTATTGACCGTTCAGCACTGGGTATAGCCATAAAGATCAACCAACAGAGTCCTATGATAACACAGCGTGATCTTACAGGTTATCACTCATCCGGAACTCGCACGAAAGCCAATGAGTTTACACCAAAAATAATGAAAAAAAGTCAGCAATTTTGACAAATCTCGAGTCATGCAATGTATTGGAAACCGAACAAAAGCGTTACTGGTAAGGATAGAGTATTTAACGCGCGATAGAGTTTGGGCACTAAAAACAACATGGTTAAAGATTTGAGCGCCTAGATCAGGCTCAGCGTCACTGGCACAGGGGTACAGTAGGCCAAAGTCTATAGTTTCATAACCATTTCGAGGCTCCTAAGTGCATTCGGATAATGCTTTCTCTGCCAAAGGAAGGCCCTTAGTATTTCTTGGCTGCATAAATCTAAACTTTTACTCAGTGTATCTCTTGTGAAATAACAAATTAGAAAAATTAGAGCCCACTTTCAACTTAATTCTGGTATGCGGATAACAGATAAGGTAGGCAAAGACACTCCTTTTATAGGCATTATGTTCCGATGAACTTCGGTGGTCAACTAAAATTCCATTGGTTGAATTATACAATAGGTTATTGTATAACATTCCAATCGCCAAAGCGGAACTAATTCTCAAAGATTACTTGCCTACAAAGTTACTGTAGGGCCTATTGTACCGGTTGACTGACGGGACATATCTTAGATCATATGTGTTTAGGGGATAGCCTACGCAGTAGAGCCTCCTCCCTGGGCGGCTTCAAAAAATCAATACAGGGTTGACTAGTTCCTTTTATACTGAATAATACTATGCAATTGTAAACAGGTTTTTAATATTATGGTTTTTTTTGTAGTATTTTAATTGTATATTGTAATTAGTTTTAATTGGAGGGCCCCTTGAAAACAACTTCCGTTGAAGGGCAATACTCCTTAAACAAATCAAATATGAAAATATATATGAATATGAATATAAGAGCCCTTCCCTTCCAACCCCCCTCCCTCCTTTGGAAGGGTGGGTTTACGGCGTAGGCTAGGTTAAGGATTGCCGTGCCGAAGAAACTCTGATTACTTGTTTTTCAAGGATACGCAAACGTCAAAAAACGGCACAGAAAATCATACGAGTTCCTGAATGAAAAAAAACTCCCCTTAATTCCACCAGTGAAGATCCCACAGTCAAATGTGCAAAAGAATAGAGCAAAAAGTAAAACCACAAGCGCTTGCACAAACAAGGAAACACCAACCTACTAAAGAACAGGGATGAAGAAAACTGAATTAACACCGGAATGAGCGTAGCATGATTGAGAAATGTCCCGTGCACATGTTGGAAACTCACGTTAATATGAACAACAATTAAATCGATTTCTAGATCCCAGCAATCTATGTCCTTGTTTATTAAAAGGAGGAAAAACAGAAAATTGAGTTTAAGCTGTGAGAATATGGCACATGGGTTAACGTTGAAGAAGAAGGAATTCAATAAAAATGAGAGATGTATTGCAAGACTACATTTTTAGTCTGCTGAAGAACCACGTTTCCTGCATATGCTTCCATTAGCTATATCACAAATAGCTGTGACATAAGACATTTTGGAACTACAGTGCAATGACATTTGTATTCAAACTAGTGAGTTATTTTTTCTACGATAGAACGACCATTTCCGGAGTCAGGCTTTTTGACAAACTTCAACCTAGATGGGTTATTCTTCATCTGTTTATAAATTGACAATTAACATTTTAAAATTGTGAAATCATTTTTACATAAAGCTATTAATTGGAACCATAACTATTAAACAATACAAAGACAGTGTGAAAGTAAGAAGGGTTTCTGAAAAAAAGAGTCATTATCAAACTGGTATAATTTCTGGTCTTTACATACGAAAAAAGGGCACACGCGTGAGCTTTGAATCTAAAAACGGCTGAAAAAAAGTAGTAACTTGCATAAGAAACCAATTCAGCTCTCTAGCGTTATCGATAACGCTAGAAGGTGTTGGAGACAACGTGGGCCTTTGTCCAACTTAAAATACCATCCTTCAAACAAAGCAGACCTTAAAAAGGATCCATAAGACTTAACAAAAAACTTAAACAACATTCATGGATAGTTTGACATTTTACACGACACATAAACAAGAAATCCCCATCAAATCGGAATCGGGTCATACGAAATATATAATTGAATGGAAATGACAGTTCGTAAAAAAAGAAGCTCTATTTACGACCTCATAAGATGAGTGAACAGCCCAGAAGAACTTGCTTCAAACACGCAAGGAAATTCGACTTACTGAAGGCTATGAGGAATTTTCCGTATCCCTTTCTCTGATAAGGAGGCAGGGTGAGAATGCACGCGACGTTGTTTCCATCCGGAGACTCCTTTTCCTACAGAAAAAACAAACGGTGGTATGGGTCTACGATATCAAAATGCTTCGACCGTGGCCAGTGACCCTAAGATACTTTTGTAAGCACCTTCTTGCTTTACATTTGCTTCGACCGTGGCCTTTTAAAACTCTGTACGCTTTGTAAAGCCTTCCCTGTCGTTATTTGCCTTTCAGTGTCCAAACTCTATTTTCCCTAGAATTTTTTCGGAATTATGTTCTGGTCAAATTTCACCAAGTTTGAAAACCTAGATGTCTCGTCTTTACTCTGTCCAGAGCGGAGATCTTTTCTCATTTAGCTTTAGCCTTAAGAAACTACAAAAGAAAACTTTCCATGTAGACTTTATGTAAAGCACTCTCTTAATTTTATACTTTTGACTAACCTAAGCAACATAAATAGCTCATTTCAGATACTCTTTATAGGATAAATGAATTGAGAATCTCAGTTACGGAATACAACCTACTCTACGGAGAACCCCCTCTCTAAAGAGATCTCCCCTTCTATGGGTTCCTCCCCCTCTAGACTCGCAAAGACTTCCCTCCATTCTTATTGATCCCTTTTTGTGTAGAATTCTAATGAGCAGACTGCTTCTGACTGAATGATATTGAAATAAAGGCAATAGTGACTTTAGAGAAACTTGGGGGTAGCGTATATACCTTGGAAAAATAGCCAACAAGATGACACCCATCGCGGTCAACTTCTGTCAAAATGTAGAAAAGAAACGGCTCCACGTCAAAGTACAGGGTTTTATGATCCAGAAACAGCTTTGCCAGTAGACACATGTTTTGACAGTAAATCTGAAAAAAGAAACATGAAATATATTCATCAGCAAGTGCCTCATATTAAACTAGATATTCCACATTACAACTGCTGTACAAGCTCAGCCTGCGCTGTTTCTGTCTCACATATTCGGTCATATGTAATGGAATATCCAAGTCGAGACAAAATTACAAGTGGCAATTTCTGACCAGTTAGACTGTGTAGGCCTAAACCTATGGATGCATGCTTGTATGTTAGAAAATTTCCTTTTGAAACTGCATATAGTACGTCCTGGCAGAAAGAGCCAATCAGACGTTCACTAGACAGGCTTGTACTGCTACGGTTCTTCCCCAACAATGTTTCAAAAAGCAACGTAAGAAGTTCGGGAGGGTGTCTATCGTTTGATCTCAAACTTTCAACAGTTGGTGGCCACGGTAACGATTTTGCTTTCCTATTAAACTAAATAAACTAGATATTAAACTAGGTATTCCGTGTATAGAACAGGGTGGTTCTGAGTTGCTTGTCTGAGTTTCAGGCTTAATGCGATCATCAGGCAACGTAATTTTCTTAACTAGATATCCTACATGAATAAAAAATATTAAAGGCTCTTGCAAAACCGGCATGCTTTGCGACTATGTTTTGAAAACCGGCCTAATATCGCACTGCACAAAAATACGAAATACAATCAATTTCTCAAGACAGCTGCTGCTATGCATGCCGGTTGCGCAAGAGCCTTTAAGAGGGAACTGCATTTGGTCAGAGCAGAAGCACGCGAGTGTTGTTTTCTGTTGGTCGATGTTCCAAAGTAGAAGCCACGATTCTGTTTACTAAATGTTTGAGAAGTGGGTGTAGCTAGAAGGCTTACTGAAAAATATGGGCATTAGCCGTTTGCTCTGATGTTATGAGCCAATTTAATATTCCTAGTAATATCATAAGAGCTCTTTAGGCCTCAGTTATAAGCCTCTTTGAAAGGTTAGAATCATACAGGATAGATTTTAATCAGTTAGTAGCAGAAACTAAAGGAACAGAACAAAAGCACAAAGCCTTTACGTGCGTCATATAGCCAAAAAGTGCTGCAGAATATCAAAGAGGTGATTAGATAAAAGTCAGATATGCAGATTCAAAATAGAAGCATTATATAACAGATACGTCTTTATCTCACAAAGGGCGGAGTTTCAACAGCACCGATTGCGTGGGTTCTGCAAAGGCCTACCACTCTGCCAAACAATGCTTTCAAGCTTTTTGAGTTTAAATTAAAAACTTGTTGAGGCCTTTTGATGTAAGAGGCCTTTTTTGCGTGAAAAAAAGACAAATCAAGTGCTGGTTTTGCAATCTTGCTGATGATAAAATCTCAACCCGGGACGAGCTCAAATCTCAGCCCGGGTTGAAATTTCTCAACAGAATTAAAATTGCATGTAAACGAGCAGTCCTCTTAGCTAACAGTTTACATCGATTAATTGAAAAAAACATTTCTGAATTTACCGGAAATGTCAATTGAATTAATAACTTTCATAGAATGAGCTGACTTTGTCTCTTTTACGACGATCGTCGTATCTTTTACTATCATCAAGGTTTTACACAGATAGTGTCTTCAATTGAATAAAAGTTCATGAATTCGCTAAGTTTTAATAAAAGAGCAAAAAAGAATGAAAAGAAGACTTGAAATACTTTAGCCTTTCAAGCGCACGTTGGAAAGAAAAATCTATTGATAAATATTTGCCATTTCCTGTTCTCTTCTGTCGGGATGAACCTTAAAGTATCAGAAACCAAGAATGGTTCTATGGTGCTTAATTTGATGGCTTCTTTCCCCGATAAATAGCAAGGACCGACATAGCTGGGGGGCTAAGGGGCTTGAGCCCCATCCCTCCACCCAAAAAATTTTTAAAGATATACTCAGTTCTTAGTTATTGCATACCAACTAAGATTTAGTAGTGAAAGATTGTCTGAGCAGAAAAACCTGAAAGATTGTCTTACCTTGTGTTCTTTCCCATCCACTTCAAAAACAGATATTCGTCCTTTTCTATAAATCTCTTTTCCTGGCGGCTGCCTGTGTGTGCATGTTTTCTAAAATATGTAACATAGTCTATTAGAATACCAATGCTTGATGGAAGTATTAGGTGAATTTCGGATCGTTCACTAGTGTGTGTGTATGAGTTATCTTTAAAGGCAAAAGGAGTACAAGGATATTCCTAGTAGATTGGAGAATGCAAGGGATATTGATCGTGGCATACCCAGCCCTCCATCCATTCAAAAGGATTGCGTTCCTACCAAACAAAAAAGTTGTTTATGAATTTACTTGCCAGTGATCCTGGCTACGTAGGACGCACAACCCAAAGATTGGGGGATAGGATAAAACAGCATGTTCCTTTCAACATTAGAAACAAAACTGCCCCTCAAAGAAAACAGCCTCCTCGATCTTGTAGGTCAAGAAACACTGGTAAAACAAGTGATTCTGCCATCGGTCAACATCTTTTAGACAACCCAGATTGTGCAAAACTTTATAATGACGATATGTTTCGGATAATTGGCAGAGCCCGGTCGTCCTTCCATCTAGCAGTTTTGGAATCGATCTACATACAAACGAAAAAGCCGCCATTGTGTAGACAGAAGGAGTTCGTTTTCTCTCTTGGATATTTCAGTGGTAATTTTTCTTTAGGCACGCGGCACTGATTGGTCAACTATACCGGTCTTGTGCTTGCGTTTTTCTGATTGGCCTATTTCGATTCACAACTGGGTATATATATTTTTCATCGTGTTCTTTCGCACCCTTATTCTGATGTTTTATGCTCTGATGAGTGTCAGGAGAAAAAGCTTTCAGCCAATATGTTATAAAATGTTTGCTTTTTTTAAAGCCACTTTAAATAACACTTTAAAAACTATGAAAAAATAATCAAGCCAAGGTAATCGCATGAGTAGTATTTGAAGACAACAGAAAATGAATATAACAAAAAAGTATTGTCAAAAACTTCTAAAAGTAAGTTTTTTAAAACACTGATAATGTATACTGAAATGAGACATGTTGTCGTACGCTGATTAAAACAGCCTGAAACACCGGGGGTAGAGCACTGCGGGTGGGAGCAGAAAGGGTGGAGCAGAGAAGGTGGAGCAGAGGGGTGGGAGCAAAAAGGGTGGAGCAGAGGGGATGGAGCAGAGGGGTGGGAGCAAAAAGGGTGGGGCAGAGGGGTGGAGCAGTGGGGGGTGGAGCAGAGGGGGTGGAGCACAGGATGGTGGAACATGAAACACAGAGGGTGAAACATAAGGGGGTAGGAGTAGGTCATGAAATGAGGAGTTTTAGCATGCATTGTACCCTGTGCTTAATGAAGCAACCATGATTCTGGCTATTCTGAGAAGAGCAACAGAATACATAATTACCTGATGGTGGCGATACGTCTTTTCGAATTTCATATATTTTACGCAGTATTCACAAATGAACAGCTTCACTTGCTTTCCATACTCGTCAGGAAACGGTGAAAAATACCACGTGTCGATTTCATATTTCCCAATTTCGATTTTGTCCACATACTTTATCCGTGTTATCTATGAAGATATTAAATACTCATATTAAATGTCAAAAGATGCAAAGAAAGCTAAAAGTGTTGGAACACTCTCATAAACTTTCATACTCAATGTTTCACCTCCCCCTATCCGCCCCCTATCCACCCCCTATCCAATGTTGGATTCAGACTTTGAAATGAAGAAGGGGTGAAGGTGAATCAAAGGGTTAGCGAAATGTTGATCTTCCTTTCCAACATTGTTTAAGAGAGGAAGGGGGATCAGTTCACATCAAATCGGAAAATTTATGCATTGCTTAAAATCGCAATCCCAGTGGCGGCCATTGTCGTAATTTCCAGAACATACAGATTCGTGGACATTTAGAGAAGAAGAACACAAAATTTAAGGGTATAGTTTCGTAGCCATCACTAAAGTTGAGAAATGCAACAGCCCTTTGGCTTTGTACCCAAAAGAAGGCAATGGAATTGATTGTGAATATCAAATGCTACTGATAATCCATGATCTAAGCCCGGTTACACTGCTCGACAGCCATTTTATTAACACAGGAATTCGTTTTACCAAACAAAATACTATCAAAATATATGTACATCTTCAAAAAAACGTTCAAGACAACAGTAGTTGACATAAGAAAAGGGCTGGTCCAAATTTGAATCAATTTTAAAGAACACACTAAAGGTAATAAGAACACAGAGCAACGATTTTGCCTACGTCATAAGAACACGTCTAGCCTCAGATGAAACAATTCTGCATTACTCTGAGGAAGGTCAAAATAAACAGGGAAGACAGGGAGTTTTAAGGAACAGGGTTTGACCCTAATAGGGGGTTTTACAACACAAAGCTCAAAAATAGAGCACCTTTTGAGGTAAAAGTTGCACCTTAGGCCTGAAAAATACCCCTACCAAACCAAATTCAGCACTCTCATTTGAAATCTACATACGCCCCTGCACATATCTGTAATATTCAAAATGATTTCAAACGCTTGGTACAAAAACTGTAACTAACAGATATTAAAAACTTACAGCTTCGTGTTCCTTTTCAAGGGCAGCAGTGGTTGGATCCATGTCATCGTAAGACTAGAAGTTGGAGAAAAATTGATAAGAAAGAAGATTCTAAGCAAAACAATAAGATTCATAGCATGGCTAATCAAAGAAATCTGAGTTCATTCTCTGTTTTTACTTGCGCAAGCCTAGAAAAGGAAAAAATTACTGGCTGCCGTGCGGTCATGGAGCCTCATAAAAAGGAGAGTTGACATGTAGGCCTGTGGTTGCTATGCACTTACAGCTCTATAATCTCAAAGCCATTTTTACTCAATCGGGCATGTGCAATAGCACATCAATTTTGTACAAACCTGTAGTGTATTTAGTCCACATTGTGCACCAGCTATAAACACTAAAAATATATATCTACATGCAAAACTCTATGATAGTAATATTACAATTATTTCAAAAATTCTTAAAATATATAACAAAATAACAAAAGGTACCTTTTGAACATGGTTGAACTCATCATGTTTTCTTTTCTGATTTCTTGTAATTTTTCTGTCACCCAGTTCACTTTCTGCCAAAGGTTCAGATGGGTTTTGTTTTCCTTCATCTTCAGAGACAGGTTTGTCAACTCGATCCTCACTTACCCACTCATCAAGTCTTCTGTTGACTGTAAAAACAAAGACAATCTCTTTATTGAAGATCTCCACAAAGAATAAGTGCATATGTATGAGGGATAGGTAGGTGGGTCAGGACCCTTGAGCTTTATCAAACATAACTTTCTCGGTGCAGGTAGGCAAAACTAGAACATTTTGAAATCTTAAAAATAACCTTAAACCAACATCCAACAAAAAAATGTTTGATTCCAAAAGGACTTTCCCCCCTTTACTAAATTTGTTTGATTCCTAAAAGGACTTCCCCCCTTTTACTTGGAGTTTAAAAGGCAATGGCTACTCATGGCTTTCCCAGTAGCTACACCCCACATGCTGGGAATTTTCTGAACCACCTTTGTCACTGACTTGAACAACCAATAAATTTTACAGAGTAAAAAGAAAAAGACTTGGAATTGCACAAACATTTCAAATAAAAAGGCAAAAAGGAACTCACATCCATCATAATGCACATAATATTCTGTTTTGTTGTCACTTGATGTCCTTGCCTGTATAACATCGGCCGGATCTAGAAATAAGGCAATATTGTAGCTTTATATATAATGTTTGGTACAACATAATCATATTGAGATGATGTATCATAGAGTAAACAACAAAATTAAGGGTGTATCAAGAGACAATTTCTTTTCAATTTCACTGGCAGCCAACATGAAAATGTTACTAATTCAATGACATGAATACGAAATAAATCCTTCAATGCTGGTGAGTATAGAGTCATACTTTAAAAGGAAGTCTACAGTAAACAAATTGAATATTTTCTTCTTATTATAATAATTTCTTATTAATTTGTGTCTCTTTTTTCATTGGAGGTTATTAAAGTAATATCAATGAGAAAAATCTTTGAATCCAGCAAAGGCAACAAGATCTGTGAAAAGATTTTGGCACAAATGCTTGGTATAACAAACCGTAGATACAAAACTGGAACATGTTTCTGGCATAGAGAGACATTACTAGATAAAAACAAACAATGAAAAATCAATTTATCCCAATTTGTTTGATAATCATTCTTAACACTTCAACTTTTTTATTCTTAAATTTAGGGAAGTGTAAAGCAGGATAAAAGGTTTAGAAGCTCTTTTAATTTGACAAGTTATATAATTATATTTTTTTTCTTGGATTTTTCCCAAAAAAATATATTTCTAAGAGTTGCGTAATTCTAGTGCTACCAGATTTGGCTCATCATATACAGAGGACAATTACTACATTTCCTTTAAAGAGTGCCACAGAGTTTATAACAAAATTCAACTTTTTGATGCAGTGTTTAATAGAGAGTGGCCTTTATCAGCAGGCAGTGGTCATTATAGGAAATACTGTACACATGACTCTCCATTGAGAAACAAAAAAGTAAACCCTCACAGCCATTTAAAAATACTATTTTGTTTTCACAGTTTCATTTTGCCTTCATGGAAAAATTCTATGTAAGATCAGCAGAAATTTTCCAGAAAATTCAAAACCATTTGTATTTGTTTCTACCTAGCACCCAAAGGTAATTAACACTGAAAAGCTTTGCTTAATGAGCAATGTCCTGTTCCTTTCTCTCGATGCTACCACACCTTTTGATTCATACGCCTGGAATTTCAGAGAGCTGGCAACTCTCCCCACTCTGGGTGAAAGTTTTGTCAAGCCAGGGACTAAAATCATGGACCCTTGGGTCTGTAGTCAGCGCCTCTAACAACTGCACCACCCTCTGCACAAACAGTTCAAAACCATTTGCAGAACTTTTTGCTTGCATCTGACTTTTTGCTTGCATCTGACTCACAAAAACTATCTGTCATGTTTATCATACTATATTTATGTATGTACACTCCTCTCACAAAAGTATTGCACCACCTCAAAGGAGGTGAAATGGCGTAAGAATAATTGAAAGCTATTTTTGTGCCAATTGATTTTGTTTTTAAGTGGCGAATAGGAGTGGATCGGAAGTGAAACAACCAAAACTTGTCGCTTTCAAAACTTTTAAATGCCCTCTACAACTACAAGATGTGACATTGAACCAAAGTGAAAATAAAATACAGTATCTTTTAGCTCGGAAAAATAGAATACTGCAAACTCTGATATGCTTATTGACGTACAAAAAGTCTACTTTTAACTTTTACATGTCAGCTTTGCAGGGTGTGATGCAAACAACTGCCAAAAACAGAACCTCAAGTCAAGCATTGTAGATTAAGGACGGCAAGCACCGCAACACTTTGTTTCCGGCAATTAATGTTCACTGCTTTATTCCAAAGAGCTGTAGTAAATTTGAAGAGCAAAAGCTTTAGAGAACAAAAATGGAAAAGAATTAAGGTCGGCCTATACTTACACCATGTCCCATCTGCTCTTCTCACGACCGTATGATCTCCGGGCGATAGCTTCGATTCTCTAGTCGAGCTCTTCCGTCTGCCAGTATGTTTGTGCTCGTCTTGAGGTGCACTTTGCTCCTCTCTCGAAGTTTCTTTGGCCCCATTTTTTGCTTCGTCTTTTTTGTTTTCTGTTGCGTCACTTTTCACCATCTCGCCCGCCATTTTGAATGCCCAAGAAAAGCATGGCGCCTGGTTGTTCCTCCGCAGGACTTCCAAAGTGAAAACAAAAAACAAATATTTCAGTAATGCAAAAACTTGTATGTTTAAAAGTTTTTCCTTTTATCAAAGAATTTCAGTGTTAAATTATTTGAATTTCTACACAAATCAATTTGAGAAATAGATAAGAATTATTTTTGCTGAAAATTATTGCAAGATAAGCTGATTTCATCTGTTCAAAGAGCACATGATTTTGCTGAAATTTTGGGATTCTATCCTTGACTAAGTGTTTACAGACAATATATGAAAGCTGGCTCCTATTATGTCACCAGTAAAGACCTCATAGGTTTGTGGTTTGCAGGGTTCCGCTTATTTCCAGCTGCAAGTCTCCTTCAAGCGAACGTCACACAACATAAGTCACGTAGCAGGTTTTACGATGATAAAAAAAATAGTTTAAGAGACAGCAATTCATGTAGCCGTACCAAACTGATGAAGAGCAGAGTGAAAAAAATACATCTGTTCTGTAAAAGCTGACGAAAAACCAGAATTACGTAACAATTCAACAACATAATATTAAATTTCCATCTAATATCAATTTATAACCAAACGTCACTTTTAGGATACATAATTACGGACTTTTATATTATTTAGCTTGATATCGAAGATTCTAATATCCAGCTCACAACAATACTCCCCATTTCCCAATACAGTAAACATTAGCGTATCATAATCTACAATTTTGTATTTCAGACTGCATTATAGCAACGAGAGACGGTGGCCGGCCACAGAACTGTCACATTAACTGCTGACTGAAATTCTGCTGTTGATAGAACTGAAGAGGCAAGCATTGAACAGTAAAACAGTAGCGTGATAACGTGAATGAAAACGAAAAAAGTAAATTTGAAAAACGTCTTTTCCCTTAACAGTCGTTATTAATTTCAAGATTTTACATCCATTAAATCGTAATTTGATTACTTTGTCGAATGTAGATTTATACCATCTAACGAAATCTTAAACTTTAAGAAATTATAAGCAACAAAGGAGCTAGAACTACACCCTGTAGCACAGCAGATCGCTTTCGTCATGAACGAGGTTACTGTTGGCGACATAATATTTGACACCAACAGCTAGAAAAGCAAGCAACACTAATTTTGGAAGCACGCATCGAATTAGAAGAAGGGGAATGGACGATTTTTGGTTAAAGGTACCGAAAAAAGAATACCTTTTTTGTTTTCTGAAGGATTTAATTGCCTGCTCTTAGGTTTCTATAGCTTTCACGTGGTTGACCTTGAAATGTGAAGTTTTCAAATGAAGATACAGAAGGGGCCCACATGTTAGGCGCCTCAAAGCTGCTGATTCCGAGAATAGCCAAGCTACACTTGAAAATGCTATGGTTCCGCTATTTCGTGCCATTGTCAAACACTTAAAAATGCTTAACACTTATTAAACGAATCCTCGCTGTCACGTGATATATTAAAAATACTCCCCAATCTATTCAACACAATATAAGTAAATTATTTGAGCTCTTAATAAACCGACAAAAGCTTTAAGATACAAATTTAAGATACAATATACAGAAAATATAACAACCGAGTTTTACAAAGTAAACAAGGTTTAAAAATTCCTTAAAATAGGAAAAACAAAAAATGCAAGCAGTATAATTTGCTGTATCATTACAAATTTAACAACGTCAACAACGCTTTTTCAGGTCTTTATGGAGAGGACACAGTGGTAGGAATCTTAAAAATTCATAAAAAGGCCCAACAGATTATCCATTGATAACTGGCATATATAAAGGCTATTTTTTATTCTGAACATTTAAACATAGGACATGGTTCGGCCAGGGAAGTTTGGGGATGGATAATTTCATTATGTCAAATACGAACTTTTAGCAAATGTTAATGTTTATTTTTAGAGTTTTCAATGTACATTCAGAACAGAGCTACAACCAAATCTTCTATCATTGCAGCCTTAACAGGGCCCCCGCCACGAATTTTAAAGTGGGGGGGGGGGCAAGGCTTATATTTTAGGGGGCCAGGGCTTCTTACCCCTTTTATTGCAGTTTTAAAACTACTTGCTTCGCAAAAAAGTGGGAGGGGGGGCATGGCTACCCTGGCCCCTCCAGTGGTGCAGGCCCTGCTTAAAAGAGGGGAACCTTGTATAATTTTAGGGCCAATGTCTACTGTTTTTAAAACAGACGTGTTTTACGGTTAGTTTGGGGCCGAAATGAAATTAATCATGGTTAGTTGTTAAATTAAAACAGCAGGTCACTGAAAGAAGGGGGGATGTAAATCCTTAGCGCCTGCTGCAACTAAGGGATTCGGAGAAGGAAACCCAGCATAAAAATCAATTTCAAACATGAGACTTTAGATGGGAAAGCAGCACAATATCACGGCCTGTGAAGGACGGTCCTACTTAAAAAAGAACTGAAACAACAGCTGTCAACATAAACTACAAGATTAGAGTGGGATAAGACAAACTTTGCGAGGTTAAAGACTGAGATTTTGGTGAGTAAGAGCAACTGTTTCGCGAGTAGAAACCACAAATTTGAGAAAAAAACGGCTGGCAAGCAGGTGGACAATTATCAAAGCTCTAGATGATCAAGAAGGGATATCGCCCAAATAGGCTCATCAAGTGTTCATTTTTAATATCAACTTCAAGATGTGCATATTGCTACCCGTTTTTTACCCAAGATTTGAGCAAAAATGAAAGAAAAGTGAAGACAATTTTTCAAATGCACGTGAGGGGATAGAGGAAAGGCTGGATTTAAATGTCAAGTTTGGCCAATCAGATTCATAACAGTACTGCTAAAAGCAGATACGCCAAAGGAAACAATTTCCAATTACAGAAAGACAGTTTTGGTCCACAATAATCAGTTGTTGTAACTTGAATGATTTCGGTCACTTGTATTCATCTACTTGAAAAATTCTTGTTGGCCTAGTCGAGGTCAAAATGCACCTTCATCTGTCGATATTTGATTGATAGGCTGTTGACTGACCAATCAGACTCATTACAGATAGAAAGGAAGTAAGCAGCAGTAAGGCCAACACTAAGCAAGTACATTTCCAAACAGCCTGTATAGAACGCATTATATCTATGCAGCCAGATGATATTTCCAGAACAAGAAATCTTTCACGTAAACTTTGTTCAAGAAATTGTTTTTCATTTTTCAAAAGGTTTTTTATTTCATGTAAGTTCTGAAAATAGGTTGCGGTGTCTTGTCGTCGTTCATAAGCTTCATGTTAATGTGGTTAGAGTAGGGTACTGGGTATGAGCAGAAGATCTTAAAGTTAGGCGCGAAAAATCTCATTAATTCAAGCTATCTTTACTGCACATCTAGTTCTTTGCTAGGATAATGGAGCTACAGCGTTTTTAAAGCACTAAATTCGTGCACACTGATTGTAGCACATCAGCAGTTGTTGCTAGGATATCCCTCCTGCGCAGGCGGCTCTTAATTACTCGTGAGATATGCTTCGGAAATGTACAAGGGTAACTAAATCTACCATTGGTCCCTTCATGATTTCTTTAGCTAGTTCTTTATGATTCATAGTAAGCGCATTGCGACCATTGACGGCTTGTATGTATTGTCGTACCTACGGAAGGAAGGACATTGATTAGGACTTCAGGAACTTCCATAAATAAAAACTTGGATTCGCTATTTACTTCAAACTTTTTGCCAAAGTGTACCTTTGAAAACTTTGATCCTATGGTACAAATAAACCAGACAAATGGAGGCTGAAACTCAAAAGAGGCATTTACAAAAGAGGAAACACATCTCGAGGTAGATGGGCTGACGTTTCTAAAACTGTGCTAGCAAAAAAGGATATTTTTCAAGGTTAGCAGAAAACAGGATCAACTCTCCCACAAACTGCTTCGTCGTGGGCCCTCTTTTCTAATTATTAGTAGGGGCTGTGACTTCCCATTGACTCTTTGTGCTACTTCTTACGACAATTGTTGACGTCTTTACAGGGGTGGTGCTAGAAACAAAAACACGATGTGCCGACAATCTTAGAAATCAAGTATAAACATGTGCCGATGAGTATAAACATGGTTGCCGACATATTTCATGAACTCCCCGTTAAAGTATCTTTAAATCCTAAAATGTTTTGGAAATGAAAGAAAAAATGCTTTTATCTGTCAATCAAATCGTGTATACCTTCTTTTAAAAAGATTGACGACAACGTAAAGGTCAAGCATCTTACCCAGCTTTGACTGAATATCATGGAAAAATCTTGTTGACAGTGAAAATGGGTAGGCCTTTAATAGTTACACAAGTCCTGGGGCAAGACAAAAGGAAAGACTTCCCTGCGAGCGAAGCGAGCAGAAAAAATTTGTGACCATGCCCTTAAGTTCAGCAGAAAATACATTCCATAATATTTCTTGGAGCCATCTTTTCCATTTGTTCGAAAATTTTACTTTTCTTGGGTATAATCTTTTTATGCTTGAATAATCCCATTCTTAAAAATTGAATTCATTACTTTTAAAGGCCCCATAGAACCTTGAAGGGTTGAAACCCTAGGGGAAATTTCTCCCTTGCCCCTTTGTCCCCTTGCCCCCTCTTTGCAGCCCTGGTTATTTGATGCCTCTCAGATTCCTAATCAACCACGGACCTGGGCGACAGTCTTTGATAGAATCTTTACTCAAAAGGACATTTTATAAAAACAAGAGCCTCCAAATTTGCTATTTTCAATTGATTCAGATTTGTCAAGTTGACGCTGAATTGTTCAAACTTTGTTTACAAATGGTGCCTGAACACTCCCCTATAAGTCTGAAACTCAAAAAGCCAGGCTGAACGTCAATTTAATTGTTCTTATAAAAAAATAAATTCCTCCTTCAACAGTTTCAAAATGCCGACAGTTCTTTTTCCTTTTTATACTGGGCTGCCGACGGGGTGTTATTGGGAACTTTTTTTTGGGGGGGGGGGCAGCTCATGACATCCCATACCGCCATCCCTGCGTCTTTAAAACTTCATTCAGTGCCTCAAAATACGGTTGAATGAACAAAAAGAGCAAAATATAAAAATACACTGACTTTAGGCCTATTGGTAATACGATCATTGCATTGTTACTTCAGAATTCTTTGCAGTTTCAAATAATAAACAGGATCCTATCAAATGTTGTCAAAAATACTTGAGTTTTTATATATTATTGGCAATCTCAGTATAAGTTGAACCAAAACAAGATATCTTCAACAGACTACGAAAGAGATCAATTCGAAGAATTCCACAAGGTTTATATTTGGGCCTTCAGCTGTTGACAGAAAGAGCCAAAGCATGTTTGATTAGCCAACTAAGCCGATTAATACTTCATTCCTTGAATATTACTTAGATACTCTTTTTACCTTAAGACCAGCTGATGCTGCTGGCCCGCTTGGGTCGACTGTCTGAACATAACACGGGCCATCGCCACGAACAACGAAGCCGAAACCTACCGAATCACTCATTATCTGCAAGGATAAGAAGATTTGATAAGTGTTACGCAAACTTTAAGGACGAATTAGATTCACAGTTGTAAAGATCTTTGGTTCTTCTTATGACGGTAATTATGTCAGTGAATGGGTGGGCTAGGACAATGGGCCTAGGTTCTGATTAAATAGCACACAAAAGATACTTGTTCGTTGATCTTATCGCTATAGAGTACCAAAGTGATGACGTCATCAAAAGTTTTTTAGAATTTTCCACTTTGACCATATATTCCAAAATAGCATTATGAAATAACTCTAAATGTGCAAAATCATTTGAATGTGTTACAAGTAGTAAGACTAACTTCAAACGTGATCAACACACTTGTAACATAAACAGAAACAAATTAACAAACAATATGAGCGTCACACTACATTTTGACAGCAAACACATTGCCAGGAAAATGCATTCACTAAGAAAACAGGATTTGACTGAACATGTGACTTAACTGAACATGCGACTTACAGAACATGCGACTTAACTGAACATGTGATTTAACTGCACATGTGACTTAACTGAGCATGTGACTTTACTGAACATGTGACACAACTGAACATGTGACACAACTGAACATGTGACTTAACTGTGCAACGGAAACATTGATTGAATATGAAAGCAAAATAGCACAGTATTGGTTCACTCTGTACAAGCTGTAGAGATATAATTATAAGACACGCGGCAGGCTTTATTTATCAATGTGTTAGACTTAATCTAATTCAAAATCCATTAGCTTTTAGACATTTCATCCATCTCAAAGCTTGGCCAAAATGAGACACTTTCAACACTGCATCTTAATAAACTCTTAGAATGATTTTTAAACAAAAATATTGCATACTCTGATGTTTTGTGGTATGTATGGACTTTTCTTTCCCGTAAGTTCTTCAGCTGTCATGTGGCGTAGAACAACTGCAGAAATGAGAAAAAAGCTATTGAATAGTAACAACAAAAAACAATGATAGCAAAATTTATCACTTTAATCTTCGTAAATTTCCTTAAAAAGTGCCCGGGTTTTTTCTTCTATCTGAAATATCTAGCATTTATGAAATTGTTTTTGGTTCAACTTTCTCTTTTCTACATTATTGCAAATAAAAATTAAAACCGTAGTAATGTGCTAAAATTTAAAGCCTAATTCTTTAATAAACATTAATCTACAAAGATAAACAGAGAGACAGCACGTTATTGTGAATAGAACATTTTGCCAAAAAGACCCCTTCAGGCAAGATCACACAATTAACATTTTGTGAAAAGTATACAATATTCCTACGGCTTTTTCTAGCATCTAACGATCTCTTTACATCCATGATGGATTTACCTCTATGGAAGAGCCCATTGATAGGTTATTGATAGGTTAGCAGTGACTTTCACAGTTTAGAATATTCAATAATATTCTAGGGTTTCTGAATAACTGTTCGCACCGAAACAGCTGATCAACTCTCATCTCATTAATCTAATAACTTCATATCGGAATCCTTTCGAAAATCTTCAATGAACTTAAATGACTTTCCTAAAAACACCGTGTAGAATATTAATAAAATATAAATCAAAATCATAAAGAAAAACAATATCGTAAACTAATGAAGATCACTGATGGTCGCATTGCCTTGTGGTCGCATTTGCTATAACCAGAGACGCCTGCACAAGATTAGGGCAGGGGGGCAGTGTTGGTGCCGAGGGCAAATCGTGAGATTTTTCTACTAACATAATCAAGCATTCCTAGGTAAGAGAGGGGCGTGGATGGGGCAACATAATAAAATATTAACTTGAATATGCGCCACCCATACAGATCAGAGATTCTAAACATAGAGGAAATGTTGACGAAATTATCCATACATAAAAATGGGTATTAAATAGTCTTGTCACTATTCAAAATATTTGGTTTTATAAAAACTTTTCATTCTCTGCATTTTTGTGCTAGTGTTATCATCTTTCTAGTATTTTCTAATAGATATTAACATAAAGAGAGTAGTCAAATTGGTCATCAATTATCGATAAAATTCTATAGTATTTTCTTATTTTTCAGGGCACTTCTTGCCCCCTCTGCCCCTCCTCGCAGCGGCCCCTCCAGCCCGGCTATAACGACCAAACCTTGCGAGCAATATACAATTCTGCTGCAAACCTGGTTTCAATCCTGATTGGTTAATGCTATCACCCTCGTCTTCCGATGATCTAGATGATTTGTCTTCATTAACAAAAGGCTCATTTTTCCCTGCAAGACGAAATAAGAAAACAAATAAAAGTTAGTTTTCATTATGCTTTCATGGTTTTATCTTTGCATTCCTCAACCTATGCGCAAATTTCAATTCTTAGCCTAAACCCCGCTAACTTTCAAACTTTAAATTCATAAACACAAATCCTTTGATTATTTATTTATCTTTCTTCCTTTTTAACATTTCGTTGGAATCAACTTCTAATTACCTACTGGTTCTAAACCTCTAGCTTTCAAATTCTTGGCGACCCTAAATATCTGTCGATCTATAAGCCGCTTATTTTGACCAAACAGCCTGACTACTTTAGAAAAATCGTGGCAAATCTCCTTATGGTCTGGCAGTTTTGAACGCTATCTGTCAATGAAAGAGTTTCCTGATCGTAAATTGTGACATTTCTTGACTGAAATCTTGACAAATCTAGAGTTGATCTAACATAAGCATAGCTTACAAGTCATGAAATTTGTACAATATAAGAACGAATAATCTGTCACGTTTTCTGACAGTCTCTTTCAAACGCATCGTCAGTGGAAGATGAAGTACCAGCCAGGAATCACTACCACAAAATTAGCGGGAAAATGCAATAATATATTTTCCAGTATACAGGACAAAGGCTTACCAGACCAGAGCTTGTGTATGTAATGTTGCTGACCTGGACTCAGCCCCAGTCTCTCAACAGCATCAGCAAGAAGTTTTTGTCCGTATAAATCTTCCTCAAGGCTGACTCCTAGCGCTTTGTAAAGAGGCGTGCATGGTCGGACATCGAAAACGAACTGATAAACTGTTTCATCTTCTTGAAATTCTATCCCTCCTTGCACTTAAGAATAAACAATGATTTTTAGGCATGTAATACAATCGGTCATATGCGGAAGAGAGTACTTGAGGCAATGTAAATAACTATTTTTTTGCTTTAGTAACAAATTTTATACTGGTTATCAAAATTTCTGGGGTTTCCCTTTGTCAATTCGCTTCTTAGTGACTAATAAGGCAAAGATGGTGGAGCAGAGGGGAAGAGCAGGAGTCTTAACTCTCTTAACTATTGGAACTATTGGAATCTTAACTTAACTATCTTAACTATTGGAATGGCAACTTTACAAAAACACTTATTGGGTCCCCCCTACCTTCAGGATTAGCTTGACCATCTTGGTAAATTATTCTACAGCCCTCGATAGAATAACAAAATAGGTTTTTTTCTACTACTTTACACATTTTTTCTGTTTATATTTGCAGATGTTAAACTCATCTTCTTTCAGAGAACTACCTTCCTTTGAAAACTAGTGAATGGCTTTGAAAAAAGCAAACATTTCAGTAAGCTAAAGCATTTCGTCTGGCACTTTTCAGAGGATGGAAAACGCCAGAACATGGATAGAAAACTCTACAATAGGAAATATATATATACCCAGTTGTGGATCAAAATAGGCCAATCAGACAACGATTATATGACTGTTGAGGTTGCCCAAAATTAGTGAGTTTAATCTTCCATCATTTCAACATTTACCCTCTTTTAAGTGTTCATAGATGTCTACATTCTAGGGCATCACCGAAACAAATGAATAAAACAGAAAACAGAACTGCTCATTGCTTTATACCTATTTTGCAATATGTGCAAACTTTTAAAATTTAATTCCTTTCACTGAAAAGTGTACTCTGATAGCTAGTATATGTTAATTTTGATGTTTGTATGTGTTAAGTGAAGTATTAAAGTATTTAGAATTTCAAAGAGACTGATATGGGTAGTAAGCTCTAATTTAGTAGCCAACTTTAAAAATATTTTCGGTATAGTCAAATTTCAATGATTAATCTGGAGAACCTTATCTAACAATTCTTCAGCCATTTAGAATTTCAAACAGCTTAAAGCAATATTCAAAAACATACATAAGTTTTTTTGTGAGAACATGACTGAAAAGTTGTCTAGTCCATCTGCTTGCCGGTATATTCAATGAAAAAGTGAAAAAACTCAACCAGGAAGGAGCATACCATTTCTTAGAATTCCAACCTTCATCAGTTGCTCACCCAAATCAAGTGCCTCAGTGTGATTTTTAGTCTCACCATTCTCAATAAGCCAAGATACCAGCTCAGTGCCAGTGAAACTATGACTTGGCTTTCCTTTCTGTTTACTGTTGTTTGAAGTTATGAAACTGTCTTCAGCAGCACATATCCTGAAAATACATGAAACTAAGCACAGATGGTTGAATGACTTGAAAAAAGTGTGTCTGTGAAAAACATATATGGCATTAAAATCTTTTTCATCAAAACTTTTCTGTGAATTCAAAAATCTAAAACACAGAAGAATAAAGAGAATGATAAAGATATTTTCAATGAGCAAGAAAAAAATTGGCATCATACAAATTTCTTCTATTATTATTAGTCAGTTTTTTTGGTGTGTTTTGATGTAATAAAGTGGATCTACTGATCAAAGCTACAATTAAGGAGTTCTGTGATCATTGACTTCTGATATGAAAAACAGTCTTTTAACCAACTACTATTTTTCATTGGAAACTTTACACATACTCTACTTATCAAACTTAAGCTTCTTTTTCTCTGTATTCAGCTAATCAGATGTTCTTGAAAGTAAACAAAAGTAATACCTCTGGTGCAGTTTGATTCCTTTACTGTAGATTTCCAGTTCTGGCTCAATGAACAGTGTGCCATCATCAACTCGAAACTTGTAGAACAGATACTCATCTTTGAAAACATGATCATCACACACTGCAACCAAAAGGGATGAGGATTTTCATTTGCATGCCACAAATGATGGAAAAGCAACAACATTGGCTTAAAAGTAAATTGGTTACAGCCAGAGTTAACTATGTCACAGCAATTTTGTGAAAACAAAATGTTCTATTCACCTGTTGTAATAGCAAAAAAAGCATATTAGTCCATATTGGGACATGAACAAGGGGAAGGGCTCAGCCATGTATTTTATAATTATATCATTGTATTTTCCGGAAGACATGTTGAACAAAGTTTAGTTACTGACAAAGTGAATAATTGATCAATTTCAAGAGAAGGTCAACATTCCCAACTCTGTGGGTCTCTTGTACCATGTACCTCTGTGGGTCTCCCAACTCTTGTACCATGTACCAGTATTACCAGGTGCAAATATGCAAATTAAAATAAGCAGTTTGGTTTCTTCTCAAGAAAAATGATTTTCACAATCAATACTATTTTCAAGTGTTCTAGCACAGCTTACCATGGTGGAGTACCCCGTTATCTTGCAACAGTCTCATGCATTTCACAGCATTTTCTCTACTTGTTACTTCTTTTGTTCTAACCATCCAATCAACTGCATCTTTGCCAACTATACAGCAAGTGTATGTTCTGAAATGGTATCTCCTGTCTCCAATTAACCCTGCCTCTTCATGCATACGAAGGCGAAGCTGTTCACCAATAATAAGTATTTGGCCAGGGGCTCTTGCCATATTGCAAAAATGAAACCTTTCAAGAAAATTTAAACCAGATAATAAAACTTACAGAACTCATTTGTTTTTACAGGCTTGTAGAATTGTAGCGACCATTGTTAAACGTATTCATGTTTTCCATTTTAATCTTGTCATTCACACCTTCCATTGTCTACGTATCCATAGTTACGTTGTCAACAACACCATTGTTGCGTCCACTCGTTTTATGTCTATACACCTAGTTTTGTAAAGAGTTAGTTTTCATTTCACTGGAGAAAAGACGTAACAGAAAAACCAAGCTGATTTTTTTTCTTCAAGTTGATGGCCTAAGGCACGGTAAACAAAGATTGGCGAGATCGTTCATTTACAACCCTCTTTATTAATAGTTTGAATTTCATGCCCAGTCACAATACGATCTATTAAAGAATAAAGGAAGATTCTCTGAACTTGATGATAACTAGTACAGGTCATTTGCAAGTATATAGGCTGCCTGAGGCACACGGTGTCAGGGCATATTTTGGATTTGAGACCTAAAAAGTTTGCTAATATCTAAGCCAGATGGTTTCTTGTATGGGTTAAAGAGTATTTTTGAAATTACATGGGACTGTTTTTCCAGGGCCCCTGCTCCTCCCAAAAAAGGATAAAGAATAGCTCCCAGGGTGCATTTCATGTCAACTGTATGCCAAAGGTCCACTGGGGCATTTGTCTAGGTATGCCGAATATATGAGCAGTTAGTAAAACTGTAAATATTGTACACCAGACAAATAAAACTTATTAATAGAGAGAAATTTGGTGCACGAGTCTTTGGTTTATTCTTTTTCATGTAAACTATGTATGTGACTTCATGTTTAGCATGCCAATTGATGAAAATTTTACGTAGGTATACCAAAAGTGTTGCTAAAGGTTTGCACTTGGAATGGCAAAAAATCTGAGTATACATCAATGAACTCTGAGTCTAAGTACATGGAATGCACCCTGGTATAGAGCTAGAGGGCTTAGGGGGCTGAGCTAAAAAAGTAGCCCAATCTATGATTATTATTGTTTTTGCAACATTTTTCATTAGAGCCCCCTGTTGTTATTTTGATAACACTTCATCCCAGCTCTCAATAATCTATAAACTATGTTATATAACCTTTCAAACAATAGATATTGAACTGGGGATTCAGCAGATACCCCAGTCCAGTCCGTTTGAGGGTCTTACCAAGTAGTCCGAATGGCTACCAAATGGCCCATTTTCGATAATAACTTAACTGCTCAGTTTAGCTTGCGATTTCTTATATATAATGAACAAGATTTATCTTTCCCGAAACAACAACATTCAATAATGAAGAAATTTGTCAAAAAAGGACCAGGAAAGCACAAAGAAATTAATGCTACCAAAGAAATAATTTCGGTTTTTATGCTACCGTTTGAGGGGTTTTGTCAAAAAGTACTACCATTTGAGGGTAATTTTCTCAAATTTTAGCGTTGGCCCTCTTTGACCCTGACCAGACCCCCCTGTCAGGCCATAATGTGAGTACCCCCGGCAGATACCCCACTTCTCTTAACACTTTTTTTATTCGGTTTTAGCCCCCCCCCCTCCACTTTTCTCCACGCTCCGCGGAGCATGAACCCGATGGTAAAAGGTAAATAAAGTGTCTGTCAATAAAGGTTTTCAGTTTATTGAAATTACCGAATTATCATTAGAAGAAATTTGAAGTGTTTTTTTGTAAAACGAGAAAGTAAAACGAAGCGAAAGTACAATTCAAGTTCAATTCACAAACAAATAAATATCTTATTTCAAATTCAAGAATACAAATAACTGGCCAAAAGCTACACATAGAAATGATTACATAATTTATATAAAAGCTGACAAATTACCTTTTATCGGTGTGATCGTTAAATCAGTGAGTCTTTCGGGATCTGTATTGAAAGGCCACGCTGCTCCCCAATAGAAAAGTTCGAATTTTGCGACAAGAAGTCGCTTCTTCGACCCGCGTGGAAGCGTTTCGGGGAAAAGTAAAAACCAATAAAACTAGGCTGGCAATTATGCTGGTAGTATCCTGCCTTTTTGGTTTCCAATATCAAGCAATAACGAAATTAAACTTCTCTAGCGTATCGAGTTTTCCAACAACTCGTTTTGGGTTGTTGTGCCATGCGTCGACTTTCAGGTGAAATTCGACCCAGAGGGGATTTCCTTAACAACACGTGAGGTCACATATCCATACCAAAATATATCTGCAGCAGGCAACCATCCCAGATTATTTTACGGGCTTTGCATGGCAATATTAAAATCGACGTATCGCCATCATGCGGCAAATGGAGAAGTTTGTTAGGCCCCAAACGTGAACTTCTCAACAGCACAACAACAACAATTTTCCTGACGTCACAAGAAATATCCAGGAAATGTAAGGCACAAAAATGAAGTAGAAAGAAGTTTAAATATTGACCGTTATTTCATGATTTATTTTTCTATTGCATAATTTCTCATTTTCTTGATAAGAGTATGCCAAGCACAAAGTAAATAAAGTAAGCTAACCGCAAATTATCACTTGTGGGTTTTCTACTGAACATGTTATGGCAGGCAGTTTATATTTCATATTTTTCATCATATAATATGATTTCATTTCATCATATTATTTCATCGTGTATAAAATACACCACAAACAACACAACTGAAACAAAATATAATAGCCATGCCACAAGATTTTTACTCCGTCTAATTATTTGGCACCCCGGGCGTATACGACTGATCATTTCAATCCCTTGACGATACCAACGCTTTAAACTTAGTCAATCTGCACGATCATGGATTTCCGTTTCACTTCAAACAAAAACCTAAATTGAGACAATAACACTACACGTTGGAAAGACACTCGACCCCCGAGTCTCCAAAGCCTTCAGCAAGCAACTCCTACCACCTTAACATATCCTACTCAACTTCAACAATACCAGCCCCACCCAGAGGGAGGGGGCAAAGGAGCCCTGGAATAAAAAAATTCAAAAGTTCAGCATTATTTTAAAATCAACTGGTTGCAAGGTATCAAATAATTTTACCTTGAAATTCAGTCTGTTTGCCAACGCTAACACATCGGTTCTAAAGTGCTCCTCCTTCATAACATCATTACCCTGAGATAATATCTCTAAACCGCATGCCAATGTTGAAATTTTAGATACCAGCTCCAACATCGATAAAAACCAGAAATATAACGGTTTAAAACAAAGAGAAAATTCAAAGCTGTCATATCTTGGACTGCTATGCAATTTTCTAATCTTAGCAACCTATTATTAAACATGAAAGTGACGATATGTAACTTAATATCCAATGTTTGCCAACTGAATTCAAGGCAACGGACTGAAAAGAGGACTGAAATTCCAATATTAAGAGGACTGAAAAGGTTGTGGAGCTACCTTTTCAAGAAAAGCTAGCAAGCAGAAATCACGGCAGGAAAGCATTAGAAAATTGATAAGCCGTTTTCTTAAGTTACCATGTTATATAACTTCAACTCCCGGCTCACCTATAGTGCTGTATAATAAAGATCTAGCAGCGTTTTGGCAGTACTGTTTCTAGATTTCCAACCTTACCATTAACATCTACCTTTCTGTATGGTGGCCAAAGGACATGAATAGTATCCTACGTGCTAGGTTCTAGTTGGACTAAAAGAAACTGGAGTACCATACTTATTCATTTGTTTACGATAAAAAATGAGTGTAGCTCTCGGAAACTTTGGCTGGCAATTGCAAGAACATAATACAGAAGTGAAGTGAAACGCTATTTGTGTTTTTGTCAATAGTGTCTGTGTAGGCCAAAACTAGGAACAACAAAGGTTTATAAATCCAGCACCAGGCTTACAAATAATCCTGATCTCAAATTACAAGGACAATTATTCAAGTATCACTATTCGTAGGATGCGTGTCTACTTTGTAGGATAGTGGGTAACCTTACAAGTTACAATCCAAAGTCCATCAATTAACCAGCCGGGGGAAATGTAGTTGAAACAAAACACACAAGACACGTGTGTCCCTCTTGGCGAATAGAGATTCACGCTTAGCCTAAAGTTGAGCATAGGCGGAATATATTTCAAAACAGAAACAAGATTTAACACGATGTTGAAAAAAGATAGCATCATAAAAACCTTTATCTTAAAAAATTAAATTGTTGGACATGTTACTACGCATACTGGCAATAACCAAATGAGTAGTGTCTCTTTCCTAAGTATGTCTATTTGATATTGGCTCTGCGAATTGGTCATGGATCAGGTAATACGACATAAAAGAGTACAAGTTGAGTCAGGCCAAAATGTGAGTACTCCTTTATAAGATATTACGTCTTTAACTAGCCATATCTCAGCCTTTTTTGAAAATATATCTTAATTTATGAAAATAAATAAAATTTTTAACCTATTTTACACATTTAAAGGGATTCTACGGTGTTCTTTTAATTTCTAATCCCAACTAAAAAATTCAATAAATAGAACTTCATTACACCATAAATTTACCGAATATTTGACATTAGACTTGCTCAAGAATGGTCCACCGAGCCGGATAAAACTTTCCGAATTGGGAATCGCGTTACTGACAGTGTCAAGACATACAATAAAATGAAAGAGATTGCTGTTACAAAGTATAAATGAATATTCAATCTATATAACTATCTATATTTAATAAAAGGTAAAAATGGATCGAAATAGGCGATTAGGCTCAAGCAACGCATGAGACAAGTTAGTAGGAAACACGCGTGATCTAAAAAAACATTTAGATGAACAACTTTATTACAACACATATCAGTACGCCACAAATTTGCTATAAATTGATGCAGGCGCAAAAAATGTACACTGAACGGAATTTATAGAAGACATTCATTACGAGGCAGTTGCCATGGAACTGATGGATACGAGGATGTCTCATTGGACCCTAATGGATACGAAAGGACCCTTTATTTTCAAATATGAAATGCTTTGTCTCTTTCAAAGCTAAACAACTCGAAAACTATATCTTTAAATGAGCAACACGAGCTTATGACGAGTTGATCTTTAACATTACAAGAAAAGACGTAAAAATTAATTTCCTTACTTATGAAGATATCCAACTAACCAAAGTTATTTTGTAATTCCGCATTTTTTGACTTTCGATTTCCCTAAATTATTCAGCACCGACAACTTGCATATTAACGTTTAATGGTTATATATATGAAATGATACAATTTGTTATATAATTGAAAATGCAGTTAACAAATTACTTTAACATTCTTATTATAATACATCTTACACGACACAATTCTCAAGCCCCTTCTAAACTAACAGAAACCCTTTTTATTCCTTCTGTAAACCCTACAGATCACACCCAGATTACTAGAGACCATCCAATACCCCCTATTTAATTCAAAAAAGTCTGGAAAACCAGACAATCGATGATATCACTTTATCCTTTTTCAATGGTCTTCAGTAGCATAATGAAATAGAAGCCGGCAAATGAATTACTGTTATTACGCCATCCGTTTTAATGGGTTTACTTCCACATCAGAAAACATTGGGGATGTCATTATTGGTCATATTTCCTTCTGTCATATTTACCACGTGACTATGTCAATAACCATGTTTCTGCCCACGTGTTTCGCTTTCTTAAAGACCTCATATAATTCGTTACTCTTTTCAAAGGTAGACAGAACTATATCTGTTACCTGTAAAAATCTTCTCAGTTAGTCGATATATACTTTTTTTAGAGCTTAAATCATCATTTACAAATGAGACTTAGAAGCTCAAGACTTGAGCTTTGACAAAAGAGCTGACCATTAAAAAAATGAAAAACCAAAGGAGGAACCCATTCAGATTGTGGTCTTCTATAATTTTGACGACACTCTGTTTCTTTGACAACGAATTTCTGCTTAAAAATTATTTCTGTAATATAGCTATGTTAACATTAAGAAAACAAAAAGAAAAAACAAAAAGTAACTTAAAGTTACAAATCTGACAGCATTTCAGAACATTAAACTTGAAAAAGAAAGAAATTTCGAACTTAGCGCCACCTATAACGATGCTCCAAGCTCTCCAAAATTATTCTTGTGATTCAAAATGCTACATTTCATACCGCACAAACAACAGGAAGACGATGCATTCCAAAAAATGCAGTTATAAAGTCATACAACATATGGGCACAAACGACGGAGCCGCAGATTTCACGGTTACAAATAACGGCGAAAATTGAATCAGGAACCTGAATGTATCTACACGTTAGTTATCGCTCATCAACTGGATTAGTTTCAACAATACCTCTAGTAACACACAGTAGACGTCGGCGAAGAGGCTTCAATCACGCTTGTACGTAACAATAGTCACGATTTAGTCGATCGTGCTTTCACGACGGTGTCGTACAAGTTCCTCGCATCAAATGCAAGGGCGTGTGCCGCCTCAAGCATGTTTCGTTTATAATCTTGGTCCAACGTGGTGTTCGAGTACTTCTGGGCGAGTTTCATTCGATTGATCAGTTCCGCCATATCTGATGATAGGACCTTGTGAGCCATTTCCACCTTAATAAAAACCAGCATTGGAATATTTGTACCAAAATGTGTATTGAATTCTAAGTTTTAAGCGGAGGAGCACAAAATCACAAAAGAAACTAGCTATGATCTTCGCTGTTTAAAAAAAGAATCGGTCTAAGAAGTTACGCGCTTATGTGAGAGACCTTGTGTCGTTATTTCGGGGTGAGTGGACCCATGTTCTTTAAAGTGCGCAATTAAAACCGAAAGCTGAGCAGCATTGAAGATCGTGGTTTTCACGTGAAATATGTCTAAATACGTGATTGTGCATGTGTGCTGTGTCGCAAAGGAGCAGAAGTGTGCTATGAGGGAGCAGCTCATGGGCAGGGTGGGTGAAACACCAGTAAAAAAGGAATAAATATCTCGATTTTCCAGCAGGCCCACTGTCCCTTTTAATCAAGCTGTGTAGCCATCTTGGTCTATGCTACATTGATTATAAAATTATATAGCTCAGGTGAAGTAAACATCATTTGATAATCACGCTATCGAACAATCTCATGTGACTTTTAATAAGGTTATCAAATGCAAGATGCTGATGTTACTTGATCTCGGCTTTCCTTAATCGATTTGTCAATAAAGGAACTAACACTTTTGAAATTCTTGGAACTAAAACTTACAAATGCTTGTAGAGGAAGTAACATGGCGGTAGTAAAATCGTGCGCAAAAATAATTAAAGAAAACTATTCTTTTATTCATATTGCGATTCGTTTATTCTTGCATTGCAAAGCTATGGACATTCTTCACAAAATCCTGATTAAGGACCTTTGTTGAACTACCAGTAAATCGCGAGCCTTAGAGCTTACTTTCTAATCAGCTAAAGTTAGTAATGCTTACCTCTTTATGAGTTGATGAAGCGAGGCTCTCAATCTCCAAGTCAACAGTTGCTAAGAAATCTCTTAGATTGAGACCAACAACCTGCAAAACGGAGAAATTTTGAAATCATACAGTGGGAATAAGAACACTGAAATTGCAAAATCATCAACACAAAACATTGGATCATACTTCAGAACATAGATTGGAAACTTTGATCTACGAGTTCTAGATCCATGTTCCGACGTTTTATACTCTGAAGAGCGTCAAACGAAAAGCTTTAGCAACATGCTTCAAGATGTTTGCTATTTAAAAGCCATTTTTTAAAATCTGTACCATAAAAAAATGCTTGCAAATTTCAATTAAAGCGGAAAAATTTAAAATGATAGATTGCTACAGAGGATAACCTTTGAAACAGTCAGAATCCACATCTCAATGTCGAAGAGAAATGTTCTGCAGTTTTGACATAATAATCATAATTGTACATTAAAATGTTTGTGTTGAAGACACAGTTGTTGTATCGTATCGAAGTTACAGCTTGCTTTTTTAACTTGGATATAAAATGTTATAGAATTCAGTCAATGCTTAGGCGGTCTCAGGTTGTGTATTTTCCTGCCTTAAAGAAACATTTAGCTTAATCATAAACAAGATTTTGCTAACGTGATTTTGGTTTATCTTTTCTCGGTCAGCAAATAAAATAAGTCAGGGAGCAGACCGACAAAGGAAAACAGCGTTGCAGTTAAATCGTTTTAATCTACATTGTTAATTCGATCATATAGCTAACATGATAACCAAAACAATTATTCTCCTTTTCAAGCCCTGTTTATTTGAAATTGGGCCTAGCACAAGTGAGTCATCACAACAAGGCATCCTTTCCCGTACCTGGGGCTGTAGAGCTAGGGAAATTATAAGGAAAGTTTCCCAAAAAAGAGTTGAAAGAAGCAAAAATTTGTCATTTTTGCATTAACAAGAACAGCCATCCCAGCCCCTCTCAAACATCCCATCAACTATCATTTTCCCCGGTCTTTCGAGATCGTTAAATTAAACCGACAGAAACTATCACAAGCCAAGGAAAAAGGGGTGGTACCAATAAATTGACGTCTGGCTACCCCTTCTCGTACCAGAGGTGTAGCGTACGAAAACTATACTGAAAATATCTTAAAGACAGAGAAATTGGTCACTTTTTGCATTAACGATAAGATATGATCCCGCCTTGAACACCTCAGTCTCAATTTTCCTGGTCTGTTAAGACCGTTAAATATAACCGACAGTCACTATTGCAGGTCAAGATATAGGGGGTCGTATGAAGGATTGTATGCCAGGCAAAAATGAGGTTTGCAACTGCCGCTGCATTATCGACCCAAAAAAATAAGCTCATTATTTTCGCTCCCAAAGTCTGCTCATCAATGCAGTTGTTTTGGATCGATAAGAAGACGAGAACGCCTGATATCGTTCATAGGGAACCGTTTGAAAAATTTGTGACCCAGTTAGATTCTCCTTTGAAATATCAGCACAGAAAAAGTCTCGCCAACCATGTGAATCTGCAAACGAAGAGGTTGCAGATGCAGAATGTCCAATCTATACAGAGCTGAAGGATTCAACTGTTCATATTTTATTTTCTGTATCAGAACATATTATAGGAACACCCTTGAGGCTTGTGAAAGACCCAATCACCTGAAAATAATTTCGCTTGAGAGCAGAGAGGAATCAAACAAAGCCGGTCACGTGTTTACAGTATTACCCCGCCACTAAGAAACCAACTAATAAAAAACTGCAGCCTGCCAGATGGCACCACATCTACCCTGGTATGAGAAACTAATAACCTTAGATTTAGTCTGGAAGGCTAATACCTTTGGTAGTTAATATTAACTGCCTCTTATCTTAACATAGGAGAGCATTATCAAATCAAAGCTAAAACCAATCTCAATAATCTGTCCAAATTTGGTTTAATATAACCCACATTAAAGCAGATTTCAAGGTTTCTAATCAAATATACAAGGACATTTGCGAGATTTATTTTTTGTCCATTTATAAGGAACAAAGCAGGCTGTTTTTACAAAATGAGTTCCTTAGTGACGGGGCAGTATTGTATTTCGCTCTCAATGAATCCACGTGAAAATCTCTATATTTTGAACAGCAGAGCCTAAAAATCGCATCTTCTTTGTTCTAAATCATGTTCTAAAAAGTCATTCATTGATTTAAGAATTAGTGCATTTAGGAATCTAGTACGCTCAAAGAGGTGTGACAAAATGGCTTCACGCATAGGATAAACTAGCCTCATATTAAAAACCAAAATTCAAGATTCTTATAAACGCTTTCATGAGAAAAACATAAGTGGATTGAGACCGAGGAAAATTTCACGTAGGGGGCTTCAGAAACAGCCTTCAGACGTACAAGCTGACAAAAATTAAAAGAGGCCGCACTACTGCATCCGTCCACCTGGTTCTAGGAACATGATTTTTGGATGCACTGTTCCAAATTCTGTTCAAACTTATACTGTTTAAGGATAACATGTACATATGTTATCAAGAAAATAAATACTGCATTTCGCTATTTCAAATCGTAATCAATTTTTAAGGTCTAGAAAACAAACCATATTGTGGGTTGAAAGATGCAACTAATTCATAACACTTTCTGAGTGAATGGGGGAATTTTAAGACCGTTGTGTGTGTACTACTTTCTTTGCACCTCACCACAACTCATAACAACCAACCCTTTAAGACCTCTCCGATCTGAAAGATTCTAACCGTTCATATTAAAACTAAAATATATTTATTCGCATAAAAATCAAGACTCTTTCAACAGTCAACGATTTTTCTAATAAAAAGTGTTGTATGCTGGGGGTACAGACTGTAATCGCATAAAAAAAGCCAAAGAGTTAACGAACTCTACAAAAAAGCTTTTCTTACAATTACTGAATCCTACCCCTAAAAACAAGGTTCAGGGCAAAGTATCTTACAAAAATGAATACATTTTATGTAGAAAATATCAGTCGCAACATTGATTACATTGAAACTTGCTAGAATGCACAGTTGGGTTGATTTAACGGGTTGGTCGCAGTAGAATAGATCACAAAAGTAACATACCTTGACTAGATCGACAAATTCTTCTGGCCTAGCAATCTGAACGCCTGTATTTAATTCAAGGATGGACTTGACAACACTAGTCGTTTTATGATAAACAGGGTCTTGCGCCGGATCGATATCTGCCACGGGGGCGTTTGTCTTCGTAGTAGTTTCTTCCTCCATTTTCTCCTCTTCAGGCGAAGCTTCTGGTTCAGGATTGTCAATCTGTGTACAGAGAAACAATTCTTCATTCAAAGAAAAGAAAAAATTCCCAAATAAAAGGAACGACTTACTTTACAGGTAAACAAAACCCGCTGCGCATTTATGCGCCTCACAGCGGCACCCTACCGTGGAAACAAGGGCGAAGTTGATATGGCGTTTTTAGGACCCATAAACAAAGGACATAATCGGATATAAGATAAAACAAGGAATTTTAGGCGATATGCAATTAAAACGCATGAATATGCAATTAAAAAATCACATCCTTTTGAAAGATGCCGTACTTCAGCTCCTAGTCGGAGACGAGCAGCTCCAAAAATTTTTTCATTCATTTTATCCGAATTGGAAAATCATCCAAAAAATCACTTGTAACAGGCACCGATGACAACGTTTCTTTGATAAAATAAAAAGAACTTAATCTATTTTCATCTAATAAAAGTCGTAACACATCAAACCTTACTGGTGAATAAAGCGGTTACCAGTTTTATTAATTAAATGTTACAACGGTTTCTGTGCGATCAGGTAATAAATGGGATTAAAAACTGATATTATTCTTAACAAGCTGAAATGTCTTTTAAAACTGGTAAGCTTATTCATTTTCCTAATAGTAACACAGCCTTTAAGGGAGCATTGCATGGGAATCATTATGTTGCTATCTAATTACGTTGCTATCTAATTACGTTGGAGATTAGAGTACCATATATTAAACCATCCACCTTATTGTATCTGTTTCACTAAATTCATAAGTAGCTTCCCTCCTCTCAAATTTGGTTTCTAAAAAGCGCGTTGAAAGGTGTTTTGTTCAAAAGATGGTGGAAGTCCATATTTCTTATTTTTCCTTGTCTGTGATATTTCTTTTTCAAATGAACTTAAATTTGTATGTCTGTGGTCTTAGTTCCTTGCGTTTAATATGTTTCCACTCTCTTTAGGGGAAATCTCACAGGGGTGCTTAACCAGGTTGTAGGAGCTTATGCAAACAGGACGAAGCATTGTCAAAAGCTCTAAGTATCTGAGCAGGCCCATCATGCGACCCATATGCCAAAAACCCTGTGATGGTTCTAAAACTCGAAAATCGTGGCAGGGGGGGGGCTTCCCTGAAGGGTGGCCTGGACATTTACGTATTTTGATAGAAAGGCCAGACTCGAAGCCTGCAACGGCCACTGGTTTTAAACTTTCGATTTAAACATTGAATTCGTTGACAGCATCCACTAGGAAAAATTTTGGCAAGAAGACGACACCTGGAATCCCGGCCGGTAGACCTGGGTGTGAATGGTTCGTCCTATTTATATGAACAATTAGGAATAAATCTTGTTGTCCCTTCCTTTCAGCCAGCTTGCATCCAAGTATACAACGTTTGCAAAATTGAAAAGTGAAAACTGAATAGCAAACTACAATAACGAACGTGGGACGTAAAAAGTAGCCAAAAAGGAACAGGAAGAGCACCCCAGATTTTGATCTGACCAATGACAGCTCTCCATATCGATACTCGACATCACGACACCATATTGCTAAGGAAATTTTCTTAAGTTTCCCAAAATAGTAAGGAACCTATGATTGCTTTAACTATAACAAAATGCACTTCTTCATGGTATAAACTACAAACAACAGGATGGTTCGATTGGAGAACCAGGAAATATCGCGTAGCTGCGTATAGCGTGAGAAAAGGAAAATATTAGGCTGGAATGCTTGGAGAGACGCTGCGGGGAGTTACAGGGGTCATGTTGCGCAGGCTTGAGGCTCGAGGAGATAGGACTGTCCATTTGAGCTAATATATACTCTACTCAATAATCGCGATTTTAAAAGGAAATAAGGTATTTCACGAATCAAATTTACCTGCAGAAAATAGAGAGTTTGGGATACTACACGGTACTTTAAGTATGACAAAAATGGCTTGGAATATGTCTTGAAGCAAAGGGGAAGGTTTGGAAAAGGTGAATCCAGCGGAGGCGTTTGGCAAATCAGTCTCTCTCTCTTAATAATCATCATAATAATCATAAAGGACAACAGTGATATATTTCACACCCAAAAAGCAATATAAATGTCTAGCGAATTATTACGATCCTGGAGGCACATTTTAGCACCGTCAATCTAACTTTTTCTAGGGTTTTCTTATTAATGACTGCAAAACTATCAAAAAAGGAAACTTTCTGTGCTAAAAATTTGCAGTGAACCAAAGTGAAGGAGTGTTCTACGACTTATCTCGCTGACTGGTATTGGAATTCAACTACAATGCATAATACACGATGAAAATAACGCAATCACGGGTACAATTAGAGTGAGGATGCGGGGTTCTTCTCGCTCTTCCAAAAAAGCCAAAACAATTTCAAAAACAAACACAAATGAGAACATGGTATGAACTGGACGATCTACTTCACTCTGACTCCCTGAGCACAATAAACTGAATTGAGCATCAAATTTATCAATACCAAAAAACTCTCATTAATTTGGTTGTCAAACGTACTGCCGTTTTCTGTTTCGTTTCTGTTTCTGAATCAATTCGAATTGCCCTCTTTCCTAAGCCCTGAGCTAAATACCTAATTTCTTCCATGGCAAAAATTTCTTTGGTAGTTTTCAATCCCCGGATAAATCGGATATTTGCTAAGTCAGGCTGATTTTCAAATCCAATTGGATCCTACCTTATTCAATCAAAAGTCTTTCCCCGGATAAGTTGGATATTCGCTAAGTCGGACCATCCCCCATTTTTATTATTATCATCAACTTCATTAAAATTTGGCTAACAAAATTACAGTATCATATTTCCTTCAATGAACGCTGCCCTCTATTAAACACCGCACCTTCAGCCAACCATTTGGAAAGAACGCCGCCCTCTGATAAACGCCGCCCTCTACTGAACGCCGCATCTTGAAAAGCGTTGGGGAAAGCGTCGGGAAAAGAAAACGTTGTTTAAAGTCTGTTTTCATCATTTTTAATCGCACTTTTCTTGTCATTTTTCATTTGAAAAAACTTTTCACTTTGTATTGAACGCCGTCCTCTATTGAACGCCGCACCAAAAATTTGGAGTTTGTAATAAATGTCGCGGCGTTCTCTAGAGGAAATACGGCAGCTAAAGTAAAAGCTAATTTGGGCCAACTTAAATATACATTAAGTAAATAGCCATAAATGGTTGTTGATAAAGTAAATACAGTAAAAATTATAAAAAAAACATTTTATATAAGATAATAAAACACTTGAAATCCAACTTTACGGGATTTAACTGAACTACGACTTATACTTTGCCAGCCCTGATTTAGAAACGTATCTCAATTCACAGGACAGACGCGCTTATTTCTGGTGAAGACGACAGAAATAGGAAGCCTTAATTGAAGATAATTCTCATACCATAACTACCCCATTTTCTGTGTCATCTTCAATCTTCGCTTCTTGTGGCTTGACATCTGATAATGGTCGACTCCTTCGCAGTAATGCTAAAATTGAGAGCAGTCAAAATTGATAATCGGCCCTAAACAGCAAGGACATTTTAGAACAGAAGATAAATACAGCTACTCATGATGAATAGAGACACTAAAGCTAGCGTTACACGGGGCAATTTTTCACGGCAACTTGTGTCGCAATGATAAATGAAGGGATGCAAAACATTTTTGTAACGGGTGTTACACGCAGCAATGATTTCCGCAACTTGCAACGATTAAGGCCGCACAATGTCTTTTTGTCATTTTTTGCAATGAAAACATTAAACTGCACATGCGTCAAAGGTACGATTGTGTTGGTAGTTGCAAAAACAGATGTTACACGGTGCAATGACAATAAAAATGCTGGCAGCGTTGCAGAATGTAGAGCAGAGTCCTTTTTCAGGCAACCGTTGCGAGAGCAAAAAAGATGCGTTGCACAGCACAGGAAAGACATGTTACAGGTGGCAATCGGTCTGCAATTTGTTGCAAAAGAACGTAGCAAATTTTATATTTTTATGAGAAAGAAAAAATCTTTAGGATACAAGGATGATCGGCATAATAGGATTGGGAATGGTTTTAACTAGAAATTCGTTTACAATTGCATTAATTACAGAAAAATGATCCAATATTGCTTTATTTTCTGTATAATATGAACAAACTTTATTCTCAATTGAAGCTTTTAAATTGCAAAGGCTAACATCATTACAGAACAGTTACACAACGCAATTATGTCTTTAAATAAAGCTTCAGCCTCACAGTCGTGCAGTCAGAAAGATGTCAGTCACAGTCGTTCGGTCACAGTCGTTTAATTACAGAATCAATCAGGCATGGTCTAGACAGATCATTAAGAAAATCTAATGATTATTAATATAAATAAACAAAATTTTTTCGATGAAGAAGAAAAAAGGCAGGGTCATTCACTCGTTATGTAACTCAAAAACTCCAACTTTCAACATTCAACATTTCAACATGTGTATTAGATGGGGACCTTTGATGCAGCAAAAACCTATAAAAACTGTCACCAAAATGATTACATCTACCTTATCGGCGCTATATAATAGGTGAATGATTCTAGCCCTGTTTCAGAGGGGCATATTAGAGGGGCGAAAGAAGAGCGTTCACGTTTTTAAATGTTGCAAATAACCATTTGACGACCTCAATTTCCCAGAAACCAAACAAAATTTATATCTTAAGGGGAAGGGTGTAGAATTTCAATTATGATAAGAAAATATTTTCATAAATCGAAAAAAACCGTGAACTTACTTAACAATTCATACGCCGCATGCAACATTTTTGCATTTTAGACACAAAATATGCAAACGACAATACGAGAAGCGGTGGCGAATGACATCGGGAAGTGGATAGGAATATTTTATAAAAGTTCTAAGCCTGACTGAAAGCAGTCACTTTGTGCATCAAATAAATTACATGAAAAATATCTATCTTAAAATATTTGTGTGTTTCTCCATTGCTTCTTTGGTACCTCGATTTACCATGAAAAACCTGATCAAATCTTTTAACAACCGTGCATAAAATAGTTGAACTGCAAGAAGTGACAGAAACTAATTGCGCCATAATGATGAAAGTTACTCACTTCCTTTTACATTCAGGCTATTTTCAACGATTGACGATTGCGACTCTTCATCAGGCGTAGGTAATTCCTGAGCCACTGCGACGCTCGATTTCTCATCACTTTCGCTATCTGTACTATCGACCTTTGATGTACCCTAGGCAAACAAACATCTTTGCTAGAAAAACGAGTCATATATTTCAAAATACCAAAATAATAATAAAAGCATGTGAATATAACCGATATTGCCATTCCTGGTGATAATAGGATAAAAGGTGAACAAGAAAAATTGAGAAATATCAACCATTAAAGGAGCAAATCGGAAATCTGTGGAATATGAAGAAGGTGACAGTCATCCCTGTTGTGATTGGGGCATTATGGTGTATATTGTTTTGAAGAGCACATGGAAAAGATCGGAATTGATGTAAAGTTACAGGTGATACAGAAGACAGCACTGCTAGGAACAGCCAGGATTTTGAGACAGACATTATCTATGTAATTAACTTGAGATGGCAGAATGGGGCCTTTGTCAGTTTGTTGCTGACTGCTCCCTCCTATACTATCCGGACCAATTAACATCTAGGTGTCTGTGAATCACTTAATTAGCCATAATAATAATAATAAAAATAATAATAATAGTATAATAACCGACTTTGCTGGTATATGTTTTTAAATTGCTGTCACTATCTTGTAACACTTTGAAATATCTGAACCACGATAATTGACCTATGACTGAACCATATTCTACTTTGGCTTTTTCCAACTACTGATAACATCTCTTCATTAAACCTTTCTCTTCATTTTTGCCATTATGTCTCAGAATGCTAACTTTAGAAAACACCTATTCTAAGTGATATAGCTTTAAATTATTCAAAGAATCCATCATACGTTTTTCAGGGAAATAATTATTATCGTTATGTTTACCGATTCAGATTTTTTCCCATTGCTAATAGAGAAAGCCCGCTCCTCCTTCCTCAGCCACTCCGAGTCGGCATCTGACTGTGCTCTTTGTACACGCAATTCGTCTTCGAATTTCTGCTTTTCTTCAAACAAAAGGTGACGTCGACGCTCTTCCTCCCATTGTTTTCTCGCATGCTCCTCCTAAGCAGCAAAAACAAGATCACAAACATTAGCAACCATATCAGCATAAAAGCATCCTATAATAGTCTTTTCAATCTCCGCTAACCCGACTGTAATGACTAAGAAGAATCTAAGGTGATTTTATAGTTTGATTCAGCATTGACTGTGCAATATCCTAATGCTTTAATGGTGTTTAACATCATTCTATCCTTTGTTGACTTACAAATTCGGTTAACAACAGGCATCTCCCAAGTAAAAATATACCCACAAGCAACGTGAGCATAAAAAACAAATAGAATATTGCTATAAGCAAATGAAGGTTTGCTACAAAATAAAATAGAAACTCAATGCTTTTGTATTCAATGTCCCTGAGTAACTCAACATCTGGAGTCCAAGAATAGCCTAACAATCATCTATTATGCGTCTGCTAAAAGTGCTTCGCTTTTAGTGGGATGTGGATTTCATTCGCAGCCCAGCTAACTTCTTTACCCTGAATGATAAATCACAATATACAAGTCTGTCTCTCATTCCCTTGCTACCTCCCCCTGCCCCTCCGTCTCTATTCTACCTTTCTCTGTCCCTCTCTTCCCATTCTATCCTCCCCCTCTACCTCATTCATTTTCTACTTCCCTCTGTCTTGTTCTCCCTTTCTACCTCTTCATGTCCACTGATCCCTAAAACCCTCCCTTTCTACATCACCCCTGCCTCCCTATCCTTCGAATACTGCAATAGTAAAAGGCTCACCTGAAGTGCATGTGCACGTGATCCCGACCAAGACATTCTATTGGCACTTCCTCGTGCCAATGGACTTGGGGACTTTCTAGGAATATTGAGCGTTGAAGCTCTGTTCGGGTCGTTTCCGCCAGAAATTGTGTTCATTCGCTGGCGCGGCAAAGTCGATGATTTTCCACCACCCTCTGTGTGGACAACAAAAACAGCTAACATAAGCTATCAATTATATCTAAATCTGGATTAAAATGGTAATATAACATTTACAAATCTTTTTAAAAGATTGAATTAGTTATCAAGCGTATACACACAACAAAGTTTTAAGTCAAGAGTCGTTCATACCGCGAGAAGATGTCTCAAGAAGCCCCCAGTAACTTAGTGGCTGGCTGAAATCCCAAAAAATTCCATAACAATGCTCTGAGATGACCTTTAAATAAGCATATAGGGCGTTCTCAAGCAAGAAAGATCTTGATGTTATCAATTACACTGTAACCCATATTAAACGAACACCCTCCATTAAACCGACACCCTACAGTAGCGGACAGGCTCTATTTAAGGATACCTCCGCTAAGCCAACACCCTTTATTAAACAGACATCCTATAGTAGCGGACAGACTCTATTCAAGGATACCATCCATTAAACGAACAACCTCCGCTAAGCGAACACCCTCCATTAAACAGACATCCTACAGTAGCGGACACCCTTTATTTACAGACACTCTCCTGTAGCGGAAACCTCTTAACAATGGAAGAATAATTCTGAACATCAATAATGTGTCTGTGGTCAAATTCTTACAAAAAACTGTGAGGCAAAGGGAATACCCTTACAAGAAAGAGTAGCTCTTATCCTACATTGTCAGCTATATAAAGGCGGTGAAATTGTCCGACTCGTTGATTTCTTTTTAAAACTGCAAGGTAGTCTCCATGTATTGAAAAACGTCAAGTAGAAATCTGTCACCGTTATTCCTTACTTCCAATTTGAAATATCTTTTTACTATATAAGTAAAAAGGTGATAACAAGAGGTGCTAATATAATCATACCTGTCGAAAGAAATTGGCTGATGTTGAAGACACCAGGTCTTGCAGGCTAATAAGAAATAAAAGGGTTTGATGTAAGTTGAGTATACGAACATAGGTAGGAGAAGTATTTGTTATACAGCAGAGAGGAAACTTGTTATATGCCATCTTTATACCATCCAACACATAACAACTTAAAGAATATTATTCTCAAAAGTTGCTTGCATTGTCACAAAAAGTGGTAAAATACTTAGAATTATAGAGGACAGTAGCCCTGGCAGGGGAAGTGGAAGACGGGGGGGGGGGGATGGCAAGGCAGAGTTCAAGGAGGCTAAGGAGGAAAAAGGTACGGAGAAATAAAACATCTGCCTCAGTTTCATCATAATTGATATAAAAATTCATCTAATCCCACAAAAAGAGATAATAGGCCGTGTAAAATTAACGCAAGGCCTTTTTTCACGATATTAATCGCAAATAGGTTAATATTCCTAGCGGACGTCGCACAGAAGATGAATCGGCTTTTCTTACTCCTCATGATGTAAAGACAAAGTAAATGAGAAATCTCAGTCCCTCCCTTACTGCTTCTAACATAAAACAAGGAAATGTTGGGCAGTTTAACTCCAGGATTATTGCAATGGTCAGCATATATTGATGTTCCTTACCTTTGGGGGTGCCTCATCAATTCCTGGTGGCAAAATGGGAGAAAATACAAATTAATATCAGAGCAAATAAAGCTTATGTGCTTAACTATCCTTATGTCTTTATGAAACTAGATTTTCAGTTCCTTGCCCTTGACAATACATTTAAAGAATTTTATATACCGACAATATTATTTACCGAAAACATCATTAGTATACTAAAACGTAGTGAAATTATAGTATACTGTAACAATTTGAGGTTTGGGTATCACGCTCAAACTTACGATTGAAGCATTAGGAGACGTTTATGATGGCTTTAAAAAACTTAAAGGACGTTTTCTTGGTTTACCAAATTGATCCCAAGTTATCTTTGAAACTGGAATGAGCATTAGGTCTCTGGGAAGGTGTCGAAGAAGCTCATTGAAAAGCAGGCGAGGTGAATGAAGCTAAGCCTCTAGTATAGCAGAAAAAATACATATAAAGATCTGCCGTCAGCTTGCTGTTAGATAAAGAAGGGCTACAGCAACACTGGAAAGCCTGCTTGCAGATAAGCTTGTGTTTTGCTTAGTTGAACTGAAAATCGAAGGCTATGGATATGGAGCAAATACCCATCCAGGGTCTGTATCAAAAGAGGCCCCAAAGCATTACGTGTAAACATATAAGAACTTTGACGAAAATTCAACTAACCAAAAGCCATGGAGTTTATAATTCTTCGTTTTTCGTGTTTTCTTCTTTCTTCTAGAGCAGCTTGTTCCTCCTTCATTAAATTGCTGAAAACGCCAAAATTTTCGTGTAAGTAAAACAACGAAATTAAAAACGTCAAAGGCCGAATTCTAAGATGGTTGTGAAAAATGACGAGGGATTACAAGCATGTGAATGTATAAAAAATCTACGAGTACTTTTAACACTCTCACGAAATACACCATTTTTGGGGAAGAAACAGAGACAGGTTTACGACAAAGAATGAGAGAGGCAAATGAACTATCGGGTATTTAAGTTTGGAAGCATACGCCACAACTTACGATAATCTCGTTTTTAGTTTTTGAAATCGAGGCCTTTTTGATGGCTCGTACGACCAGCATTCCATCATCACGTGATACAATGTAGGAGGACAATTGGGTGGAAGCGGGAGCCGTTCACCGTTTTCGATTTTGCCGATAACCTTTTCATTTGCCACACCCTGAAAAGGTTTGACGCCGTACATTAGAATCTCCCACATGCAAACACCAAACATCCAGACATCACTCAACGTCGAAAATCGCCTGAAATTAATCGATTCTGGGGCCATCCATTTTATGGGCAGTTTTCCTTTCGAAGCTGGAAGAAAAAGAAAGAATTCGTTAAGAATTACCTGGATCCTAATTCCCACGGTTCCCACGATAAAATATTGAGAGATGTTTTTATACTAACGACATTTATTGGTGTGATTCTTACAGAATCATTCGCGAAGAGTCTCTGCGTCAAAACATAGCACCTTTCTTAAATTTTGCTTTTCAGAAGTTCTCTTTGCAAAACAAACTAACACATCGCAGCCGAAAAAGAAGTATGGAGAAGGCAAAATATTTTAACCAGTTCCAGGAATGTCGGAGAAAGGGGGTACCGGGGGCACATGCCCTAACATTTGGAAAGACTCTCTTTTCTAAGAAGGAACCTTTTTGGTGACTTGTGCCCTTGCCTGCTTCCTACGCTCCTGAATAGGCCCACAGGAGCGTCATTCATCGAAGAAATGAGCAAAACTTTAAAAAAACCAATACAGTAACCTTAGTATGGTTTTGGGAACTTGAACTGACAGTCGAAGTCAATATTCTTCAAGGTTATCAGTCATGCGTTAACCATCGTATCTGGACACTGATTGGAAAATTCTCTACACGATTCGAATGGAAATAAGAAATACCTTTGTAATAAGATTGCTCGGCCATCCATCTTGACAAGCCAAAGTCTCCTAGCTTCACAATATTCTGACTAACAACCAAAACATTTCGCGCAGCAACATCTCTAAAGAGAAACAAAATTTGATCTCTTAACAAATAAAGAATATTAAACAAATTCATGTAAAAATGATATGATAGTATGCCAGTATGACAATGATATGTAAAGAGAGAAAAAATAAAAAATTGGAAAAGCATTCAGATCTAGAGTTGTCAGTGATGGAAACTTCCGGGAGGAGAAAACATGAAACCAATAAAAGGGCTACATAATCAAATCACACCAATCACCAAATCACAATAATCAACAATAATCACAACATTCTGCAAATTCAAACTTTTTTTATTAGCTCAATATTTGCATAATACAAAATAATATTTGGCTTCAATTCACGTCATAATACTTTTGTGACTTGTATAGACATTTCATTCTACAGTCTTGCCAATACAGCATCTGCCAAATCGACAAAAATCTACGAATCATATATCAAACCAACCGTACCTATGAACGAAATTCTTGCTTTCGAGGTACGATAATGCAGTGCTGAGTTGGAATATGAACAAGAGCAATGTGTCTAGCTCGATTCGAAGTTGCTGGTTCTGGAGATACGATCGAAGCTGAAAAAAGATAAAAAATTAAAAATAATTATTAACAAACAGACAATATTGTCGAATGCATGTGTCACCTTATTTGATTTTGGTGCGGAAAACTCGCCTCGTAATGATCTACAAACTCGTTGCCTTCTCTAATCAATTTGAATATAGCAGAACCCTGTTGAGTCGTTCCCCGGATAACTCGAACTTTCACTAAATCGGACTGACTTGCGATTCCTGTTAGATCTTCCTGCCTTATTTGAGTCGAAAGTAGTACCACGAGAAGCCGATCATTCGCTAAGTCGGACCCAATTTATTAACACTTGAAAGTCCAGCTTGAATGAATTCAATGTCTTATATTGTCGATTTTACATTGTCCTCTGCACAAAAATGATCTACGAAAATCTACGTTGTGGTGTTGATACTAAATCTCACAAAACCTTCGCATTTTCCAACCAACAACGTCTAATTGATATTATCGATAGACTTTGGCAAATTTCGCTTCTTTCGATCTTGGAAATCTGTACATGTTCAGGGGCAAATAATTGATATCTTGTTTATTGAATCTAGCTGCTACTTGCTTTTAAATGAAATCTAATTGAATTGAATTTATTTTGTTGAGAGGCATAAGAGCTCTAGTTTTAGAAGTCTCTCTCTTCTGTCATAGCTACAATTCACAAAGTTCTGACCAAATGCTGGGTAAAAAAACAATCGATAAAAGATTTCATAAATTAAATAAGATAAAAATCTAGATTCTAAATATGAGAAATCACTAAAACTCCTCTATGGAACAACTTTTTAGATTCGAAAAACAAATTTCTTTAAGATCAATCTTCCACTCTGACAAAGTTTTCAAAACTCATTCAACAGACATCACTTCAAAGAAAAACAAGAAAAAATAACTTATATTATATAAAAAAATATACATTGATCTCATTGAGGCTCAGAGCAATCTATCATTCATTCTTTAACCAAAACAAAATGATGAAATAATCCCTTTTTTGCAGAAACCGTAAAGAAGCAGAGCGTTCCGATCGCCATTTTCAATAGAAATAAATCTTACAGCCGAAACAAATTAGCAGCACCTTAAATAATCCTGTTGTTATAATGACTTTTAATGAACGCTGGTCTCTGCTTTACAAATCTCGTGGTATTAAATTCAATCTGCCGAATCAAGACTTATCTGTGATCATATATAAAATTAACCATTTTTACTTATATGTGCGCCTTAGACGGATTAAAAAGAAAGAACTTTGCTTGCCAATTTCACATCATCATTCATTCATTTTCTAGCGATGTGAGATGGTGTGATGTCAGCCGAGTATATTAGCTAGTTTTTAAGGGACTTTACGATAAGTTCTGACAGAACCTTACAATTCATTTTACTTCCACATTATCAACTTGTTTTTAGAAAGAGAAAGATCATAGGGCCATTTACTTGTTACATAACGTAAAAGCTCCATGTGAAAACAAAGTTCTTGAATGAAGAAGTCATAACACTCTATTTTCAAACGTGAGCATGAACAGACCAAAACAACAAAGAGCAAAGCGTAATAATATCAGAGGTGTCGCAAGGGGAAGGGTTAGTTTTGAGGCCAACTCCGTGGCTCCTTAAAACGTTACCCAAATATTTAAGTTTATGGGTGGCTAGTTTCTACCTGTACTTTTACAAGAGCTGGCTCACGACCTAATAGTGTTGCCATTGTCCAAGCGAAATGTTCAATATTACACCGCTGAACCAGTAACTATATATATGAAATATTATAAGAAACGATAATGTAAATCCGAGTATATAAAGAAAACATATAAAAATAACCTAATGTTTCATTCCAGGATTCTCAACCAATTTGACAAGCTAGTGATCGCTGATTGGTCAAAACAAGGAACCAATCAAACGCACCATTCTTCTTCTCGCACTACTTTCGATAACCAGCTACCAATTTTTTGTTACCATTGGTTATTATTTGATATTTTAACCTTAAGAAAGTCGGGCGAAAGGGCTAAGCAGTATGTGCTATCTTTCCACTTGTTTGTGCTTACATAAAATTTGCAGGCCTAGAAGCTTATTTCAACAGAATTGACAACACCTGACGTAAATTGAAGTCAACTAAAGAGAGAAATGGTTGAAAATTTACATACCTCGCCGAATGGCGCCAATTCCATTATAATGTATACAGGATCTGAGGATACAACACCAATCAATTTGACGACGTGAGGGTGCTCAAACTGTTTCATGATAACTGCAAAATACAACAGCAAGCATCAGAAACTACAATTGCACAACGATTTAAGATATACAAAAGTTTAAAGGTGCTATCTCTTCGAGGCATAGAATACAGTTTTCAGACACAGACTAAAGAAATCTTCTTTAATTATTTAAAGAGTCATATCTAACAGCTAAGACACAAAATGAGATCGATTAATTTATGTGTGTCTTGGAAATAGGGGATAAGGGAAAAAGGACAAGTTCGGGGATAAGAAAAAAAAGAAGAAAAAGAGAAAGAAAAAGAAGAAGAAGAAGAAAGAAGAAGAAGAAAGAAGAAGAAGAGAAAGAGGAAGAAGATGATGAAACAGAAACTAGAAAAGGAAAACAAAGATGAAGAAGGGGAATAAGAAGAGGAAAAGGTAGTGCGAGTGGAATATCAACAATCAGAACAAGAAAAATTGGAGGAGGAGAAGACAAATAATAGAAGATGATGAAAATAGAAAGAGGGAGAATAAACGGAATGAAAAATAAGAAAAAGAAGTAGAAGAGGAAGTAGAAGATAGAGTAGGAGAAAGTTGGATGAGAAGAAAACAAAAAGGAATAAAACAACAAGAAAATAAACAGTAACTTACAGGCCTCTTCTAAAAATTTGTCAGTTCTTCCTTTATCTTCGACTTCACTAGTGACCTTGCAGCTCTTTATGGCGACTTCCATATTGGTGCCATCCTGATATGAAAATAGAAAGAGTAAATTCAGCGAGGCACAGTGCTTTCTGGCAAATTGAGGAAGTTAATTAACCATGCATCAAATGAAAACAACAGCTGAGGTGTGTGAAGTGACAAAATGTTGAGCATCGAACGGGGCAAAGCACAATGGCAAACGCCACACGACGTTACAATACATTGAATATCTTTCCATATTGATATCGCATGTCTATTTGTTGTATGGTGTGAAAATATAGAAAGAAAAACCTCTGTAACATAACATTTGATAAAGAGGAATGCATTTTCAAAGGAAGCTTTAAGGAAAATGCTGAGCTTGGCGAAGGGCTTCTACTAGGGTACCATATGCTATCATATACTTGGACGAATTGCATGTACAGCTTTGCCTATACGGTATAGAACACTTCATAACAGACCGGTAAACAGCGTAGGGACACTATGGCTTACAGAAAATTTGTGTTATGTGTAATGAAACGCCCCATGTAACAATTGTTTGTTTCGCGAGAGACTTGTAAGGAATATAGGACTAGTTGCTTTCATGATTCATCGAAGATTAACTGGATACAGAAAGATCATTAAGTATAACATACGCTAACATGTTAGTAATTAGTTATTAGAAAAATAACCAGCAACACAAGGAAAAAAAGATAAATATCATCGGATAAACATCAATAATCAGTCATCAAAAACATCATATTTAAGACAGAATGTTAACCAAGCAGCAGTATAAGAAACAAAAGATCTTTAAGATCTAAGAACGCTGTTACATCTATATACTAATAGTTTTGCACCACCATATAGTACAAGTTCTCATAACGGCGCTGTCATATTACATTGTCAACATTCTACTGTTGTCGAATACGTTACAATGCTTGCTAAAACCCAGCAATTTGCATTGTTTTCCTTGATTTCTTTTCCCGAATACTAATACCTCCAACCCCCCTTTCCCCCGGAACAATGCTGATAGTCAAGAGGGGATGTGGGAGAGAGTTGGATGGGCGAATTTGCCTTCGGAAACTTTTGGCAGGAATGGATCAACAAATCAGCCAACGTTGCTCACCTTACAATCGTAAGTTCCTCTGTAAACATCCCCAAATTGGCCTTGTCCGATAATTTCGCAAAAATTCAACTTATCCTGGGGAATTTCGTAGTCGTTTGCTAGAAAGAAAAAAAACTTGATACGTTAAACTACATGTAATCAATCTTCGTACATATAAATGCTAAAAGAGGAAGTACTCCAGTACCCTTTAAAGGATGTAAACTTTCATCTTATTTATCATATATAATGCATTAAAATTTGAGGTAAATCTTTAACAAAACAATGTCCTTTCATGTTTATGACAACTGAGCTTCTGAACAACAACTGCGTCAATTCAAAATAAACACAAACTATTCAATAAAAGAAGAGAAAACGCATTTTGTGCATTGTATCCTGCTAGTTCTTGCAATATTTTTTGCTGAATGGAGAACGGGGCTCTTGTCGTTGATATGTTTTACAATGTGAAAGAGCCATCGGAAATAAGAAGCCATCGTAAAATAACAAAAACACTTTCTATAAACCTAGATACAATCACTCGCTTTATAAAAATGCAGTTGAAAGGCACTTGGCAAAAATAAAACTGGCATATTCGATAGAAGTAAGTCAAGTAGAAAACGTCAAACGTCAGGTTTTGGGCCCGACTGATTCAACTTAGGCAAAATAAAAGCAGTACCAAAACAGAATTTTTATAGTTCTAAAATCTAGCAATAAAGAAACTCATAGATCTAAGGTTACATCATATGGAAAGTATTGACTTTACTTACAGGCCATGACCTCGGCGTAGTCTTCATCTAGACAGTCAATTTCGGAATAGTCGTTTGAATCTGCCAAGCAAAAATAAAATTATCTAAAGAATGAAGACCAAAAAGTACAACAATAAAAAAGGTTTGACGATTTTACGGTAATGGTTGAAAAGGAAACGAATAAGCAAAACTTGATTACAAAAACGTATTTTACATTTATCTAAACATTTGATTTTTATCAGTAACAGTAAGATTATGTTGCATACTAAGAACTATACCAGCCATTACCAGGGCCCTACAAGCTGAAGTTTGGTGCAAAGGAGTGTGGGAATAGGACGTAACACCCCATCTGATTGGCCAATTCTTTTCTTGGTTAACAAATCACTTGAAGTTAGGTAGATAGGGATAATACTGCTTTCAGGAACGGCTTTTCCGCGTATCGTTCATACCCCTCCCCGGCCAGGAAGGTCAAGGTATGCCGATGTGCATAACATCGTCATTGGCTGATAGTCGCATTTAGTTTGAAACTCGTATTGAGTTGTAACGTTATCTATATCAGAACTGCTTGTTGTCCTTTGGCATTGCTGGCGTTCATGGTCTTTTATGACAATTAAGACTAACTTGTTCTACACAGCAAAGCACATACAGGTCTACACCTGTAACATAACTCAGCCCTATACAGAGTCGAACACTACAAGACAGACCAGCAAACAGTAATATGGTATCATCTTCATTAAAACGGATAATGTGGGGTGACATAAACTATTGTACGAATTAAAGAAAGACAGTGACAAGCATAGGGTACCTCCATTGAAAGTCTTTTTGGTTGGGGAGGTTGCTTCTGTAAGTTTTTTCTGATCAATCAAACTGACCATAGTGGATTCTCGTACTGATTTGTTGGCACTAGAAAGAAAACAATATCTTGAATAGATTGAATAAATTGTTGACACTAGCACTAGGATAGAAACACAATCCCCTTCAAAAACGTTGGAACAGACAAAGCGATTTTTCCAGTACCTTAGCATATTCAACTAGAAGGGTCGAATGCTATTAACAACACATAGTTAAGTATAGATACCTTGGATCATCTGGTTTTGGAAGTGACGGGAGAGACCTCCAGCTATCTGCAAGAAGGAAAAGCAAACTGAATGAGCATGGAAAAAAATACGGGGGAGGGGTGGGGTTCAAAATACAATGACACATCTGCAACTGTGTGAACACCTGGAGCACAAAGCAGTTGTTATACACGAACAGAAGGTACATCACTGCTGCTACATCGAGGGTAACATTTTTGTATTGGCAAACTTAAGCTAGAAATTGTATCTATACCTATTATTATATCTGATAGATCTAATTTTTAGTGAAAATTAGTAAAAATTTAATTTTTATTGGGGAGGGAGGGGGGAAAGAGAAAAGGTCTTAAATATGTCCGTGAGTCAGAGGTTTGCGTTAAAAAGGGTCTGTAGCGTGTTGGCAATTGATAAATCCCCAAAAATTAGCCCGACGTTGCCGATTGGAAAACTCAATAATAACCCACTGCATAATCCAACCAATGTGAATTTAGGCAACTGCCAAAATTCCTAAGGACATGGTATTTCAAACTGGTACATAAGATAAAAAAATTGTATTCAGCTAAAAAAAGTAGTGCCTGGGACATTCATTGTCTACGTATTTCATTCCTTTAGCATTATGTCTCAGCTGGGACAATTAGCAGTGAGTAGGTAAGAAATGAAAGCAACGCAACTGAAATGAGTCAACTTTGTGACAGTGTCATTCTATTCTAGTTGTAAAAGGTAACAGAAAGTCAGAGTAAGCTGCAGGCCTTGAATATATGAATAGGGTAGGTGGGGAGAAAAATTGATTTTCTAGCCATATTCAACTTATTGTATCAAAAACGCATCAACGCAAAACTGTATAACCATATTATTACGATATTAAAACAAAGCCCAGAAGCAACAGGCCATTATTTGGCACACGTATGGAGTAATCTATGAAGTCGATTGGTCAGTGTTGGCAGAAACTGATAGTCAACTTGCTCCTTCGTCGCGCACAAATATGCAGGAAAAAGTTCTCTTTAGGAGCCAATGGCTCTTCAAAGGAATAAGGCTACAAATTGCTTCTAATTGCTTCTCACTCCTTCAGGAGCTTTTTTTAGAACCAAATCATTGTTTTCCAAGAATTCAAGAAATGACAAGGGAATCAAAATAACAGGATAGTCTACACATCTTTACTTGCACAAGATGTCGGATACAATGACAGCTGGTAACAATTATGACAAAATGGCCTGAGGATCCTAAGAAATATTTTTCATTTAGTTCTTGGCACATTTAAAAAGCTTTGCCTAAAACGCAAATATCTGTTTGATGCTCCACGATCCCTGGCTGAAGCTGACACCGTAGAGACCAAAAGAATGAGATACCAGCAAAGCAACACGCTAAACTATGACTTCAAATTCATCCATATCGAGAACCCACAAAAATATACAGAAAAAGCTGAAAGGCCACTTTTGTACTTTTCTCAGCTTGAAAAGGCGAAATTTACCATCTACTGTCTTGATTTCAAAGGCATTTTACCAAGTTGATATGGGTTCTGTCAAAAAAATATCCTGGGGCACCTTCCAGCCATTTTGATGCAAGATCAGCACAATTTTTAAATGACATTTTATATTTTCTTGCATCACATCTATTACGCAGTACCTTAATGTACTCAATATTTTAGCTGTTACATTTAAAATTTTGTTGAACATTGATAAATGGCAAGAATTTGACACACCTTAAAGGGCGTTATGACGTCATAAAATTTATCTTTAGAACTTTAGAATTTTGATCATATAACCTAAAAGAGTATCAAGCAATACCTCGAAAAGTTCAAAGTGAGTTAAATGTGTTATAACTTGCCTGAGAAATGACCATATGTGCTCTCACCCAATTCTCAGTTTGGATGGGCTCTTTCCCCATCCATATCAAACCTCTGTAAATCTATCTCGGTTTTCAACTTTATGAGCCCAGCAAAAACAACTGTGTTCATTAGCAAATTTGAAATCTTTGATCGTCCATTAAGTTTATAATTTTAACTGTTTTTGACTATTAATTACTTGGTACCCTTTCAGGTTATGTTGTAAAAAGTGAAAAATCCTTAAAATACATGTTTTTACGACGACACACTCAAAAACTCAATATAAGGTAGAGCTGACTTTTATTCCAACTAAGGAATTGAATGAAAGTGTTTAGGAAAGAAAATATTTTAAAAACTACTTACTTGAATCACGCCGTGGCGGCAGTGGAGGATTTTGAAACGATTCGGAGTCTAGATTAGAAATACCTTTAGCATTATTTATTGAAGAGCATGTTACGCAATTTATATTTAAAATGCAAAATAAATTTGCTTTTATCAGAGTTCACAAATGAAATTTAATGACGATTTAAGGAACAATTTTATCTACTATGTAGACTGAAAAATTCTTGGATTTTGAATATGGCGGCGAAAATTTGTTTATTTAAAAAAGTTAAAAGCTGATGCAATTCTGCTTCGAGAAGTGTTTTACTATATTTAATGCAACGTAAGATATGATAATATGAGGGGAATTTTAACTTTGAAATTATCACAACCTTATTGATTTACGTCAAAATCGTATGAGATTCAGTCGTATAAACAGTATCGTTTTCGTTTGATACTATATTCACCAGTGCTTCCGTGTGAACATAGCGCACCCACGGTATGATATCATCCGGTATTAATAAGGAAAAAACGGAACGTTATCGTCCCGTTATAATTCGAATAGAGTTATGTTTCAAGGTTATGCAGGAAATACTTCAAATATAATGAGATACGTTATGTATCAGGCTGCTGGCTCACAGTTTTAAACTTAAATATATACCAGGCTAGCAAATCTCTCATACTTAGGGAGATACTTAAGATAATATCTTAACGCAGGCAATTAAAGTGCACGATATTAACCTGAATATCAAAAGTCAAATTTCTTTAAACCTATACTAGTTACAACCATTGCTATAAGTTGTTTCTTTTCTGTTTAAAGAAAGTACTTTTTTATTTCTAATGCTCTTCCTTTATATGAACTTCTATATGAAATTTAACATATATGAATTTCTACCAGCTAAATCCTTAGTGTTTCCTAAAACTTAACATGGAAAATATTACGAAATACCAAAATTAACGATCTTGAGATTAATAAAATAAAAGGCACCGGATTTACAGATAAAGAAACCTCTTTCAAGCAACAATGTGGAGACTTAATTTTAATCACTACAGAAGTTAAATTATTAGAACTTATGAGAAAATTACGTTGCAGGAAAATATTTTAACAAGAAAATGTAATAAACGTCACAGCCAGAGGCACCATAACAATCTGCCTAATGTCGCTGTTGAAAATCTCCCAAATGTATAAATAATTCCCGTTGGTGCAGTCAGAGCATGCGCAATCAACTTGATCATTTGTGCGCATGCTCCTTAACAGCAACGATCGGCAGTGGTTGCTCCATCCACCTTTCCTACTTTTAATATTTTTTTAAATATATTTTGATTCACTTTAAATATTTATGGCAAGAAAATGTAAAAAATACACCATTTATGTCGCATAAATATATGTTATAAGTATATATGTTATAAGTGTATTAAATAACAAAAAATTTACACTCTTCAGTACTTACTAGAATAGCTCGTAGGCAATAATGGGACGTTGAAAATCTCTGAAATGTTTAAAATCTTTTTAAGTTTTTAAGCAAAAAGTTTAAAGATTTAGGAGAATTTGATTTCTTAATACAGCTAATGATTTTAGCACAAAATTTCACAGAAATATCAAGAATTTAATATACTTTACAAGGAACATGGTACTTTTCGCTTTTCTTTAAAAGAAGTTCTTTACTGTATTATATGAAGTACAAATAAATGAAAATATAAATGTTGTAAGTTTTTATATTGAAGGGATTGTATTGTTATCTTTTTACTGAGTGCCTAGGAACAAATATCTGACATTTGTTTCTAGAAATTATTCTAATTTATTAGGTTCCCGAAAAAAATTAAAAATGGCTTCAAAAGAGCAACCATTTCGAAAACATTTAAGCTTTTTGTCTTACACTCTTAAGGGCATAAAAATCTGAACATAGATCGAAAACTCAAGAAAATATACCGAGTTGTTTATGGCAATTGGAAACGCGAGCAGATGACTGTAAACGTTGCCAAAACAGTGCAGCTTGCCTAAGACTTAAGAATGTTTCAAAATATTGGCTTTTTTCAAAGGCATTTTTACATTTTGTACCACCAAAAATTGTTTAAAATAAGACTTTTGCAACCACGCTTTAGCTTTAGATAAAAAACCAAATTGGATTAATAACGTAAAGAGTCTTAGATTACCAGACTTCGCGATTCATCTAGCATATACGTTGAGACACAATGGATAAATTGAAATCAATGGAGGTCATCACAAACCAACCTGTGACGTTAATACCCGTTTCAAAGAATTGTTGTTGAATTTACAAATGGGTCAACTAAAGTTAAAGCTTAAGGATGTTAGCTGACCCACACAGAGACGTAATTAGAAACTGTTGTGTTCAATGTTTTGTTTATAGCGTTGCCTTGCCAACAGGACTGGTTCACCGCGTCAGATGGCCAGTGTTTCTAGGCAAATTCATAACAGCTTGTATCCTTAGTTACTTTACTCGATAGAGAGACATCTTGCTTATATTATTTAGGGTTGCGGATTCAGGCATTGGTAGCAACTGGCCCCTTTCATGAGTAGTGACCCTTTCCTTTTCCAGTTCCATGATCAAAATTTTCGATTCGAAGATAAAAGTCCTTTTTGATAACCCCTGCCCCCTTTATGATTTCCGTTTATGTTAGGAAAAATCATTTTTTGCAAACAAAGTTCGATTTCAAATCCGCTTAGTGAAAGAAATATATCTATTACAGAATATGATTTTATTGGTCATTGTTGATTGACAGGTATATTTCTTCCAATCAAATTCATGCCAGGTGTATATCAAACCAATCAGAAATACGCACCAAATACTTTACCGTTCAAGGGCCTAAATATAGCGATATTCAACATCCCCTATCGGTTACGCGGGTCAGTTTTACAGAAGGAAAAAACTAGGCTATGCTGAGCGGTGGGCCTTAGTAGCATAATATTTCGTTAAAATCATTATGTAGTTCATTGGGTCAGTTTTCGTCAAAATAGAAAAGACTGTATCATTTGTCATAAATTTCGTTAAAATCATTATGTAGTTCATTGATTTTCAAAGATCGTCAAAATAAATTGTATCATTTGTCAAAGTTTGTGCAAATCTAACCAATGTTGCAATAACGTTAAAACTTACAACGTTATTTAATTATTTTTGGATATTTCATGATGGCGTTCACCTGCCAGCATGTTTATCAAAGAACAACGTTTATTGTTCGCCTCAAATGAAAGACCACTGGGATGTTTGTTTTGATAATTGCAAAATTTCATTTAAAGATAAAACCAGTTGCTTTAATCCATTTTACAAATTAGCAGTGTTTATTCTAGCATTTTTCATAAAGGCAAAAATATATTTCAACAGATACAGTAATTAAATACGGCACACATTTGGCACACCCATTGCTGAATGGAAAAAGAAATGTTTCATTGAAACAAGGCTTCGTGTGGAGGATTCTATTGAATTAAGTTTTATCTAATTAACGAATCTGGCAAAACACCGAAGCATAAGAAAAATACATCCTTTTTAAACTAAGCCTTGTTTCAAGAACAAATGAAAGCCTTGACTTCAAAACAGGTTTTTGTGACAAATTGAAAGCACAAAATAAAGAGTGGTACGTGTTTTCGTGGCTTGAAAATCATTTTGAAGGAGATCACTAAGGGCAATCGTGAATCCGAAAGATGGAACTTATTGAAATAAATCAAACCTCCCTATATATTAGTTTTATTACGATATTGATAATCAATCAATTGAGGATCCAGGCATCCGTGATCTTCCGAGCAACGATTTGAACAAACAATGCGGGTCTCTTTTAAAAACTAGCATCTTTCATCCTCTGAATCCATCATCTGTCTATAGCCCCAACACTCAAGGAAATAGTCCTTCTTCCTCCTTCTGGTCTCCACCAGCTCGCTAAATCATAGTCCATCGGCTTCATTGGCCAATTCCTTTTGTTAGTAGCCTCTTAATGAGGGCCAGATATCTGTTTTGGCGTTTATCGAGCCCAGGCCTTTGGTCAAAGAAGACCAGCGCCCAGCTTCAAAGCCTTGCAAGACAGATACTAAGACCATACAAATGAGATGAATTGAAAATTCGTGCGCCTATATGCGCCATTCAAACTAGTGTTGTCCTTAAATCCGCTATTCTTCTTTAGCGCAAACATATACAGATATAATTGATCGGAAAAAACATACCTGAACGCTTAATGATCAAAGTGCTTGCAGTGAGGCCAAACATGCTACAGTAGCCATCGATAAGCTCGCTCATTTCCGTTGCTTTGTGTGATGATCCAACAGTGAAGGTTAATGGCTGGAAAGGATAAAGAGATATAGCAATACAAGCTGGTAAAATGGGCGGAAAAAGGGAGGGGGCGATGAGAGGGGAGATGATGGGGGATGATTAGGGGGCAATGAGTCAAAGCCAATATAAAAAAGAGCAATAGGCTTGGACGTGCAAAAGTAGAGAGAATATGTTCTTCATTAATGCTATGAACAATGCCTTTGCCCTGAAGTTACGCGAAATGCTTCTTGGCCTGGAAAGCCTCGATCAGATTAGCCATAATATCAGCGCAGCAAATTTAGTTCTCCGGTCATAAGATCAAAAGAAATGCAAGCTCAAATATGTTTGTATGGCAAAGTAATAATTATCTTTCACCAATGCAGAAAAATCTTGGCATAAACTCCAGTTTTAATCAAGGCTAAAATGTCTTATTTAGTAAGTATTGCAATGTGGTTTAAGATTCTTAGCTGACTATATAAAAGGCCGTATGGATTGAAGCTTCCCATTAAATTTGTCGTTTAAGCAGATTGAAAAAAATATCTGTTGGAAATGAGATTTAAAAAAGTATAAACAAAGGCAATCTTTACCTCGCTTGTTCCCTCGACTTGAAGTGTGATGGTCGCCTTCCCAGCGTGACTGCCATGTTGTGAACCCATTTTTGATATTTTTATAGAGCGTATCTGCTTAAAATTAGCCATTGGTGTAATCTACAAAATAATACATAAGTATTGGTTTTACGCAAATATAAGGTTTTCCAGAAGATTGAAAAAAGCAGACTATTGGACTTTTTAACACCTAAATGTTCCTGATTAGCCGATTATCTCCTACTACAATACCTACAAAGTAAAAGAGGGAATTTTATTTGTATATGATTTCATTGCACCTAGATTGATTGCTACTTGACCCACGGAAAATGTACAGAAACTACCCTTGTTTCGACAAAGGCATTTACCTTTAACATGGAGGGATACCAACATGCATATAAAAATGGAATTTAGGCTCCCGGCCTTTCTCGTGCTATTCTTGATTCATCATAGAAAACAACAGCAGAAGCAAAAAGGAAATTAGAACTGCCCCTAGAAACTTACAATTGTCCCTTCCTGTGCCCTGTAACTTATACCATCATTAGGCCCAATGACGGCATGGACTGTGATCGACCATCCACTCTGAAATAAGACGAATAAACAATTATCGAATATTTACAATTATTGAAAAACACGTCATTAACATAAATAAACTAGGAACGAAGTCCGTTAACAAAAATAGGGAGAGGATCGCCAACAGTTATTATCTTACTGGAGCAGAAAATATGAAGATGCTAACTTTAAGTTTAATTTTGGCCCGAGCTGCCTTACGAAAGCGCTCAATTCAAGAAAAATGAATCAATCGTTTTCAATTGAATACAATACCAGTTTCGTAATGAAATTTCATTTATAGGCTATGAAAAATATCAATTTGTTGGACAATGAAATTTCCCTAAAACCCTCTGTAAACTCTAAACTTAGAAAATCAATAGCTTTTTCTAATATACAAACAAACATTTGTTGCTATGGGCTAAAAATAAAAACTTTTCTGCGAGAGAAATCAAATATTCTTCGTCAAACATTATGTATATTGAAAATATTTGTTGAGGCTTGAAATATCATATTTACAGAGTATGCGTGGCAAAGTAGTATTTTGTATGGAATAATGAAGGTAGCAAACATGAGAACATTTAGGACAGTGCTTTATTTTTCATTGGATACAATAAAATCGAAGACTTGAATGAGGGCTAAACAAGGCTCTAGTTAATAAAAAACCAATAAAAATATGCCTTAATTTTTAAAGATATAAACATTCACAAATATAGAAACCTCAAATATCAATACGAAACTTTCTACGGATAGGAAAATTTTAATTCACTGTAAGGCTGTTATGTCCTCAAAAATTAAAATATAACAGTTTTAAAGCAAAACCAAGAAATTACTAAGTAAAATTTCGAAAGCATGCGAAAGCCTTTATAATAGTGAAAGTCTTGACAGTAGTAGCTATTAAAATGCGGGAATAAGTACAAAAGGTTGTCTTACCCCTAATGAACAGGTGTAGACCTCGAGATCGAATCTGTGGATCTTTACAAGTCGATCGAAGAACTCTGACACACATTGATCCTCAGTTAAATTTGAAAATTGCTTAAAATGTTTTTGAATGTTCTTGCGTATATCTTTACTCTGCAATAAAAAATAAACATATGTCACATCAGGTAAGATATTCAAGCATCTCATTTTAAACTTACCCTGTGCCAACCGTGAAAATGTAATCAACACATTTTGACACACCAGTGTGTACTTCACATGAATACATCTCAATTTCAATACAACGACTGACTCGAGAGGCAAGGCCAATTTCACTATGTCTTTTTCTGGTTGCAAAGGGTACAAGTTTTCTATTTTCAGATTAAAGAAGCAAAGACACCATACAAATCTACGTATTTTCTACATCTGACCACATAACCTAAAAGAACATCATGAAATGCCCAGAAGGTATAATAGTATTGAAATCTGTTGCACCTTGAACAATGGCAAATGCAAGAACCAAGTTTTGCAAATGAACTGTTGAATTGGTCTAGTTCATCCATTTAAGAACCAAGAAAACATTAAATTTATTTTATCTAGAAAATGAATTTGCTCATGTGGCCATACATCGGTCAATTTGCAACACATTTGACTAGCACTGCATATTTCCAGACAAAATTATATTTTGATAACTCTCTATCAGTTTATGCAGTCTAAATTAAAAGACGATAAAAATAGATCTTTGTGACGTCATCCGTTTGGAACTCTTTTCTCCATGAAAATAAATATTGAGAAGGAATTCGTGTTCTGTTATTTGTAGCTGTTAACTATGTTGATGTTTCCACTGCCTGATAAGAAGGTTTCAGTCGATACCAAACATGTGTCGGCCGATGCTGGATAATATTAGGCCAAAATAGATTCTGAGTACTTTGCCAATGTTTCATTCAAAGCATGCTCAACATCATATGGAATTATATATTATATAACTGGCAACAGCTTTATCAACTGCTCCTAAAATTGCACGTTGTTTCTAAATTCGGCTAGACAGTATTCTGAGACAAGACACAGAAAAAACGTGGAAAATAGACAGGAAACAATTTCGCTACCTTCATGTTGTCTGTAATGGATGGTGGCAAAAACCGGCCTAGTCCGAACTCTTTTCTGTTGACGAAAAAATTCTACAATAGTACAATTGAAAAAAGTACTATAAAAAATGACAACTTGAGATACATTGATGAGATGAATTGCTCAAGAATGTTTCAAGTAAATCATACGCTCGTACGCTCGCATGAGTCATTTTCTCGCAACATTAAAAAATAAAAATCAGCTCTGCTTAAATTCCATAATAAACAATCCCGAACTCAAATTGAAAATCTCTTTTCTCCCCGTTACTGATCTACCAAGAATAAGGAAAAACAAGGGGATAAAAAGGATGGCGATGAACAATTGAAAGGAAATGATGAACAATAAGAAATTATTATGAAATGGTCAAGGGGGTAGATTCACCCTTAACAAAAATTCGGTTCAAAATATCAAACCCTTTTGCATTGCATATAAATTTTTTATATCAACGACTTGCATTGGCTATTTCTTTTACCTTGAATACAAGTTTTCACTTGTCTACGAATGTGCATAACAAATCTTGTAGAAACTTTAATTTAAACGTTCTATATCTCGGACTGTTTAGAAGATGTTACTTTAAAAAGGGATCATAGCAACGAATTTATGCTAATAAAAAAATTGACGTTGAGCCTAATCTATTCAACATTCTAACCAGTAAGTAAGAAATAAGCAATACTATTCACAATTTATAAGGGCTGTTTTATTCATATTATAATCGTACAATTTATAAGCACAATGATTAAAAAATGATCGCAAAAAATAGTTTACAAAAGACCTTGCACAAACTGCTTTAAAGCTATGACAATTTTGGCACGTTTTTATTCTTCAATCGAGTTTTCTTATTGCCAATATCATACTACATTGTAATTCAAATTACGAGGAAAGCACTTTTCGAACATTTTTATTGAAGCCATGATACATTATTTAAACATAGTCATTATGATTTTAAGCATGATAGGATTTTTGTCTCAAGCCTACATTTTTAACAGACAAATAAGACTGTGAACAGAATCCAACATATTTCTATAGAAAACATTCAATAGATTTGAATTATTCATATGAATAACATTGACTTACTCAATAAATTCAAAATTAGATTTCTTGTCAAGCGCCGCCTGTGGCATATTGTTAAAAAACCGCTTCATTTCTAAGACGCCGAACTGAAAAGCTGTCTCCTGATCGACGGAATCCGCAACAGAGGTAAGATAATCCGCCCGTACCTGCAGAACAAAGAAATACAGCAATACAAAGAATCGATCCAGTTCTAAATACCGTGTCAAGAGGATGCTTAAAGATGAAGAGGTTCGAGATGAACATTTCTCAGCAGGGTAGTCAGTGAAAAGCTACGACAGGGGGCAATCTGACAATAAACAAGGGTATTTCGAAGAAATTCGGTACCACTGCACCATCACTAGTCTCTCGTCCACAGGAGTCTAAAAATTTTCCGAAAAGGCGGAGTGACATTTCAAAGTCAGAAAATGTCTCAACCCTCCTTCGGATGAAACTTTGCCCTACTCACCTTTCTCAAAATTCTCCTTATATATCTATACTAAGGTTTATTAGAAATGGAATTATAAAAAAATCAAACATGGTTTCGTAGTTATGCATTGGCCTTTCTCAAAACTACTGCTGTGAGCAGAAAAAGGACATTATGGACTCTGTGATATTGAAGGAACATAAAAAATGATTTTTCGTGCTATGCTCCTCATTTCCTGAAAACAGGGGAACAAAGCTGGTCATATATGATGTTGGCTCAAGAACTGAGAGAGGGTGCATACATTAAACCTCGACCAACCCCTAAAAATGAACATACTTTTCCAAGATTTAGAACGTTTGTGGCTCTTTTTCTAAAGGCGCATATTGTCATATGGTCAATAGAATAGTACTTAATACCGAAGAAAGGCTTTATCACTAAACATCAGGCCCCCTAGCTTCTAGGAGGCCCTGAAGGGAAAATAACTAGCTTAGATATTCCACTGCAAGATTTTGCATTGATACTCTTCCGATTCGTTTCTCTATTATCAAGAAGATTATTGCAAGGTGATATAAATTCTAGCTAAATCTAGGTTTCACGGAAATCGATCTTACGTAACTGATAACAATAACGTCATGTCTGTATCTCCACCATGATCTAGTGCCAACATAGAATCATGTTACGTTTACAACCAACGATAAAAGGTTACCGGCTTATAAAGAAAGTATATCTAGGGGTTAAAGAGTTGGCAAAGTTAGCCACAAAGTTACAATAGAAAGTATGAAGAAGTGGTCAGCTCATTGTTATGGAAACTGACGTCAAAGTAGATGGATAATGGCGACTATATTCCGCGATTAAAAAAGATTTACAGATAAAAATAGCTTTACCTGGTCATACAAGAAGTAGTAAGTCGTTTTGTCGATTTTGTAAAATTCTCGTAAATCTTTAATGAAGAATCTAACTCTCAGTGTAAACCTGCAGTGAAAGAAGATTCGTTTAAACAGGGTTCTGGATGAGAACCCCCACCCCCCTACGGGATGAGGCTTGCTTACCTTAAAAATATCAACATAAAAACACCTTAATAGAAAAAATTACAAAAATATCAGTGCTAACACAGTCAAAGAGCTAAAAAACAACAATTTTTAAGAAAAAATTCTATAAGAAAATTATTGAAAGAGGCCCTAAATTGATGAAATAAATAACTAATTCATCGACAATTCAACTTTTTACTTATTTGTTTGTGCGTAACAAGCCAAGCGCAACTTTCACAAAAGAAAACAACACAGCTGAATTTTAATGAACAACGAAACTCCTTTTCTGTCATTTAACCGATGTCTTTTCTGTCCTCGCGTCAAATCCAGGAGGTTTATACAGATAAAACTTCCTTTTATACTGGTTTAGTCCATCCCCACCAGCCCTGGATTAAAGAGCTAGCCAAAGTGATGACGTCATTGCGGATCACTATCTTTCTTCTTGCCCAGTCCCCAGAAAAGCTCTCGGCGGGTCTGTGAATGGGAACTTTGTAGGGAGAGCCTTCAAATTTGGGTGTATAAGTGTTGGTTAGTGAAAGACGGGATTGTGCGGAATTCACATTCTTAATGCACCCTAAGTTTTGTATCTGAACTACTGCAACCGGAAATAAAGCCTTAAAAACATACAGGTTTAAACTCTTAATGTTGTGAGACGTGGAATGTTGATGTGGCATCGAAATTGTTTATTGAAGTATCGGCCGACAACAATAGTGGTGGTCAAGCAATCCTTGAATTTAAAATCGATGGATGGAGTACATGAAAAACAACATACAACTTGACGAATTATGTGATGTTGCCTAGAGACAAAGCAACACGCAAAAAGCTTGTAACGAGATTATTTCGTAGTATCACTGGTTTTGAATAATCAGATTAAAAAACAGCCCTTGCGATAGGCCATATTTTGTATACAATAAAACATAGCTCAAAAGACGCCCTTTTAACAAAAACATAGAAAATTAGCATCACGAACCAAGACTGACATATAAGTTCCATCAGGGAGTGATGGTGAGATGGTAGTGAAAGGGGGTCAGGGGCTTTTGATAAGCAAAAGTAGCACTTGTCTGGAGGAATTTTCACATTCAGTATCCATGATATGAAAATTAAAGTCTCCAATGTTACAAATAAAGAGTTGCGAGACGGGAGATGAAGGTTGGATGGTATAGGAAAAACATAATTTTTTGATACCACTTTATGCGTAACTTATTAGTTAAAGGCCAACATATTTAGCGAACTTCAACTACTAATTAGAAAATCGCAAAGGAATTTTTAAATTTTGGAAACAGTCAACTATCAAGACTTGTGATTCCTAATTTCAATGTTTTAGTAAATGTTTACACTTTAACGAAGGGGTGAGATTTTAACATCATATATGAAATCATTCATGTGGTCTTTTCAAATATGAAAACATATGAACGTTATAACGAAATCATGTATGTTGACTGAGTAAGTCCTCGCCGGGAATATTGTGGCTACTCCCTCCAGGTTCACGCGTTCGACTGCTTTCTTTTCTTCATTAAACCTCAAACAAGGGCCTGCAAGCTTACTTTTTTGATCCTCTTGTTAAGATGAAATATAGACTCGGAGAAATGACTGTAGTTTGAAAGTGGGGTGAAAAGAAATGGTAAAATAATGTCATAATTTGATCGAGAGGTTGTAAAGCCTTTTCTTTTCAAACCTCTTACTGCACACCCTTTTATCCTCTGTATTTGCAAAATTTCCACTTGTTGGATCGAGAATTGCAAATGCAAACAAGCGAAGCCTATTTTACTTAATGAAAATAAAATATTTTAGAACGAGATGAAATTCACTTCACATCATACAATTGTAACATTTGTAACAAAAAGTGTTGTCAGGAAAGAGGTTGCACTCCACGAAGACCGTCAGAAATAAAATCTTGGAATTAAAATTTGGGATATCCCTTTTCAACAGGACTCAACCCTTCCAGTGACCATTATGGAGATAAAATCTAGCATCTGGTTGGTCTTTTGTTCCTAAGAATTGCAAGAATCGTGAAATAAATGAGTATTTCAATTTGTGGTAATGGTGGTAAGGTACGGGTTTGATAGACCACCACAGCCAACGCCTTTACAAAAAGCATCTGACGTCCCTCGATCAAGATCCCCTAAACCTCGAAGACACGAGGTTTTCAAGCGTAATGTGGGTATTTCTTTCATCGGTATCCAAACCAAACCAACGTGCAAAGCGTTCCTCCGCATCACAATTTCGCTGAAGATTTAAATAAGTTTTTATCTCATTTACATTGACTTTAAATGGATGAAGTGTAAACATTTTTTGTAAACAAATGACACACAAATGAGGTGTTTTGAGGACAGAAAAAGAGCTTAAAGGTCTTTGGGGCGAAAGGTAAAATGTGATGAATCCCTCATCGTAGCATTAGCCTAACATAGCGATCAACTGAGACGACTCCTTGCATCTTGTTTCTTGATTCATGGACTAGCTAAATCCGAAAAAGCTAGAGACACATAAACTTTCACTAAGTTCTGCTTCTCTTATAAAAACTAGCCATAACCATTGCCTTCAAGGATGTTTGCTTCTACCACCAACTAACGACTATTCCATAAAACGTAGTTGCAGAACACAGAGTTTCCTTAACATTTCCCTTAATCCACGATTCAGGAACTATCAGTGAAAAATGAGGTCAAGTAAGTCCACCTTTTCAAATATCTACGTCGCCAGCCACACCAATATCGCAAACGTGGTTGAATAGGTCACCTCAATAATAAGCCACATATATATATATTACTAGTTACCTATGATACTCGTATTTCAATGGTTAAACAATATATGACAAACTTCAAGAGACAAAATATTAACATATGTAGGAAACATTATTCGGTTGCAAAAAACATCAGCTTTATTGCTGAAGATTGTCACTGACTTATGTAATTACATAGAAAATACCTGGGCTAGCTTGGTGTAGTAGGAAAGCATTGGAAGTTTACGACATAACTTTTGGACACATTGTCCTTTAATAACAGGTGCTAAAGATTGTGATGGCAAATTGATAATTTTTCGACCACTGAACAGATAAAGTTGCCATTTTTTCAAAGCCAAGGTGGATCTAAAAGCTTTTCTTCCATGAAAATAATCATTTACTAGTAGTAGACAAAGGAATACCATGCCATTCAAGATCATTTGGCACGCAAGTCACTTTAGAATCATATTCCTTAACGCCCTAAAACAACTTTCTGCTGCCATTAACCCTTAACAGTGATAATAGCTTCAGAAAAAGTCTGCCACAACAGAGAAAACTGTCACGTTTTGATAAAGAATACAGGACTAAAAAACTGACCAATTTCATGAAAAAATTTGTTATTGACATTACTTGTGAGATGCAGCCTATCCTCATAGCTATCCTCATAATTTACAATTAGTCTACTGTTGGATATTAAACACAGAGATGATATAAACATGGTGTCATAGACCTTTTGGATGAAAATCAACAGCTGGCTGTGAGAATAAACTCCCACTCAATGGCTTTTGAGAGCCTGGCCACAAATGTAGACATAAAAACTTTGACCTCCAAAGGTACAACAATGTGCCAATGGCTTTCAAATCCAGTCAACTAAAATTTAGAATTTTGCTTGGGACAGACTTCTAGGGTTCTTAGCCCTTGAAACCATGAGCTGAGTGGGTCCAGCGAGGATATAAGAGAACTTGAAACCAACAAAGCCATGCAACATGTTAGTTCTCTGTCTATTTCTGATGACAATGACCAGTCACTCCACCACTTATTCTGGCAATAGTACTCCAAAAAATACAACATCATAAACTTTACTTGATTGAATAGTTCAAACTTTTCATGCAATGACTATGAATTGGTCAGACCTTTTGCTTATCATAAATTCTTTTTTTTGCACATGTATTAAGGACATAAAAGGCAACAATATCTGCACAGAAAGGCCAACAAAAAGAAAACAAGGCCTGCTTTTACATAGGTATTGTAGAATGTCTAACTAGATCAAAAGGGTTTGTTTATTCATTTATCCTCTATTATTTTTCCTTGTCAATGCCTGATTGCAAATATATCAAATAGTACTGAAGATGCTTTAAGCATATAGTTTGACTGGCTTCCTTTGAGCAATGACTTCTATCACTTTAGCCTTATGAATGTTCTTCCATCACGCCTTATACTAATGTGGTATACAAGCAGAAAAGAACAAAGTTATTATAATAAGGAAAAATAATTAAATGCCATTATAGATTGAAAAAACAAATTCTCACCTCCACCCTTCTTTACCAACTCTATCCTCATGTCTGTTTCGAACATCAGACATCAGCATATTAGAATTAAGCCAAAAGTGCTCCTTGCTTGATTCATGCTCAAGTCTTAAGGCATAATACTTTGATGCGATAGAAATGCTTGCACCCAGTTTCTTGATTAAAATTTCAATGATGGTCTAGAATGAGAACAAATCATTATAACAGGAGTTAACAAGAACTATGTTATATATATACATTATTAAAACACAAAATCTAAAGAGTATGGAGAAATATTGTTTAGTCTAAAGTTTTCTCTGTAATGGCAAATTGGCAATGGCACCTTGACATGTTTTACAACATGGTGTTAAAAAGGAAATCAAAATGGGGTGTTTGAATGGGTGGTTAAAAATGATAAAGGTGATTATCAATGGTGATAGATCATTGATAGACATTGATGACTGATGATGATTAAACATGATCAATTATTATTATTATCACTATTATTATGATCAATGATGGTGATGATTATCAGGGCCCATGAGGGATCAATGCTTGAGCTCCTTTCTACCCAAATAGATAAACCTAAAATGGGTTCAAAATGGATTTAAAATGCATAGAAATGTCTTTCTTACTTCAAATTTATATTCAAAAGCATTGTCTAACTTCCAAGTCATATAAGATTTGTTCTTCTTGAAATTACCATGTTATTAAGAGTCATACTTTAAATTGTAATACAAGCAGCCCCTCTTAGATTACAGGTCCTAGGGGATTTGCTTTCTTTGCCCCCCTCTCAGTTGGCCAAATCATTATGCTAACAAGATAACAAAATGACTAAAATATTCAAGCCCTCTAAACCCAGGATAGAAACTTGACTGATAATCCTATATAGCTACTATCTACTGTCTATAGATGCTATCACTTCCTGTTTCTAAAATGGTGTGAGTAAAAAATATTTCATCCTTTCATGACAAACAAGTCTCAAGAATATTTGATTTGCTATTACATTAAGATGTTGGGATTAAGAAAAGGGAAGTAGTCTTCCTGAAAGGAGCCTTTCCTACAACCTAAAGGAAAAGTCTGACTTGTCCCACATGATAAACAAGTTTCTGATCTGTTAAGGTTTTTAAATTTCTTATTCTTTTGTGAATTAATCAAAGTTAAATGAGTGCCAAAAAGTGCCTAAAGCTGTTTGGAAAAGGCATAAAGAAAGGGGAATTATAACATTTTACAAGTTGAATAACAAATGTGTGTATTCAAGGTGGCAACATAAGATCAAAGATTTTAAGAACATAAAATCTGTACTTTTAATATATACAGACAACAATATCAAATAAGATTTTCCAAAAGTAAAACCACTGGCTGAAAGAAAGAATTTAGGACAAGTCCAGTGTAGTTGTGATATGTGACAATAGAAATGTGTTCAAGAACTGTTGTCCTGACTAGGATATATATTTTTTGAAAAAATCAAATTGAATTTGTTCGTCATTTAGTTCACTTTGATTGTCGTTTTAAGATTTATACAGTTATGTCTGACAGCGCATTCGATAACTATCAAAACTTCCTGGTTGATTGATTTGTATCTTAAAAAATTATTCGGTTACTTTCATCCTTGAGCGTCGATTTCTCTATGAATCACGTAACCTTAAACTTAGTTGCAAATCCTCTAAATTGTAGCATAACAAATCCAAAAATGTATCACTGTACCCTAAAAGATAATGGTCTACTTTATCAGGAAACAAGATACTAATCTTTTTCTGAACATGAATTAACAAAAAATCTTTCATTTACCTTTAAATCCGATGATTCTCCATACTTTACTGTTCTCGTTTCTCCATTTGGAATAAAAACTTGAAGATTAAAGCGAACAGATCCAGCTCTGTCAAGCTTGTTGCTCCTGGCTTCGGGTAAAGCAGGAGGCTCAGAATCGGATAAAGGCATTTTAAAAACCTCTCGAGTGGTCAAACAATTTGTAGCTTGTAAAATCTAATTATAACATGATAGGGGATTTTCCACACGTGTTATCTGGCAAACTGACTTTATCTGTGTAGCTTGAAGTTCATAGGTTCTAAAATTCACAAAAAAGTATAACGGACTGATTTTAATAATGTCTTGTCCAAACCAACTCTGACAGGCCTGAGCGTTCCGGGTTAGGCCTGAATAATCCAAGATGCCATGCCAGTGACTCTGAAGAGTCTTGAAAACATCGACATGCAATTAATTTGAAGACACTCTTCCAAAGCAGATTGATCTGCTTGTAGTTTCTCTTTAAATTTATAGCAACTGCTTTAGTGGATCTTCAGATTCTGTGACCAAACCACCTTTGTTAATAATCGGCGAAACTTAGGCCCGAAAGTTATTCAACCAATTGCTCCAACTTTGAGTAACTTTCGAACTGGAATTTAACTAATTTACCTGCGGCTAGTACAAATGATGGATACTTTCGTTATAATCCGACTTTTATTATCTACTCAGAACGTTGCTTGAATAGATCTAAGTGCGAAATCAAAGTAGACAATTTCACATAGATGGCCTCCACAGCTCTGTCTGAAATGTTTTGGTTTCTGACAACTTGAATAGCTGGGGTGAGCAATAACTAGCTCCCAGACCCCCGCTTCCCGTAACGCCCCACTACTGTGAAAAGGTGTCATCAAGAAAGAATTTTCAACAGTTTTTACGCGTAGAATGAAAATTACAGGAAAATCGTCTTTTATGAATTTTGCGAATTCGCATAGGTTGTCCATGCCAAAAATTCCGAAATTCGAGAGGTGTTAAATTTCCAGCGACGCCACAACAATCCAGTGACGAGGGGGCAAGCTTCAGGGCGAGATTTAGAAAGTCATATGAATTTCCTTGACCTTTTCAATCCTCCCTTATACATCAAGTCCACATATTGCTGGCAGGGATGCACAAATGGGGGACGCACCGTTCTCCCAGGCGAGTTATTTCAGAATAATTGCGTTCATGAATGAACGAGTTCTCATAAGTAGGGTCACTCTCACCAGCTGTTTCATTAAGACCAGATCACAGACCAGATGACAGGCTTAGCTAACAAACAACGATAATGAGCAGCTTGTGATCACTAGAAGGTTCTAAGCCAGGTGTGACCAATGTCTTGACAAAATTTGGATTTTTCAACGTTGAACCCACTCACAACGACATTGCTTTGTAAAGGAACAATAATCATCAATGGAAACTGATCTGATGTTGATGTTGATCCGTCCGTAGATATCCGATATGGGGGTCTCAAAATTTTGAAGATTTTATGCAACAGTTGCCTGATGATTGCATTAAGAATGAAACTCGAAGTAGCCGAGGAAGCAGCAACTTAGAACCGTCCTGTTCTTTACACCAAATAGCGCGTACATCTCTGCCTGTACAGTATCGAGCACTTCATATCAGACCGGTAAATAGCCATTTTTATGAAGATTCTTTGCATAGTAACTTCCTATGGCACGTGAATGGGAGTAAGTCATGTTGAAAACGATTCCTGACAAAAGACTTGGAACGATGACTCAGGGGCGTAGAACAGGGGACTCAGAGGGTTGAGCCCCTTCATTACTACAAAAAAGCACCTTTCTTATTCTTTGCCAGTGTTTAGTGTAGATATTTTTTCGACAACCCACTTTTTCCTTTCATAGCACTCCATCCCTCACTCTGGTCAATAGAGTCTCCGTGACAGAGTGGATCGAAAAGACCTTCCACTGTTTTCGATCCACTCTGTCACAGAGGCTCTGGTATCCAGGGTATCCATCCTTGTACTGAAGTCATTCTTTAAGGACAGATTCAGCCATTCCTCTCTTACCCTGGAAAGAGAAGTTTTGCTTTGCTTTAAAACGACGTGGGATATTATAAAAAGTTTTTATTGATGACTTTTGTGATGTTTCCGAAACTACACTCGCTTTTATGTAATAAACTAGCATGTGAAATGATTTTTATATAAGTATAATTTACAAAATAAGAAACGTGTACTGAACAATTAGAAACAACTTCAGTACTCAAAACAAATATTTCAAGAAAAATATGAATTTTGAAAATACACAGAGCTCTAATATTTTGCGAAAATCCATCAATGTGATTAGGAGGTTGGCAAAGAATAAATATGTAAACTATTTAATAAAATATTATGTTGAAATGTCAAATGCCAAAATTACCCTCAATGATAGAATTTATGCCATTAAAATTATGAAACTCTTGGCAGGCACTGTATTCTAAACCCATAAATGTGTTATGATTCTACACATACAAACTTTAATCCCAAGTAATACATTCAAACATAACGATTAAGATCCTCGCCATTTTCAGCTGTTTTAATTAATAAGAAATCAGACTTGCGTTACTGTGCGATTATTTAACTCTTTCAGAGCCTTCATAATCCCTTGTGTCTAACATTTCATGGTATTATCGGATTGTATACATAATGGCTTATTCAACAGTTGAAAGATGATATAGGATTTATCACATGATGAATAAAGACTAGCTTAATTATTTTGGGATAATCGTGCCTTTAACAGCCTGTGATTAGTAGTACGGGGGCACCAAGAAAGAAAGCAACAATAAAATTTGGTCATAACCAAATATTCTTCCTTATGAAATGTAAATAAACATGAAGAGGATAGATGAAGTTGGGATTGAAGAGAGCAATTTACAAAGTTAGAGATTTAATAGAAATATTTCCAATTGTAAGGAAAGGTTTGAGGTTGCAACCAGCTTTAATATCCCTTGTAATGATGGCCTCAGTTTTCAAAGAGCCCGGCACTCAAGGCAGCCAATTGCATTTGAGAGGCCTGGGGGCAAACAATCGTCCCTTGTGACGTCACTCAGACTTATGATATCAGCTGAAGTTATATGAAGTTATTAAATTTTGCTAGGATCATCTGTTATTTTTTAAACTTTATCACCGCAGAGTTCAGCAAGTATTTCTTCTTCTGTTTGCAAGGTTGCTGTTGTTATTGATTGGTTAACAATATATGGTCTGGTGCTCAAAAACAAATTATTTCTTGTTTCCATTCCGTTCAACAGAATTTGAGCTCGATTTCAAGGTAACAAGAATTTGAGTTAACGGCCATTTTTCTCCAAGCGAAATAGGCAATGTTTCCACTGAGTGAATACTTGGTATTACGTGGTATTACTGACTGAACAAGCTTCTCCTTCCTGACTGAACAAGCTTCTCCTTCTTCCCCTCTTTTCTGCGTCCCTTGTGTCGTTTACTGCTTTTCTGAAACTTACATCTGCGAGCAAGATGATTTGTTAGAGCAGCAAGCCCGTACTTGAAGTACTTTTCGCTTCATTACGTTTCATTAAAACGATTGCAAGAATGAGGTCTGGCTGTAAAACATTTTGAAATGATTAATCTTTAATGATTATGATATGATTTGAGAAGAATGAGTCAAAAAAGATGAAAGGCCAATTTGAGACTTCCTTTTTTCGGTATTTTGTGCCGAGATGGAGATGTATTGAATTTGTGGCGCGTAGAGTCACTGTTTTTTTCGCGCTCAAAAACTGCAACAGAACATTGTCAACAGAAAGAAAACTTGGTACGTAATCGCTCCTTTTTTAAAACAGTCACTGCATGCAATGGTATCTTTTTGGTCCTCATTAACGACACCAACGCAAACGCTAGCGAAGAATTTTGCATTTGTAGAAACGGTCTAGACACTGGCAGAAGGCTTGCTTTCTAGATCACTTGCGAATTGAAGGTCATTGCAACATAAGCACATGCATTAAATGTTTGGATATTCCTATGCCTGTGTCAAACCTGTGGCTTTTCACTGGAGGCATTTGTTAATAAAAAAGGGATGACAAAGCAACCCTTGAAAGATCCCTTGGGCTGGAATGGCTGGAATGGCAACTGCTCCTTGGTTAGAATTTTGAAAAAGCCCAGGCCCGATCTTACTCTTTGCGTTTGAGCTTATGTTGCTAATGAAGGCAAAACTTTAGGGGATGAGTACCACTCCTTGCAAAATTGTAAAACCATACAGATAATTATAATGCCCTTACATAAGCCATGAAGGCGAGACAGATTGTGTAGGATTTAACGTTTCTTGTGTCTTAAGTGGACTTTTACATTATCCCATGTTGGCCTTAGTGATGTCTTTGGAAAGGAACTTGCACTTTATTTGTATTTCCCCGTTAAAGGTTCCATTGAGATGAGTTTTTTTAAAGAGGTGAGAAATTGAACTCTGCAAATGATGAATGCTATTAGCAGTCTTGGCAACAACACAAAGTTTATACAAATAATCCTGTTTCTTTTTCTCTTACATTTTCACAGTTTAACAAAAGTAATTGCTTACTGGGGCAACGTACTATCTTGGCTTTTTGGCTCTTTGCTGCCATCATATATCCTTCGGAAAGAAAAGAAAATAAGATGTGATTGCAAATTTTTCCTCATAAGTTCAAAAATTTCGAGGATCCCCTCACCCTAGCCTGCGTCAAAAATCCAAACATTGAATTTCTGAAAAGATTGAATGGAGTTACATTTTTGTGTTTGCCTTGAATTGAGACGTCCAGATTGTTAAATTTGTCTCCAATACTTTCGCCTCTGCTTATTCCATCTCGCACAGTTTCTTATCACTGTTTTCGGTCACGGTTGAGCAAGGAAACAGGCAAATTTGTGAATTGGCGACCTATTATTTTTGGTAAATTGCGTGGTAAGTTCTTGAGTAATGCTAAAACTTGCCTTAATTTGTTATCCCGCGTGTGTCTACTACAGTACAACAATCGCTTTTTGCAAGATGTACACAGTTGTACAAAGAGTTTCTGTGGCGACAGGACTCGCTGAAATGACAATGGCGTCGCTTATTACTGCCATAATTTGAATGCAAAACTCGATGGAAAAACATCTGCTACAAACAAATCTTCCTACAACAATGTTTGTAGTTTTCCTTTGATATCTGTGTTAAATTGCACCTTTGATTGAGCGGTCTCTTGAGCCAGGCGGAATGGAAACCAGGACAACTGCCTAAACACTGCACAACATGGACGAAGAAAATCCCGGGGGTAACTGTCCTAATTTTAGAATGGAACAGACCTGCAATCGAGGTTTGATTCTAACTGGAATTATTTCAGAAGTTGTGAAAAATAGCCAGAAAGAAGATAAGTGATTGGACAAAGCCTGGATGCAAACTTTCTATGGAGTATTTTTTCGATTTTACTCACCTTTACAATAAAGAGCAAACTTGTGAATTTTAAATCCAGAGAAAGACGAAAAGCATAAAGGTAGAAGGCAACAGCGAGAGAAAGAAGGTACATGGAGGACAGAATTATGACCTGATTTTTGCTGGAAAATTAGGCCAGGTCTTTATTTGGTCAGACAGAATAATGATCTCATCTTTCTGATTCAATTCTTTCCCCTTCTCGATGGAGTGGGGGTTATCAGGGTTTACAAAGTAACGGAATTTTAAAAAAAATTGTCTTGGGTTTCATAAACCTGGCAATTCCTCGACATAATGACGCAACTCTCTACGCTTGCCGGATCCGAAATTTCTCTAGAATGCACATGGAATGCGGAATCTTTATAAGGTTTTACAGATTTGCGGACTTTTTCACCTGTGGTCTTGTAAAAAAGGTTTTGCAACGTGGAAATT